TAAATTATCCTCATTAGTGTAATCTGCTGTTGTGGTATTTATGATTGTGCAGTAAGGTTTCATAAGTAAGTTTTAAAAATATTCTTCTTCTGTTTGGCCAGTGGAGCGAAGAATGATTATTTCCAGTTTTTGTATAATGTCAATCACATTTAGCCACATGATGGGATCTCATGATGGGTACACGTTCATTATTTTCATTGTATACAAATGTGTGAAACAGATTCATTGTTTGCATAGATGAATCAGTGTGCCCTGTAAAAGAAATGAGAAAATAGGTGACTTCAAGTTTTACTTTTACTTCAGATGTTAAACACTGAACTCAAGCAAGTCAGATAGTGTGTAGCCTACCCTATTGGCCAACACCTGATGTCAACACTGATTTCCAGTGATACATTCCTCTAATTTTCACATCAATTTTGCTTTTCGTCAATGTAATTAGTTTCAGCAGATAATCGAGACTGGTTCTATTTACTCTGGTGTTGATGTTTTATATATATTTACATAGAGTAGTTTAACTCCCACTGTTTTACTATATACAGTTCATAGAAGAAAATGGATTTTGTGTTCTGTATGCTGAATGACATAAAATAAAATTAGAAAGATGTTTTTAAACAAAAAGGTGTGAAATTTTTTCAACACTTTAAATTTTTAAATTTTTAAAAAATATTTATGGCAGGATGATGAAATTAAATTAGTTTTTTTTCAGGCTTTTTTCCATCTACAACTGATGATGCTCATGATAAAATTGAAATCCTACAGTCAACTCTGCTTTTTGCAGAGATTTCTTGCGAATCTGAAAAGGTCTTGTTGCTTTTATTAACAGAGTACTCAATCTGCATACTATGACAGGTATATAAGATTAATACTGAGATTATAATAATAATTTACGGAATACTAAATTAAAGCATGAGAGACTACAAGCATATCAAGTGTCAATCCGACATGTGTTACGTGTGTTTCACAAGACCATAGATTCACCTATAGCCATAAAGCAAGAAGAGACGATAATGTAGATATGGTATTAAGCGCAGAGGATCTAGTGTTACTGTGAATTGCCCTGGTCTTGAATATACAATAAGTCAACCATCCAGTGTTGATGAAAGCCGAATACCCAACATGAACGAGAGTCCCATGTCACTGCAAGTGCCCTCATATTAGCTGCTGCCAATTAACTTACACTGCTCACATGCCCTCTGTCAACTACTGTAATGAAACCACATTTTCCAATTAAGGCTCTTGTTACAAGAAGGTGCAAAATGTGCTGATCAAAATGCGATCTTCCGGATAATAAGATAGGAGATAGGAGCTGTCGGTTTGTAATGATGAGAAAAAAAAGGATCTGATGCCAGAAATTTGTGAAATTGATAGTTCTAATTGTGAACATGTGCAGAGCTTGTTTCATTACATTGGTGTGAACAGATAATTGGTTTGGTTAAATTTCTCTTCTCTCACATTTATGTCAAACTTGTTTCCATTTTATGGGCAAACTGGTGTAGGAATAATAGTCCATTTTTGAGGGAATTTGCCATTGTAGTCAGAGTTTTCTCCAGAATGAAGATTGAAATATCAGACGTGACAGTTTCAGAAATGATTGTCTCATTTATTAACTTGTATATGGCCTCAAGTTATTTGATATTTATTAAAAAATAAGAAACTGCACATGAAATTAACAGTAATGGGAAGAAGATTGATTTTTTTTAAGACAAACATTTCGAGAGATGGAACTTTTGGGAGGATGAATAAAGCTGAATACAGTCAGTTTGGAGATAACAATTATACATATTTGAAATGGTGTTTAGACCTAATACATCAGTGGCAACTTATACCACGAGAGATTGGTGCAAAGGAAGAAACCTTTGACAAGCATGTGGGGGAGGTAGGGTAGTCTTGTGGTTAAGGCGTTGGTTTGTCTGCTGAAGGTCAGGGTAGATTCCCATCATGGGTATAATCTGTGAAGCCTATTTCTGGTGTCCCCTACACTGATATTGTTGGAATATTGTTGAATGCTGACTCACTCACTTACACTCTCTGAAAGCATGTATTTGGAAGAAGGGTGGTTTATTTATGGGGGGAGGCAAGAGTGGATCATTTATCTTGAGTGCCATGGGTTCTTTGTAGAGTTGTATTTTGATATGATTTCTAGTTTTAAATCATAAATTTGCCTTGATAATGAAACTTGGTTTGTCAGCACTATATCTATGCAGGTTTTGCCAAAATAGTAAATGTCTTGGACCTGCAACACATTTCAGATTTCATCCAATATTAACCCAACATGCTGTGATATATTACTGAAACACAAAAATCTGCCCATGTGGTCTTTGATAAAACGACCATATAGTTATAACAATAATTATATAACAGCTCCAACTGTTACCAATAATAACATTATTTTGATTATTTCCAGGTCTGTATTCATATCCCAAACTATTTTTCTTTGAAGAATCCAATTCAATATGTGAATGTCACATGGAATGACCTAAGGAAGACCCATGTAGTTATTGCCTACTGTAATACCGCCCTTTGATGGTTGTAACAGAGGATGACTTTGATGGAATAATGAGCATATATTAATTGTATCACCAATGGTATAACAGATCGTATCACCCATGTCGTGTCATAGCACCATCATGGATGTCTTTTATGTAATATTCCATGTCACTTCCCTTTAGCAGACAAGTTGACCAGCTGGCCCCTGCCAGGACCATCTGATATTTACAATATCAGTATACACCATTGTTATTGACTTCATCATTTTTTCATTCAAGGCTGTCAGTAACGTCACCGCTTCCTGTTCTGATAGGATCAGGTTTCAGGTGTATCCCCTAGCACTGTAGGTGCACCTTGTGACAGTTCAGTAATGGGGAACATCATCATGCTGAATTACCTTGGATAATTGAAGGCAGATTCATCGACCTGATGGCTGACATCACAATATATCTCCTACCTTATTTCCTGTAACAATATACATGTACTGTGAAGTGCATACTGTAGCCCACATATTTTGCACCCTGTGTGTGTGTAGATGTTTGTAGTTTTGATTTCAAGGTTAAAGTTGCTTCAGTCCATTCTTCTAAAACATGCATACCGCCTCTGTGGTTTGGTGGATCGAGCGTCTGCTTGGAGAGCGGAAGGTCGGTGGGTTGATCCCCTGCAACGTTATACCAAAAGACATTAGGTGGTATGCTATGGATGAAGTATAGTCTTTCTGGGCCTTGTTTTTTCCAAGTTATTTCAGCTTATAAAAACCCCAAAGTGTGTTACCTGATTCACAACAAATCAGGAATTCTGTCATCAGATTATTTATTTTAGTTTTCTGCGGGTCATATCTTATATCTTATATCTCATATCATTTTCTTTCGTATTTCAATGGTCAAGTTAATACCTCGGCTTATCTACGGGTCAGCTTATCTGCGGTCATATATGGTATATTGTTTATGAATGACATGTGGGGACACAGGTGATTGTTGGTTCGAATCCCGGTTAGCCAATTATGTTACTAGGGTTGTCAGCACCATACTCGTGCTCGTGGATTATACCAAAGTGGTCATCCGATGAGACTGGCATCACTTCGGGCTTTCTTCACACATTAAGCTGACATGCTGTGATATAACTTGAATACTTTCCAAATCAGTGTTAAACCCAACTCACTCACTATAAATGCCACGCATATATATAAGATAGAGAGTGTCATATAAAGATGGCATATGCGTCATCATTGGTGCCTTGCTTCTGCACTGACAGGTAGAGCATTCAACTTTTCCATTCATATACCAGAGTATGTATGAAGAGATATTGGTCTGCTGTCTGCCAGATTAGATGACTGCAGTGACTAGCAACAACGGGAGACATCTGATCTGATGATCTAACTCACACTGTAGCATGAATCTACTCTAACAGTGCTTACAGGAGAATTATGGATAACAACTTCTTTACTATACATACACAACATGTCAGGGCTACTTCTTGCCTCTTCAGGGGCGGTTGGGTAGCCCAGTGGTTTAAGCGTTCGCTCGTCACGCCGAAGACCCGGGTTCGATTCCCGACATCGGTACAATGTGTGAAGCCCATTTCTGGTGTCCCCCGCCGTGATATTGCTGGAATATTGCTAAAAGCGGCGTAAAACCATACTCACTCACTCACTCTTGCCTCTTCACCAGGTGAATGACAGGGAGGGCGAACGCGACATGCGTATACATACAAACGTAAGAAGGGACAAGAAGTAGCCCTGAAACATGTAGAGTACCCGGGTAAACTATGTTTATAACAAACACCCTTATAACGAACTGATGATATAACAAACGGTTTTGGTGTCCCATCCATGTATACTGTATATATGCTTATAACGAGCTACGGTTAAAATGAATTAAAATTTGTGGTTCCTTCGAGTTTATTATATATAGTTTGCTGTATGTGTAATAAAGAAGTTGCTATCCATAATTAAACTGCTTGACACTGTTACATTCAACTTCTATATGTCTGTAAACTCTACTTGAGTATTGGTACCAGGAGGAGGAAAGGGTTTCCTGCAAGACTAAGCTGCCATTTTGTTGGTAGACTTGTACAGAGAGACAGATCATGAAGTAGATCTTTTCTTTTTGTGTTGTACTTATTATGAAATTTGCCTTTCTGTGTTGTATATGTGCATTTGTAATACGGTCATGTTGCTGTAGAGACAATACAGTCCATGCATATCCAGGTATCTGCTCTTAAATAACAGAAAGTTGTTTTCTAAAACAGAGGATGAAGTCAGGGTTTTGTTTCCAAACAGATTTTATCATTGCTCTATTTTAACATGTGTGACATTTTAGCTACTAGCAACATGTTTTACATATAAGGTGGTGTATATGGCTAGAATATATCCAATAGTTAACGTATTATTTAACAACTGAATCAGTTAATAATTACAACAATTATTTGTTTTACTGTTGCCTGTCTGGTCAAGACAAGTAAGGAAAATGAGTTTTAAAACAAATCGTCATGGCGATCTTTTTCCTTTGCAGTATCAGCCAATGAGACACCGTTCCTCATCCTGGGCTCAGCCAATCGGGTGCTGAAGCAGAACCTAATTAATATAATGAGTCTAGCTGACACCATCCTGGAGGAAGACAACAAGAGCAATATCATAACAGGTACAGGAACCTAGAACCTCTTTGACAGCTTTAGTTAATGGTAATACCCTCTCATCAGCATTTCAGGACAGATGTGTCTCCAATACCCAATGTTGCAGTACAAAGCAACTAAATGGGGATTGGATGTCTGTCATGGGCCCTCAATACGAATATTACTTAAACATTTGACCATCTCTCAGCTGTGCCGTCGTGCCTTAGTGATGCTGTACTCTGCTTTAGCGAACCCTGAGTATGGAGAGCACTTAAATGGGTGACCATCTCTCAGGTGTGTTGCGTGCCTTAGTGATGCTGTACTTTGCTTTAGCAGACCCTGAGTATGGATAGTACTTAAATGGGTGACCATCTCTCAGCTGTGCCGTCGTGCCTTAGTGATGCTGTACTCTGCCGTAGTGGACCCTGAGTATGGATAGTACTTGAATGGGTGACCATCGCTATGTCGTCGTACACTGGTGATGCTGATATGTACTCCACCTATCCATGATCGTTTGTCTCGTGCAGGCCTGATCCTGCTGGTCCTGGGTCCACCAGCACAAAGCGAACTATGCGCTACGACTATCGTAAGCCTATGTTAAAGGATGGGAGTTACGATGGTCGTAGGACTCAGGTCGCTTAGTGTTAGTGGGCCCTGGTCAACAGTGTTGGGAGTAGTGAACAGATCTCAGGAAGAGCTGGTGTCACTGTAACACTGATTGTGAAACTTGCACCTTGAGACTAGCTAGTGCTGCAAGTTAGATGTTAACCGTAGAGAAGCACTTGTTTATGAAATGGTTTTAATTATGAGCCAGTCAAAACATATATATGTATATTAATGTTAAATATTTTGTTCTTTTTTAAACAATATATCCCATAATTTTAAATGATATGAATGAATATTTCTTCTATATAGATGAGATAATTGGCCCTTATCCCCGCTGTCACTGTAATGGTTGTCCCATCATCATCTGTTTCAATGAGATAATTGGCACATCTTGACTATGTAAATGAGATAATGGGCATATCTCACCCTTGATAATGGGGTGATGGGCTTATCTCACCTGTGTTAATGAAGTGATTGGCGTATCTCATCTTTGTAAATGAAATATTTTGTGTATATATAATTTATTGTCACTTGATGAAAGTACTGGAAAAGATAATGGTAGTGTCTTTGATCTCTACAAAAAACACTACCTTACACAACGACCTATATTGCACTGATACTTTCCATTAATTAGCATTAATTTATTTGTTTTGACTAAGATAAGCATTGAATTGTGTAGCAACTATGTCAGATGCACAGAGAACAGTAGTAGTCCTGTAAATGATATAGAAAGTGGTGTTGTGGCAAGTGAATTTAGAAATGTGTTGTTTGATCCATATTGGAAATACACATGTAGTCTTTCAACTATCTCTGCCTGTAACTGGTAATCCTATCTCTGCTTCAAGAGTTAAAAAATTCTTCTTTCTATATGAACTGTATTTCTGTCTTGTGAATACTTTTCTTCATCTGATATAATTTTCACTTATCTATCCTACCTAACCTACTTCTACTTTAAAATTCTAACTCTCTCTTACCTTCTTCTGACATATGTCTGCCACTTTCCTCTCTTCCTCACTTCTCTTCAGCTATTTCTTTTTTCTTTTGGGGGCACAAGTGTCCCTGTCGTCTTAATCACTACAATTCGCTGTGCAGAGTTGCATCCCTTGGGCACACCAGAAACCTGGGTTCGAAATCCTTGTTTGCCCCGATTAGTTTCTAGGTTTGTCAGCACCATACCAGTGCTTGTGGGTTTCACCAATGTGGTCACCATCTGAGACCTGCATCACTTTGGGCTTTCCTCCCACATCAAGCTGACACGCCGTGGTATAACAGGAATACTGTTCAAAGCGGCGTTATACCTGACTTACTCACTTTTCTTTTCTTTCCATTCTTATCCCTTTCTCGTATTAACATCCTGACCTCCTCCGTGGTCTAGTGGTAGAGCGTCCACTCGGAGAGCGGAAGGTTCGGGGTTCGATCCCCGGCTGCATCATACCAAATGACGTTAAAAGATGGAACTTGTTGTTACCCTGCCTGGTGCTCGGCATTAAGGGGCTAAAACAAGGACTGGTCGGCTTGGAGTCAGTACGCTGTGTCTGAGTGGAGTATTCATGTTAAACTGCAGCATGGTATCGCAGTGGGCTAGCTCTATAAAATCGGCATCAGTCCGGACCATTAGAAGCAGCCATACACACACAAACACGTGCATGCACTTCACTATGTAAGTGCAATAATTTGGGGTGCAGCGTTAAAACCCATCTCTCTTCATCCTACTTAGCTCTAACGTAATATTGTTAGTTCTTCCTCTCGATCTACCTGTCCTCTGTCTAATGTCTGCTCTCTCTGCCATGCATACCTACCTAGGAGTGGAAACAGTGTATGAGAGTCAGTCGGGTGACATTGAAGGTATTGTAATGCACCCACGAAGACTAAGTTTCAATGTTGTTGGTGTTCCCATGAATGTTGTTACAGACCCACTCCTTTTCAGTCATCACTTGCTAATGTTTGTATCATGTTTGTTTTCATTGATTATCATTTGATGTTGACAGACATTTATGTTGACCTGTGTTTAGCATCAGCTTCTGTGATCACTAAAATTCCTTTTTATTCCATACTTTCCAACATTGTCCAGCATATCAGTTTTGTTTCATACAACACTTTAAATTGTTTTATTTTTTCAAATATTTAATTACAAAAAGCAATCTTCCCATCAATGATGCAGTTCCTTTCTTTTAGTGCAAATACATGTATGTTAATTGGTGATTAACATAATTGGTTTGATAATACATTAAGAGCAGTGTGATATTTCTTCTTGCTGAGTCTTGCAAGTCACAGAAGCTGATGTGAATGACATGATAACTCCCATCAGTGTGATAACCGTGTGTATTTCACTAATTCACACCATTCATTTCAGACCTAATCAGTGTCCTTTGTTAATGATCTATTTCATTTTAATCAGTCACCCTCATGACAGTGTGCTTATTCTAAGAGTTAGTAAAAAAATTGGCAGTGTTGTGTTCCAAAGAATACATATTACTTTGAAGTACTTACCTGCTCGATAGTTTTCTTATCATATACATGTATGTGAACCTACACGTCAGTTGCTAATTGTTCTTCAATTTATCAAAATCTTCTTGTCAGTCCAATTTTATTTCTTGTCTAACTGATTTTAATACTTAATATTCTTGGAGATAAGAGCTGAAGTAATATATGAAATATATTTTTTAGGGTTGATTTGAAATTAGTCTACTTAATGAAACCTTAAAAAAGAGTTTTAATACAAAATACCAATGTACATTTGTATAAAAAAAATCAATGAACCAAAAGATTCATTTTTGAATTTTTAAAAAACTTTTTTCAATATTAGGGATAGGCTTTTCCATATAGCAAGAAAATAAATTGTTGTTTGTTGGCATTAAATTATACAAATGATATATTCATGTAAATCTATGCATTTCTATTGAAAGTACTATATATCTTCAGGAGACCAGCAGTATCACATTTAAAGTCACTATTTGTTGTGAGGAAATCAGTTGTAATTTACAGTTAGGTTTGATGGTCACATCATTGTATTATATTTTTTTAATACCACCCTAGGCTTTGATGTGTTATTTGACAGCATGTTTCATATAACAAGACATTGAGTCCCAGTACTACCCTAATGTTCTACAAGGTTGACTGTGTGATGCTACTTCACACCACGGGGATTGCACTGGTGGGAACAATGATATGAAAATCTCACCCAACCTTGCTTCATACATACATGTCAAGTATAAAGGCTTGTGCAAGATGGCCCTGAATTTGCCTTAGAACGACTTTGTTTTAATGTTAATGAGTCGAGCATTTGCTGACAAGGTAGAAAGGTTCTCATATCATTCCTATATGGTTGTAGCATGAAGTTTAAGTTCCAGAATTATGCAATACTTACAATTTCAACATGATTACTTCTGAGCAATATATGAAAATATGTCATATACTGGTTTAGCAAGTGTGAACATCTCAGGAACATGTCTCATGGATAAACATTGGAAAATAATGAATTCCATGTCAAGCTTTTGTCTAATTGTAATCTATTTGGGAATAATGATTTGATAAAACACAGTATAATTAATTGTTTGATAGAAAAGGCCATAATACATTCACAGTTGTCTGATTATTAAAAAGACATTGAACTCTTTCAAAATGATGTATGACTTTGAAATAAGAACACGTTCAATAACTGCTAGCCATTTACAAATGTAAGTTCAGCGAATATAAAAAAACATTTATTTACCTGTGTTTAATTTGATATATGTGTACAGATATTTATCCTGGGAAAAGTATTAATAGTGTTTTACTTTCTGCAGGTGTTGGGATCCACATTCGCAGGCAACTTTTCATTGTGAGTGACGGCAATGAGACTGTACAGCAAGTCTCCCTATCAGCGGACACCATGAGGAAAAACATGTTCCCAAGCATCCTAAAGCCAACAGTCATCAGTGTTGACTGGCTCAATGATCGGGTCTATATTGTCAGTAGAAATCGGGTAAGATTGGATTGTTAAGTTTGGTTTTGGTTTGGTTTGTTGTTTAACACCGCACTCAGCAATATTCCAGCTATATGACGGCGGTCTGTATATAATCGAGCCTGGACCAGACAATCCAGTGATTTATATCATGAGCATCGATCCACGCAATTGGGATACGATAACATGTATTTTTAAGACATTCATCTTAAGAATTACCCAAATTGTGTTTCATTCCGACACATCACTGCTTGATCATTCTTTCAGCTAACATGGTGAGGCACGGATAATATATCATAGGGGGTGGTGGTGTTAGATTGGTCTAAGGACTGTATCATGTTTTGCTGACCACCCCCTTATACATGTAACATTTTCCCATGACACCCCTCCCCATGATAAATGACCAGTCCCTAAATAATGTTCTATAAAAACATAGAACTGTGCCATTTCTTTCAGTCCAGTTGTATTTGATCTGTTCTAGCAGGAATATATTTTGTTATTGCCATGGTAAGCCGTATGGTTGGGACACCTTTTGAGACTGCTACTGTTCACAGAACAAATAAACCAAATTACGTACAATGTTGTGAATGGGAAACAATAAGATTATTTCAGGACAATTATATCCCCTCGGCATCTCTCCATGAATGAAGACAAATGTTTGGTGACGCTGAGGTTATCACTAATAGATAGCGACTAATTATCCCGACAATTAGGCAATGTCTAGCATCCTGTTGTTTGCACATATTTCATATCAATTACTCAAATAAGGTTAGTGTTTTCCCTTGAGGTCCCTACCCCTGTTCAGATTTAATTGTATAACTACACAATTACACCAGGCTATTTGCCATGTGTTTAATGGGAAAATGGCACATCAAGGGAGATAACTACTGCATACCTGTCCAATCTTCAAAAGTAGACCACAAAAAATTAGTTGAAGACTCTGCTTTAAGTGTATGAAGAAAGATATTTAATAGTTTGCTGTGGCTCAATTGCTTAAATACTTTAAGTTCTTATAAGGACTACATGCATTAAGATGAGATTTAATGCCAAGTAAAGGGTGATGTTGGATATGCCTATGTTTCTAGTTATATTTTATGACTGCTTAAATGAATCTAAATATTTAAGCTCATCATTGTTGTGACTATTTTGAAATGATTTTAGCGTTGAGTGTTGGTTGTTTTTCTTCAGATATTTGGGTGTCCGCTTGCCCGAGATGAATGTATTGTGGTTGTTGACAGTCTGCCAGTGCCCCCTGGTGATTTGAAGGTGGATCCTGTGAATGGGTGAGCAGTTGACAATCGTGATATCCTACTCAAAACAAGTTAAGAACACCCAATTTTTTCACATGACTATAGTTAATCTGTCATGGCCATATATAGCCAACTATAGTCATATGAAATAATTGCTTTCCTGATCTTCTTTTGAGTAGTATATCTAATGAAAAAAGAACTTATTTTTATACAGCAAGTTTGGCTTTAAGATCAGTAGTGTACTTTCCAGGTATGCTTCCGAAAGAGTACTAATGCACTGACTGATCACAAGTACTTTGATGTTACAAAAGAACTGAACAGATAAATGCATGAAAAAATATTTGAAAAAAACCCAACAAAATTCTTTAAGAGTTAATATCTTTTTCTTGCATTTCAGATTTCTCTATTTCACCCAAGACGGAGAAGGCAAAGGTTTATATCGTATTGATCTTGCGGACATAAGTCAGAAGCAACGTGTGCAGCCAACCCAAATTGTTACTATCAACCATCTGAAAGCTTTCATGATTGACTTTGAGACAGTACGTCTCTATTTCCCCAACCACACACAGAACACCATGCTTTCCTCCTTTGTAGATGGGTCTGATATTCAGGATATTCGACCTGATGTCATTCTGCCAAGCTACAAACACATCATTAGTCTCACTGGCTATGATAATCGCTTCTATTGGACCAATGGCTCTGAAATGTTAAGTGAAGAATTTGATCCAAGATTTGAGAAGTATCGACATAATGAGCTGCTGTTCTTCGATAAGTACTACCGAGGATTGAACATGTACCACCCCAGAATGCAGCCAACACCAGGTAGAGTGAAATACTGGAGTTTTAGTTCCAGTACAGCTTACTTACAACTACATCTAGACTTACAGTAGGGGGACCATTTGGTATTCTGATGACCCCACCCCACCCCAAATAGTGACCCCAATATTTTTGGTTTAGAATATTTTTTCACACTACATTTCAAGGATCGTTTTATGACAGATGGTAGGTCAGAACATCATGCATCTACAACAGTGCATGCATATTTACCGGGATACAATAGGTCTTCAGCAACCCATGCTTGTCGTAAAAGGCGACTATGCTTGTTGTGAGAGGCGACTAACGGGATCGGGTGGACAGGCTCGCTGCCTTGGTTGATGTATGTCATCGTATCCCAATTGCGTGGATTTATGCTCATGATGTCAATCACTGGATTGTCTGGTCTAGACTTGATTATTTGCAAACCGGCGTCATATATCTGGAATATTGTTGAGTGCGGCGTTAAACAACAAAGAAATGAGAAAGCATGCATATTTACACAAGGATTGCTATTTTATTAACTATCCAGAGTCAGATATTTCCCCTGTAATGTCCTGTAGTGTATGCACATATTTCAGTCAGTACTGACCTCAGTCTAGTTGATTTCAATGGCCCATGATGTAGAGTTTCTTCCTTGCTTCAGTTCCACACGCAGCACCTATGAACCTCCAAGCATTGTTTGAACCAACGGAAGTACACATAAAATGGGAGCCCCCTCCATTACTGCAATACCAAGGTGAGTACAGATGTGCATGTTCGTGTCCTCTATTGGCATTCTAGTCACTGATTTTCACCACGACATGTTTCTAGGTTTGTCAGCACCATACTCGTGCTCATGGGTTTCACCGAAGTGGTAAAGACCTGCATCACTTTGGGCTTTCCTCCCACATTAAGCTGACACACTGTGATATAACTGGAATACAGTTAAAAGCGGTGATGAATCCAACTCACTCACTCACTTGGGGCGGTTGGGTAGCCTAGTGGTTAAAGCGTTCGCTCGTCACGCCGAAGACCCTGGTTCGATTCCCAACATGGGTACAATGTGTGAAGGCCATTTCCGGTGTCCCCCGCCGTGATATTGCTGGAATATATTGCTAAAAACGGCGTAAAACCATACTCACTCACTCTGTAGTAGCTGATGAAGGTAATTACAAGAGGGGTGTGGATACCAACTTGTTTATTTACACTTTTAACTAGTTGGACTATTGGGGCTGTTTTCATAGTAGTATACCATCTTTAAGGCTTGATAATTATATAAAACAGTGTAAGAGAAATTAATAAAGTATTGCTGATAATTTCAAAGTTGGCTGTTTCCTTCCTATCACATGTCAAATCAAAGGGAAGGAACTCTAATCTAAACTTATAGTGATCCTAGGTATTCAATACACAGGCAGCTTTGAAATTTTCATAATTTATGTTTTATTGATAACTAATTGCAACCATCGCAACTATCAATTGTTATGCATACTATTGACAATGCTATTGGCATTTTTAAATTCCATCGATATCGTACTATAGTAGGGCAAACAATTGCAATATATCGATAGTTCAATGTATCAATGGTCAGACTTATGAATGAATCAGTTTTGTTTAACGCTGCATTGAACAGTATTCAGTTATATCACAGCATGTCAGTTTGATGTGAGAGAAAAGCCTGAACTAATGCAGGTCTTAGATGGTAAAGGACTCCTTTTAATAGGGCTGTCTAAAGATATACCGGGTAGATCATAGAGATTGATAATCGCTAACTAAATATCAATCATTTATCGATAAATATCGGAGAAGTTTCCACATGCAATTGTGCAAGAAAATCTTCAAAGAAATCAACAGATTTCATGCCACTTGTGAGCAGTGACACATGATTACTTTGTGGATATTTGAGATATGACAAAACAGTTGCTTTCCGTATTTGGCAAATGACATTATGACAATGAAAAGTCTGTTTCGGTAAATCTAAACTTTATTTCATGACAATAGTTGATGTAAGTTATTATCGATGACAACAATTTCATATTGATAATCGTTAATATTTCTTCCCATCGACGATAATTCTGATTGTCCCCCGCCGCGCGAAAGCGCGAAGCGGGGGATATAGTATTCACGACCGTCCGTACGTCCGTCCGTACGTCCGTCCGTACGTCCCACCTGTTTGTTGCCGCGATATATCAAGAACTAAACACTGGATTGTCTTCATATTTGGAACTATGGTGTATATACAGACTCCGCAGACACCAGTCGGTTTTGGTGACCTTGACCCCATTTTCAAGGTCACAGCAGGTAAATCTGCTTTTGGAGTTGGAAAACGGTGTTGCCGCGATATCTCAAGAACTAATCGCAGGATTGTCTTAATATTTGGAACTATGGTGTATATACAGACACCGCAGACACCAGTCGGTTTTGGTGACCTTGACCCTATTTTCAAGGTCACAGCAGGCAAATCTGCTTTTGGAGTTGGAAAACGGTGTTGCCGCGATATCTCAAGAACTAATCGCTGGATTGTCTTCATATTTGGTATTTTGGTGTATATACAGGCGGGGGACATTTCGTCACTTCTGTGACAAATACTTGTTATCAATCTTTTTAGCCAGCCCTACCTTTTAAACCCACAAGAAGGTGCTATGATGCTAATAAACCTACAAAAATAATCAAGGCAGATCTGGATTTGAACGCAGGAGCATGCGTGTCACACACTCTTAAAGGATGTCCAGGTTCCATGCTTTACTGTGTGCTAGGACTACCTACATACAAGTATTAGTAGGTTTTTTTATGTCTACTTGATGCTCATGTGATGGGGTTACATGGTTTTAAAATAACAAATACTTTTAAATGACACTGCAGGCCGGGGAGCTTGGAACCAGTGGGACTATGAGTTGTCGTTGTTCGATGTGGAGGACAGGGAGAACACAGAACAGTCCATCAACGCAACAGGGAACACGGTCATGGTGCAACAGCTCCAGCCAGACACTCGCTACAACATCCGGGTACGAGCTGTTTCTGAGTCAGGACTTGGACCCTGGTCGGACATTTTCATTGGAAGGACTCTTAAAGCAGGTAAACCCATGCAAGAAACACTTCCTTTAATGTGCAGTCACAAACATGTGCTTAGAGTGGTTTATGTAGAGCCAAAATACATGATGTGTATTCATGTACCGTGACAACAACATTAGTGTCATCATGAACCTGTATCTGCCCCGCCCCGCCCCGCCCCGCCCCGCCCCGCCCCGCCCTGCCCTGCCCCGCCCTGCCCTGCCCTGCCCTGCCACTGGGTGGGTTAAGGTATGTTTTGGCTTTTTCACTGGCATTAGTAGATGGAGAAAGTTATTTTTCTACCTCATATCCAATATTGTGTTGGGGTAGGCTAGTGGTTTATATGTTGATCGTCAAACTTAAAGCCAGGGCTCAATTCCCGAATTGGGCTTAGTGTGTGAAGCCTATTTCCGGTGTGATTATTGCTTGAATCTTACTTGTACTAAAAGCAGTGGAAAACTGAACACTTGGTATTTGTTTCAACACATATATTCCTGTTTTTGCAGTATTTTAAAATGTGACACTATTTTGACCATGCTTTTGACATCTCTCAAAAGTCATGTTCAGCTGAAGGACTTGAACTTTGGGATGTATTTTTCTCCTCAGATTTTAGTGTTTCATGCTTCGTCCTCAATATTTATGCAGAAAATCGTTGAATATCCATTTTCCATGCTGACAGAAACTTTTTAAAGTGTTGTCTTCGTTTAAGTTTTAAACTGTTGACTGCATAGCCAGATGAGTTCCGTGCCGTAGCATTATTTCTTCAGGAATAATGAAAGAACACAAAGAAAGCATTTGGTATTTGTTTGTAAACATATACACTTCAAGAGATCAAGAGATATATGTTTGTTTTGCAGAAAAGATACCTGTTCGTGTTTTAATGAGTATACCCGGAAGGATAATTGAGACCGATCTATCTGACAACACCAATCACACATTGGTCAACACCAGCTCCGCAAGAGGTAGGACAGTTTACAGTCTTCAGCAACCCATGCTTGTCGTAAGAGGCGACTAACAGGATCGGCTGGTCAGGCTCGCTGACTTGGTTGATGCATGTCATTGTATCTCAGTTGTGTAAATCGATGCTCATGATGTCAATCACTGCATTGTCTGGTCCAGACTCGATTATTAACAGACCGCCTTCATTTAGCTGGAACATTGCTGAGTGCGGCGTTTAGCAACAAGCAAACAAACATTAGCGGAAACATCATTACTGAGCTAAACTGAATTGCATTCGTAATATATGTAAGCACCAGATCACAGGAAGGATGGATGGTAAATTAATCTTCTCAGATCTGTGGCACGTTTTCTCCCCATAGCTTGCCTTATAATGGCATCTACAGAAACCTAAAGCTCATTGACTTTTGTAAAAATATAACAATATTGAACCCTAGAAATGACAGAAAGAAATATAATAGGGTTATGTGGCTATGAGGAAAGCAAGAATGAACATGTACAATACAACAGTTTGTATCCCTGGATGACATTCCTTTGTATCATCCTTTAATTAAGACTTGACTTCAATATGTTGACATATTGAAGTCAATTCTTATTATTAAATATGTCAACAATATTAAGTTCACAGACTGTTTATTTAATCAATAACAAAAAAAGCTAATTCTATTATCAGCCAATCAGGAAAAAGCAATCCTTTTATAGGCATGGCCTAATTAATTTTTTGCTTATGGAAACATAAACGCAAAAGATAATGCTTGGTTAGCCAATCAAATACCATGGAATCACTTATAATGTATTTATTATTTGTTTCATTTTGTCAGATATAGCCTGGCATAACAATATGCTTATGTGGATATCCAAAGATGGTGGGTATGTCCACATCCTGGACCACACAAAGCAGATACGGACAAACATGGCTCAGAACAGTGAAGCTTCCTGTCTTGAGTATGACTGGCTTGGGAAGAAGATATTCTGGTCGGAGTTTCAACCAGCTGTGGTATGTACTTGCACTGGCTATCAGCAAAGGCATGATTGATTGCTGACAGTTTGGCACAGGTGCTTGTACTTTCATCAAGCACGTGATACAAGCACATGTACTGAAATTTTTTTGAAATTGAACTCCATAAGTATTGATGGATACGACAACTTCTAGAGTGTCGACCTGTGACAATCCGGGATAGAATAGCTCTTCAGCAACCCATGCTTGCCATAAAAGGCAACTATGCTTGTCGTAAGAGACAGCTAACATGATCGGGTGATCAGGCTCGTTGACATGGTTGATGCATGTCATCGTATTGCAACTGGGTAGATCGATGCTCGTCATGTCAGTCACTGGACTGTCTGGTCCAGACTTGATTATTTACAGACTGCCGTCATCAAGCTGGAATTTTGCTGAGTGCGGCTTTAAACAACAAACAAACAAAAATTCTAGAATGTCACTTAAGGATCTTAATATCAGGGACTAAACTAGGAATCTGGAACCCACCTAGTCTGTCATACAGACCCTGAAACAAATATATCTGGTAGTCAGTGTTGCAGTAAGTTCATTTTATTGAATTGCAAGTCAAGACAAGACACTATCGCATCATGACAGTGATTCAGCAATCACCAAGACATTTCATCACTGGAAGTGGGGGTATACAGAAACTGACACACAAACATAAAACTACAATGTAGTGGCAGTTCACTTACAGTTTACTTCCTATTCCTCCCCAGATCAAGAGATCAGATATCAACAGTCTGTCCAGTGACTTCATATACCAGGCAACTGCTCGGGACATGGCTATTGACTCCACTGCTGGACGACTCTACTGGGCCACAGCCAACACCATCGAGTCCACCTTCCTGAATGGTGAGGATCACATTGTGATAGACTCGGTGCCATTCTTCCAGGGTAAACAAATCATCAGCCTTGTCGTCAACCTGGACTTAAAGAAGGTCCTGTGGTACATCAAGGCCTTCGAGAACCAGGACCTGTACATGGCGGACCTCATCAGTGCCGAGGGATCATTTGCCATGGACGTCCGGACCAGTGTGAGGGAAATGGGAGACTTCAAGAGCATCTCAACGTAAGAACATTTGATGATACATGTTTCACTTGTTCATCCAAGTCAAATCTTTGCATGTTTTAATTGTGAGTCTGAACTAAATTTTTAAAGGTGAGTGAGTGAGTTCAGTTTAACGCCGCTTTTAACAGTATTCCAGTTATATCATGGCATGTTAGCTTAATTTGGGAGGATGGCCCGAAGTGATGCAGGTCTCAGACGTTTTCTTCAGTGAAACCCATGAGCACGAGTATGGTGCTGACAAACCTAGAAAGAAAATCAGGGCGAACCGGGATTCGAACCTACAATCATAGGTTTCTGGCGTGCCCAAGGGATGCAACTGTGCACAGAGAATCGCAGTGCCTTATATGACTGGGCCACCTGTGCCCCCAAATATTTAAAGAAAAGAAAAAAAAGTTATTTTGAATGTGGAACATTCTTATTTAATCGTTTCCTTTAACTATTGCATCAAGAACTTTGGGGGGAAATGAAACAAAAGGTTTTCAGTGTAATAACATAAATGTTGATGTTATATATTTTCCATGACTTACTTCCTTCATATTTGACAGTCATGCACTAGTGTAATTGTGTCTGGCCTTCGTTGTTATGATGTCGTGACTCACAACAATGGGCCAGTAGCATGACAATATATTTTATGAGGATAATTTTGTGGTGAAATGTAGTTGGAGTACGTTTTTGCAGTCAGGTTTGTTTGCTGCCTTCATAAAGTGTACACACAAAGTCAATGTTATGGCACTTCAAATTAGGTATTTGTTCCTCTTTAGATTTCAAGCTACTTGAAAGAACAAGGTTTCTGTAGTGAGACTGATTTTATGTTGTGACATGAATGCCCAGCTGAGATGGCATGAACTTTTGTGTTCAGTTTCTGTACACTGGGGTAGCTGATTGTGGTCAGTTGCTGAGCTAAATGGTTGAAACATTGGCTGGTCACACTGAAGAATTGTGTTGGTATTACTCGTCTTGATGTGGCTGAAAAACGGTGAAAACCTCTACACATTCTGTATGAACTAAACTGATTCTCTTATCTCTAGGACCTTATAGAACATACTCTCACATTGTCCCATTTCTTTGGAACTCCCTCTCTCTAGAGCTGAAGCTCTGTCCCAGTCTTGAAAACTTTAGGCTTCACCTCAACACCTACCTGTTTTCCAGCTGCTACAGCAGTGTATAAAACTTCATTTTTCTCTCCATTTTTATTTTTCCATACATAATTTCCAGGCGTAAGTTTACATTAATTATTTTCATTATTCTTCCTTGTAGTTTTTGAGCAGCTATTCTTGTCAAGATTACTCATTATATAAATGTACATCGTTATCATTATTACTCAATGTATTTATACATATATAATTTAATGCTTTTTAAGTAGCGTATAGATGAGTGGGAAATGTAACAAGACCCCTCAAAAACATCCTGATGAATAGTTTTGAGACAAACAAGTGTAAATTATTTTGTGAGAGGTGTGAGATAGTGGTGTGTATTTGATGAGAATGTGTGTCAGTTGACAGCCAGCTGTAGGGAAATGGCTGTCCATGTACTGATTGTTACACTGACATTTACCCTGGCTGAAGCTATGGAGTCGCTATCAGAGGAGGCTGCTAAGTCCATGTTTTGTAGGTCACTGTATTTGTAGTCATAATTTCACATGATAAAGTACATTAGAATAGCTTTGAGGTTTTGTTTTCAAATTTGAAATAAGCTTAGTTAGGCTTCAACAATTTGAAAAATGTTTCATTGGAAATGCCACCTTGTTTGTATTTTTTTAATGTTATGATTCAATTATTACACAATTACCTCCCAGTCAGAAGACTCACTATCCAGGAGGTAGTTTGACAATGGCAATTTAAAGTACATGTAGACACTATGAAACCTGTATGGCTATTCATGGGTATGCTATTTTATGCAGTCTAGGAGGGCTCTATCACAAGTAATCATAGGAAATTCTTTCTTTTGAAAAGTCCAAAGATAAAAAAGTTATTTATTGTGACCTTAGTAGTCTGTCTCCCAGACTCTAGAAAATAAATTAAGAAAGGAGTCCAAATCAATCCAGAATGATTGGGCGAGATTGCCTCATCTCTTGGCCTGAAACTAAGCATTGCTCAGGGCTCCATTTGGATTTTTTATTTTTGTTTTGCAGATATATATTTTTAAGTAAGATAACTTTATTTCTAGGACTAAATGTTAGTCTTTGACCTTGGGGAAGTTGGTTTTAACAGACTTGCTTGGTTTGGTGTTTGGAGAAGGGATAAATAGGCAAGTGAATGCTGTTTTGTCTCACAGCCAGCAGTGTTATTAAAAGCATCATGGTAGAACATTGAGCCACCCTATGCCCGTTTCAATTTTCTTTTTTGACAAACTGGGGATAGGGATTAGCTGGACAGAGAAGTCTTGTTAGATCCGGTAGGGATTGAATGGTTAGGGCAAGACATAATAGTATACATACAGTATGTGGAAGATGTACTGGGTAGAGTTTGGTGGGTTGCTGTTTGGCAGCGCAGAGAATGGATTACCCAGGGTGTTGGTGAGGGTGTGAATGGCAAGGCAGGCATAGTGATGGTTCTTGAAGGCTGCAACAGTGGAAGGAGTGGATGTCAGGACAGAAGGGATGAACCAGGGTGTTGGTGAGAGTGTGAATAGCAAGGCAGGCATAGCGATGGTACTTGAAGGCTGCAACAGTGGAAGGAGTGGATGTCAGGACAGAGAACAGATGAACCAAGGTGTTGGTGAGGGTGTGAATGGCAAGGCAGGCATAGTGATGGTTCTTGAAGGCTGCAACAGTGGAAGGAGTGGATGTCAGGACAGAGAACAGATGAACCAAGGTGTTGGTAAGGGTGTGAATGGCAAGGCAGGCATAGCGATGGTACTTGAAGGCTGCAACAGTGGAAGGAGTGGATGTCAGGACAGAGAACAGATGAACCAGGGTGTTGGTGAGGGTGTGAATGGCAAGGCAGACATAGCGATGGTTCTTGAAGGCTGCAACGGTGGAAGGAGTGGATGTCAAGACAGAAGGGATGAACCAGGGTGTTGGTGAGAGTGTGAATGGCAAGGCAGGCATAGTGACGGTTCTTGAAGGCTGCAACAGTGGAAGGAGTGGATGTCAGGACAGAGAACGGATGAACCAGGATGTGACTAGTAATAATTATGACCCATGGAAGGTGACAGAGGAGTGGAAAAAACCCTACAGATGACAAGACGAAAAATGACACGTCAGTCTGACTTTCAAATAACCTGTTAAATATTCAGCCAGGCCCTGCCTGTATTTTTTTCATGCAAGCTGTGATAGTCAAAATGTCAGTCATGAATCCAATTTATCCTCATTTTGCAATTTCAACTTAATGGCTAGATTACAGTGGGATTCTCACATGATTATGTTGTCATTAACATGTTATGTAGGTCACGGCTGTGACAGGCAACTGGTGGGGGAAAAAAGTCAAAATTTTATAAAGTTAATGTCCAGTACTCTTTGTTTGTGTTTATATTTAAGTAAACAACAGCTTTTAAGTGTTATTTGAATGTCAGAATATTGCTAATGCAGACATTATGAATAATAGCTGTCACCCATTGAGAAGTTTTAAAGTTCCAGCCATTGTAAATATAGAAAGTGACCTTCTGAGGAGTGCAGTACATCTGAATGAGTAATGTCAATGGAGATATAAGCATCTGCATGTTACATTTGAACCATATCATGTGTCATGACGTCTCTGTTGGATGAAACAGATATACCTATCTATAGCATACTTTGATGGCAAGTTGTATCTATCATCAACAACATACCATGGGGTTTAATGTATGTTGTTTTCACTGAAGTTTTGGAAAGAAATGTTGTTTTCGGTAGTCTTGGAGGAGGAATCCAAAAGTGTTGTAGATATTATATTAAATAGTTTACTCTATAATCTTAGATATATTTGTCCTTATCTACTGTGTGTGAATGTGGAGTGAATGTTTGTATTGTTTTGTCTAAAATACACCTGTATCTTAATTTAGAGTTATACATTGTTCTTCTCATGTTTAGCTCTGTAGTTCGCTGGCTGCAGAGATATATATTTAACATGGATACAGGAATAAAAAATATAAAAAAATGTAGAAAAATGAATTTGGAAGATGAAAAAAAAGAATGCTTCTGTATTAATTTGATGTAAACTATGCTTCTGGTGGTTTAAGTAACTGTCTAAATGCCAAGCAAATTCTCAGCTGTTGATGGTCACTTGTGTCTCTGTGTTTCAGATATTCAGGGATCCAGTACTACTCACACCATCTGTTCTGGATGGACCAGTCAAATGCTTTGGTTGTGGGAGACATGGACTGCAAGTACACCTCCATCGTCAGCCCCAACTTCTCCAACATCACAGCATTTTCTGTGAAACACCCCAGCATACACAGCTTTCCTGGTGCGTGGTTTGTGTGTGGTATGAATACAAAAACTGTAGATGTTAACAGTATAGAAACAGCATCTGTGACTTTCTCATTATGTACAGGACCTCCTAACATTAGGATAATAGTTTATGTTTGATTAGTTGTGATGTATGATAAGGTGAGATAGACATATGTTCACATTCAGATGTAAAATTGATACCTACAAAACTGACATTGAGAATTTTTTGGGGGTAAAGTTGACACATGCAGATGTAAAGTTGACACATGTAGATGTAAAGTTGACACATTCAGATGTAAAGTTGACACATGCAGATGTAAAGTTGACACATGTAGATGTAAAGTTGACACATTCAGATGTAAAGTTGACACATGCAGATGTAAAGTTGACACATTCAGATGTAAAGTGGACACATGCAGATGTAAAGTGGACACATGCAGATGTAAAGTTGACACATTCTGATGTAAAGTTGACACATGCAGATGTAAAGTTGACACATGCAGATGTAAAGTGGACACATGCAGATGTAAAGTGGACACATGCAGATGTAAAGTGGACACATGCAGATGTAAAGTTGACACATGCAGATGTAAAGTTGACACATGCAGATGTAAAGTTGACACATTCAGATGTAAAGTGGACACATGCAGATGTAAAGTGGACACATGCAGATGTAAAGTTGACACATGCTGATGTAAAGTGGACACATGCAGATGTAAAGTTGACACATGCTGATGTAAAGTTGACACATGCAGATGTAAAGTTGACACATGCAGATGTAAAGTTGACACATGCAGATGTAAAGTGGACACATGCAGATGTAAAGTTGACACATGCAGATGTAAAGTGGACACATGCAGATGTAAAGTGGACACATGCAGATGTAAAGTTGACACATGCACATGTAAAGTGGACACATGCAGATGTAAAGTTGACACATGTAGATGTAAAGTTGACACATGCAGATGTAAAGTTGACACATGCTGATGTAAAGTGGACACATGCAGATGTAAAGTTGACACATGCAGATGTAAAGTGGGCACATGTAGATGTAAAGTTGACACATGCAGATGTAAAGTTGACACATGCTGATGTAAAGTGGACACATGCAGATGTAAAGTTGTCACATGCAGATGTAAAGTAGACACATGTAGATGTAAAGTTGACACATGCAGATGTAAAGTTGACACATGCAGATTTAAAGTTGACACATGCAGATGTAAAGTTGACACATGTAGATGTTAAGTTGACACATTCAGATGTAAAGTTGACACATAGTTGACACATTCAGATGTAAAGTTGACACATTCAGATGTAAAGTTGACACATGCAGATGTAAAGTTGATGTATGTTTGTAGCTGGCTTGGATGCCTCCTCTCTGCGTGTCATTCCCAAACCATTATGGGCGACCTCCATCAAGGTGGCCGGGCCGTCATACAACTTCAACCTCACCTGGGACCAGGCCCATGATGTCACGTACGGGAAGGTCTTCTACAAGGTCTACATACAGATTGCTCACAGATCCACACATGTTGTAAGTTTTGCCTCTTCAGCCCTTTATGATTTGTGAAGTTTTATGATCTCAAATTAGATGTGAAATATTAAAATATTCCCTCAAATGACTGCTTGCAGTATTTGTCAAGACGTACAGTAAAAGCTGCATCGCCATGATTATTCTTTGGGGGTCATTTTCAGTTACCTTTATTTTCCTTGAATTTCATCTGTGATGCTGTTTACATATTCACATATTTAGTGTTTTAGTTGTGTCAAACTCTTCTGTCCCCTGTGGGAATGCAAGGTTAGAATTGGTTGCCAGCAACCTATGCTGATCTTAAGAGGCAACATTGATTGTGTTGATTTTGTGTGATCGTAAACCCTGATGGCGTGGATCATTGCTCACAATATCAATCACAGGATTGTCTGGTCCAGACTTGATTATTTGCAGGCTGCCGACACATACCTGACTAATATTGCTGTGAGAATCATTAAACAACAAAGTCGTCTGTGGTCCTTGCAACATGAGGATAAGGTTCACTGTATGAACTTTGCCTAGAAATACCAACATTGTTCTCAGATGTTTTGTGTTTGTTTCAGATAACATCCAAGACATGGCACCCTATAGAAGGGTTGTCCCCGTACACCCAGATGACAGTGTCCATACAGCCCTACACTTACTGGGGGTACACCGAGGCCTCCACTGTGTCCATCCGCTCTCCCATGGCAGGTCAGTCAGTTGGGGCAACTATGTCAGGATTCAAGGGCAGAATAGGTTCCCAGTACTTGTTGTGTGTCAGGTTGGGACAGTGTTTAACCTGGTCAATTTTGTGTCTTTGTCCCTCGAAAAATGCTTTACATCACAGGGACAATCATCAGTATGAAATCTAGAAGTTCAACATGGCCGCATACAAGATGCTAGGGTTTGCTGCCACAAACCATTGCAGATACTTCTTTACTGAATCAGTGTGGCAGGTAGAGCAGGACATGCTTACCCTCTTTGCAAACACCTAGTACCTTTACTGATTTTCAGCCATCCATTAATAAAACAAAATTGTCACTAATTTGCCGTTTTTGGCAGATATTCGAGACTGATTATTTTCTAGTGCTGATGTTTTGAATTATAAAATCAGGTTGTAAAATGACTGAAGCCTTATTTATATGTTAGTTTGCTTCCTTGGTGATGATTGTTACATCATCTATCCAAATTCAGGAGCCATTTTGTCCTTGCAATTCCCATCATGGAAAAGCATGACATGCCGGAACCTATTCTGCCAGAAAATACCTCTAAGAATCGCTTGAAAACGGTTTCAGTTTGTGTGTATTAACAGGAACATCCTAGCCCACACAATATCTATACCAAGCTATACTGTTTGAATGATTGGTCCCCAGTTCCCACTGCACCGCTGACGCCAAGGGTGTACATCACCCAACCCAACAAGAATGCCTCCATCTCGAAACTGATGCTGGCTGCAGACTTCCGCTGGTCCAACCCCTATGCCATACGTGGTGTGCTGAGCCACCATTTTGTGTATTACTGGGAAGGGGACAATGCAGGGAAAACAGTGGCTCAGGTTGATGGAGCGTTGAGACACTTTATTCTCAACAACCTTCTGGACAACAAGAGTTACTTCTTCCAGGTATGGAACCCTCTACTTGCTAATATGTGACCGAGGCAAGAGAGTTAACTGACTTTAAAACTGAAGTTCCCACCCTTGCCGAACTAGGCTGGTATTATGGAGTTACATTTTAGCTGGACTAACGAGTTTATGCATAGGCCAATCAAAATCGTGCAACGAAATCAAAATCCGGTTCTTAAACTATCATGCAGATTTCGTTGTCAACAGATATTTTCCAAATCTTTTCATGTTTTAAATGAAGGTGCTCACGTGATTTGATGCACTTCGCGATGTAAGACCGTTATATCACACAATATAGATCTTGATTATCGATCAGAACGTCTTGACTGGGCGCCGCCATTTTGTTTGAAGCAAATGCAAGTGATACGAGAGGTGAAATCTGATTGGTCCATAGGAGAGGCTTAGAAGGGACATAACTCGTAATAGCCACTGGTGGCGCTACGTTTGAGTTGAAGAATTCTAGCCTTGTTCGGCAAGGGTGGAAACTGGACTTTTATAGTCAGTTAACTCTCTTGCCTCGGGAAGATGATATGTGACAGGTGTGTTCAGGTGTGGTTGATTCAACATTTCTAGACAGATAAATGTTCTTGTCAGAATTGTAACTTGCACATTTTATAATGGCCTTGCCCAAGTGAATGTTTGTAACACAAAACAGGTATTGTAAGGTACAAAACAACAGTAGAATCAAAGATATTTGACTGTTTAATAACTCCAGGCTTCTCTGTTAATTTGTAGTAATTTGAACCCAAGTCTCAGCTTCAGTACGAAAAATAAATTGCAAGTGATTCTGAAATATTTGATTGGCTTAACAAGAAATTTTATTTTGTATTTGTGTTTCCATAAACTACCCAAACAATTAGGCCATGCTCACTAACAGACGAGTGTTTGTTGGCAGATAGCAAGTGTGGGTCTTGTGTTACAGTATTGTGCTGAACTGATTGTGTTTTGTTATACTCATTGTTTCTGGTAATGATTTAATAAGCATTCTGTGAAGTTATTGAGGGGTTTCAAATTTACTTCAGAATGGTTTTGCCCCTATGGAGTTACAAATGTAAAAATCGCTTCTGCACTGATTAACACCAGTTTTTACGTTTATCCCTCCATAAATAAAAATAAGTCAATTCTTCAATAATTAACAAAGACTGTATCCAAACATGATAGCAATGTATTTGATGTGTCACTACAGAATATCACTATTTCAAGGATTCATTTGTAATGCACAGGTGAAAGCTTGCACAGAAGCCGGATGTGGTGACCTCTCTGAAGTTGTGTCTGCTGTCACTGACGGTGAGTACTACAAGCAACATTATTATGTCTTAACTAGATGAATACCCGTGAAGACCTGGATTGGAATTGGTCTTCAGCAACCCATGCTTGTCATAACAGTATCAGATGGTCAGGCTTGCTGACTTGGATGATGCATGTCATCGTATTCCAGTTGCGTAGATTGATGCTCATGCTCATTGTCACTGGATTGTCTGGTCCTGACTTGTTTATGTACAGACTGACATCATATAGCTGGAATATTGCTGAGTGTGGCGGTAAACAAAAAACAAACAAAAATAACTAGATAAATACTTTATTAAATAGTACTCCAAAACATGTGACTAACAGTTTTGTCATGAATCTGACTTTTGTTTAAAGATGTTATGAAATATTCATTAATATACAACTGACATTAAAATGAACTGGGAAGTGAAATAACAATATGGTTATTTCAGTGGTGAATCCTGTTCCTCGCCTGCTGATTGCGACCAAGTCGTCAGTCTCTGTGTCAGAAATGGACGGTCATCTCAACTCCACAGTCCTGCTGCCAGAAATCTCCCCCACAGCCATGACGTTTCTGGCTCAAGATGTCCGCATGTTCTGGATCGAAAAGAAGACATCTCTCTATGTGTCCCAGAATTCCACAAACTCTGCAGTAAGTTGGACATATGTAGTGCCCAGTAATCTCTTGACCTGCAACAGCAGTGTCATCCCCCCAGCTTAAAATAACCAATGAGCTCAATGAATCTGTCTGCCTGAACCCAATGTTGTATTTTACAGACAACAGTTGCATGCAGTGAAAGATTCTGATTCCTCATCAGACTGACAAATTCATAGTAATCATATTACCGTATTCGACGTAATAAGCATCCAGGGCGCTCTCAAAATTAGAAATAGGGGCTCTTGTTAGAATATAAATTTGGTGAAAGAGTTGAAAGATCGTAAATTTTGTGGTTTATGCTCACAGCCTGAAATGATACAAAAGAAAAGTCACGACAGATATATTTTTTCAGATTTTAATTGCCTGTAATTAAGGGTGCATATAACACACGAGTGTGTATTATACATGAATAAATAAGACTTGTGTAACATTGATCAATCGGAAGGGTGCTAATTGGGATTGTTCACTAGCCAATATATTAGCAAATATCGCCATAGGCGCTTATTAGAGCGGGGCGCTTATTACATCAAATACGGTATACTTGTTTCAGTGCCTTTTTGTCTGCAACTGTTTATGATTATTCTTCAGTGATTTTGAATTATATGGTATTGGCACTGACAGCATTCAATGGCCTCTACCTATTATAGGATTCAACCATTAGTGGAAAATTGGCATGAGTGAGAAATGATTCTGACGTTTTCATTGTTCTTGGTATACATATTTTGTAGAGTGAGATATCTTTTCTTTCCTCAGTATGCTCAGTTTTACTTCTCTTTCAGCTCATCAAGCTGGATGGGGTGGGAAAGGACATGAGCATTGACTGGATCAGTCGAACTCTGTATGTAGTGGAGGAGATGGGCGACCTGAACAGGATCATGGCGTTTGACATTGACAAGAGGATGTACCGCGAGATAATGAACAGATCTGTCTCTGTTGGCAGTGTTCTATCAGACCCTTACACAAGGTGAATGTTGTGATAAATCACCTACAGTAGGCAACCATCACTGAATTGTAATAAACTAAATTCCAGGTGTAATGGACATGATCACAAAGAATTAAGTGCACTGAATGTGTTTACTTCAAGAAATGTTCTATCCAAAGAGAAACTCATATGATGGTGCTCTGGTAATCCCAGTAATCAGTGGCTGGAAATAGGGTTGTGGGGATTGAACATAGCAACCATTATCTTCTACATCAAGCATGGGATGCAGTATGACAAAAGGTGACAAATGGATCTCTCATGTCATCCATGAAACCCAGTGTTGAGTTGCAACTTACATTAGCATCATTAGTCTTCATCTGGCACACTTTTCTTTACAGCTCCCTCTTCTGGACGGAGAATGATTCTTCCAATCAAGGACACATTTTCCACAAACATTTCAACAGCAATACCATATCGGACCTTCTTGGTGGTGAAAGACGTTCTCGGAGGTCTACAGACAACTGCACATGCCAGGATGGACTCAGCGTCTCGCCTGTTGTTGCTATGGACTACTCAAGCAGTGGGAGGACGGAGATAGTCTTCATCGATATGCCAACATATAGCATCATGGCTACCGATGTGTCTGGATGTCAGTGTCGGGTCGTCTTCAGAGCAGCGGCCTCAGACACAAAGGGTAGGTTTGGGCAGATTCAGAGTATACTGTTTATCTGTGATAAACTGTCAGTGCATTTCATTTTGTGTTGTCTGACACTCATGCAGGCTCATTCAGGCTTCGGGGCGGTTGGGTAGCGTAATAGTTAAAACGTTCGCTTATCACACCGAAGGCCTGGGTTCAATTTTACTATGTGTGAAGCCCATTTCTGGTGTTTCCAATTGCTAAATAGGTCTTCAGCAACCCATCCTTGCCTTAAAAGGCGACTAAGCTTGGCGTAAGAGGTGATTAACGGGATCAGGTGGTCAGGCCCGTTGACGCACTATTAAAGATTGTAGAAGCCTGTTTCATGAGATCAGTAACATAATTTACCATGATCTGCAGGTCTGCCCCCGAGCCTGCTGGCTGTGGACCACCTCCGAGTGTACTGGTACAACAAGCAGACCAGAAAGCTGTACAGTGTCAATAAGAACACGGGACGGGACTTCATCCAGCAGAGCATCCCTGATGTCCAGGACATTGTGGCTTATGGAGACCATTTGCAACCCTTGCCAGGTATGTCACAGTTTATGTATGTGTGTTGATGGGTTATGAGTGTGCGTTGGAGGGAGTGGATCGATGGTGTGGGTATTTGTATAGTGATTGGTGGTGTTGGCTGGAGGGTGTGGTTGGCGTGTGAGTGTGTGTGGATGGCGATGGCGATGGCGATGGCGATGGTGGTGTGTTGGGTGGGAATGTGTGTGGTTGGTGGGTATTGTGAGTTGGATGGAGGGATGAGTTGCCTTTTATAGAAATATATGCATCAGGGAAAAAAAACATTGCTAGTTATATCATGCCAAGAGAGAGAATAGATTACACAACATGAGTGACCTCCCAAACTTTTAGGCTCCTCCTCTGTTTGTTGATTTGAACCAAATAAATGCTTGTGTTTCTCAGACTCGGACTGCCTTGACCCTGGTAAGTACAGTGGTAAGGTGACGCTGACAGAGGTGACGGACAAGTCCATCGGCCTGAGTCTGGACACAGTGTCTCGTCCCAAGCACTGTCACGGCATCAGCACCCCTCAGGACAAGTACACTGCGTGGTACAAGCAGCTGAAGGACAGGAGCCGCACCCCACACACAGACTGCAGCACTGAGAGTGAATCCTGCCAGAAAGTGGTAAGGACTCTTTTATACGAGGGACTAATACCCAGGGCCCCGGATCGGGTGGTCAGGCTTGCTGACTTGGTTGATGCATTTTATTGGTCCCAATTACGTGGATCGATGCTCATGATATTAATCACTGGATTTTCTGGTCCAGACTCGATTATTTACAGACCGCCGTCATATAGCTGGAATATTGCTGAGTGCGGCATAAAACAACAAACCAAAACCATTTCCTGTCAAGGTCTACCCAACATGGCATGGCAGAGTACCATTTTGATGCTTTCTCAAAGTTTATGTTTATATTTTTCGAAAAAGAATGGGTTTTGATTTTTTTTTAAAGTTTATAATGATACTTCCTCAAGTAATGCATACTATATATATATATAGGCCACAAATTTGTATCAGTAATAAAATAGAGACTGTACCCAGTGTATCTTCAAAGAAGCTTCAAGGGACTCTAGTTGTTGACACAGGATATTGATTCCAGATCTCACCCTTGGAGTTTGGACTTAAATTCCTATAGACCTTAATATGGATTTGACTGATATAAGTCTTAAATTTAGACATGGGGTAGAATACATCTTCAGCAACCCATGCTTGCCGTAAAAGACAACTATTCTTGTCGTAAGAGGCCACTAACGGGATCGGGTGGTCAGGCTTGCTGACTTGGTTGATGCATGTCATCGATCCAAATTGTGTGGATCAATGCTCATGATATTAATCACTGGATTGTCTGGTCCAGACTCGATTATTTACAGACCGTATAGCTGGAATATTGCTAAATGCGGCGTTAAAAAACAAACCAACCAACTTAAATCTCTGCTTTGTTGTGATGAAAGCTGCTTGCATCAACAGGAGTCGTATGACCGTTTTGTGAACATCACGGGCCTGGAGCCATACACCAAGTACCTGTTCCAAGTGACCATCAGTAACTACTACACAGAGTACCTGGCAGAGACCGCGGGGAAGGAGGTCGTGCAGAGGACTAAACAAGGAGGTAGGAGACCACTAGATGGAGGGCAGTAGCTGTCAGACATGTATGATTGATGGAGTGAGTGAGTGAAATACGTAGGTCCGAGACCACTAGATGGAGGGCAGTAGCTGTCATACATGTATGATTGATGGAGTGAGTGAGTGAAACACGTAGGTCCGAGACCACTGGATGGAGGGCAGTAGCTGTCAGACATGTATGATTGATGGAGTGAGTGAGTGAAACACGTAGGTCCGAGACCACTGGATGGAGGGCAGTAGCTGTCAGACATGTTTGATTGATGGAGTGAGTGAGTGAAACACGTAGGTCCGAGACCACTAGATGGAGGCCAGTAGCTGTCAGACATGTATGATTGATGGAGTGAGTGAGTGAAACACGTAGGTCCGAGACCTCTAGATGGAGGCCAGTAGCTGTCATACATGTATGATTGATGGAGTGAGTGAGTGAAACATGAAGGTCCGAGACCACTAGATGGAGGCCAGTAGAATTCAGACATGTATGATTGATAACATAATTTTCACCACTGTTTTGCCTTTAAGCCCAACAGATAATCGAGACTGGTTATTCTCTGGCAATGATTTATATTTTGCAGTATTGATATTGAATTCTGTTTGAAATACCATCTTTTTCTTTCAGTACCATCACCTGCACAGAATGCCACTGCTTTCATTGTAAATCCAAGAATAATCCGTATTGAATGGAACCCACCTTTGAAACTTAATGGACCTCTACAAAATATATCCTATGTAGTGAAGTGGTCGACCTTGAATGCCAAAGGTCACAACTTGGAAGGTCAGACCGGCCCCTCTGATGTCGGCATATCTGACTCACTGACCACCAGCTACCAGACCACTGTGACAGACCTGTCGCCAAGTCATACCTACACCTTCACAGTAAGTGGGGCTTCTGTTGCACTGGATCAATCATATACATGATTCACAAGTTGATGTGGACATATGCCCTTTTTAGCCCCCATGAACAAACTTCAATTATAAGACCCATGAAGATCCAGGGTAGAATAAGTCTTCAGCAACCCATGCTTGCCGTAAATGGCGACGGTGCTTGTCGTAAGAGGCGACTAACAGGAATGGGTGGTCAGGCTCGCTGACTTGGTTTATGCATGTCATCGATCACAATGCGTGGATCGCTGCTCTTGATATCAATCACTTGATTGTCTTGTCCAGACTCGATTATTTACAGACCACCGTCATATAGCTGGAATATTGCTGAGTGTGGCGTTAAACAAGAAACCAACCAACCAATTATGAAAATCTCAGACAGTGGCTAAATTGAACATATTTTCATTAATGTTAGATTTTTGTACTGTCTTCTGAACATAAAGAATTTGGTTGCACATATCTCTACAAAATTAATTGGACAGAATAATTGTTCAAATTTTTGCTATTTGACAAAATGTGCTGCCCTGTGAGTGTCCTGACTGATAAGGCCTCCTTGATATTTCACTACATTATTTTTGGTTTCTACAAGGTGAGGGCGTATGGGGCTGACAATTTGCTGTACAGCGAGACCAAGCCATTGACAGTGACAACCTACATGGACCCGTTCCCCATCACTCTGAAGCAGTCCTACCCCAATGCTCTGGAAATAGAGTGGCAGAGTCCACCTGACAACAGCGTTGCCCGCCACACCTTCTGGTATTCCACGGTAAGTTGTAGCCATGATACAGACTCTTTCAGATTGTTGCCAAACTTTCGGTAATGCTAGAGTTAATTGGACATATTGGAGTTGCCTTGTGGTTAAAGTGTTGGATGGCCGTGCCGAAGTTACTGCAATAGTGCTTGTGAAGAAATGCTTAATATTACATTCACTTGTTCACTCATTGGGATTCCAGAGTAAGGGTACTGAAGGACGGACTACTCCAATGATCACTACAAAGAACAGCACGAAGTACACAGAGCTGATACCTCACCTGGACACAGACACCCAGTACACCTTCCGGATCAGGACCATGTACAAAACCCCACCCTTTAAGTTCTACTCCTGGCCAGGAAATAACTCACTCACATTTAAGACACTCAGTAAGTTCATACTTCAGGCAGCTCGTGATGTCAGATGTTACTTGAAGTTTATTAGATGCTGACCAAATTTCAGATTGCCAGGAACCCTTGGTAATTTGTCCATTAGATAAAATACATGCTTTTTCTGAAATTTCTGAAGCCAGGCCCTTCACAAATTTTGGTTCCTAAACAATAAATATTCACATCAGTTTGTTAGTGGTAAGCTCTGCCGAAGAAAGTTCTTTGAAAGATGAGGTAAGGTGAAATTGCTTAATTTGTGATGTTCATTAATTCCCTAGTGTTTTTAGGAAACTTCTGAAGGGACATCCTCAAATTATCAACCAGTGATGAGGGAATTAATAATAATTATAAACTGATATGAGTATGATGGAACAGACCTCCCATGTCAAGTTGTGTGATTGAGACATCTCCTACTCCAGCTGATGTCCCAGACCAGCCAGATCCCCCAGTAGAGCAGGAGTACAAGACACAAGTGTTTGAGATCCTGTGGGATGAACCACATGACAATGGAGAGCCGATCTCTAACTACATTCTGGAATACAGGTATGTCATTTCTAACAACATCAGGGCCCCGTTCCACAAAGCCATCTTAGCACTAAGGTGTTCGTAACTCCCATACTTTAACACTGGCTTATGATAGTCGTAGCGCTAAGATTGCTTTTGTGGAACGGTGTCCAGGCCTATTTCTTTAATCTGGAAGGAAGGTAAAGTAACTTGTACATATTGGGATAGCTGATGTCTGATCCATGTCTTTCAATTTATTATTTTTGGAAATATCTTTTTATTAACGAACAGTTTTGAAATTTTAATTCAATGGGAATGTACCATTTGGACTTACAGAGTTTACCTGTGTTTAAAGCCCCAGCTTATCTCATGAAGAAGAACATATTATTCAGTCATCTGTGGTAATCTTCCTGCTATCACAGACATAGTGATGAATGTATGTCAATTAATTTTAACCTGAACCATACCAGCTTATTGCCCAGATTGATGCAAGTCATACATATGAATTCACCACTTTGGAGTCTGGGTTAGAAATGGTCTCCAGCAACTATGCTGCTGGCCATAAGAGGCAGCTTCGTGGATCAGGTGGTCAGGCTGTGACTTGGTTGATGGCATGTCATCATACCCCGAAGACTTGATTGTTGCTCACAATATCGATCACTGTAATGTCTGTTCCCGACTTAGTTATTTGCAGGTGCAGTCATATAGCTAGAGTATTGCTGAGTGTCAGACTCACTGACTCACTGGCCCATTCACGAGCCAAATCTGTGTTTTGAACCCACAGTCAGCAGAACGTGCTGCAGCTAAACGCCAACATAGGCAATGAACCAGTCTTTTTAACAAGATGCTGAGACTGTTGGAGCCTACTGAAGAAGACAAGCCATCAGCAACAAGGATGCGTATCAGATCCTTGGTTGTGGGTGGAACCTTCCTTTACTCACTTCTGATTCTCTGTTGCCAGTCAAATTGCTGATGGTGAGTGGACCCAGGTGTACAATGGTTCCGATGCGAGGTGGGTCGTGGATGAACATGTTCTGGAACCAGGGCAGAGGTATCTCTTCCGTGTAGCAGCAGAAAACAAAAACGGCTTGGGCCCCTTCAGTGACAACAGTTCAGCCTTTGCCACGCCTATTGGTGAGTTGGACTGATTAACACAGGATGGTTGGACAATAAGTGTGGTTGAGTTGAAAACATTCCTACATTGTACCCCAGACATAAAGAATCGCTTTCTTACTAGACCAGTTCCTAACTGATTATTGTGAAGTCTATGACCCTATTTACGGTTTGGTGTTTGAGTGAAGATTTTGTAACATTTCATGTAAGTTTGTCCCAGAAAGTTGGATTGCATAACTATGGAAAAGAGTAGAGGATTCAATACTTTTTGTGAACTATGATCAATTGGGGTTTACTACAAAACTGTATTCATACTCAGTTTATTAAGCTACTTCTTTGAGTGAAGGTATGTCTTAAACTTCCATTATTTTAAAAGTGACATTATAATTATGTTAAAGAGATTATTGCCCTCACGTATTTCCGTATCATAAAGACCCCTGAAGATCCGGGGTAGAATAGGTCTTCAGCAACCCATGCTTGCCATAAAAAGGCGACTGCGCTTGTCGTAAGAGGCGACTAACGGGATCTGGTGATCAGGCTCGCTGACTTGGTTGATGCATGTCATTGTATCCCAAATGTGTGGATCAATGTTCATGATGTCAATCACTGGATTGTCTGGTCCAGACTTGATTATTTAGAGACCGCCATCATATAGCTGGAATATTGCTGAGTGTGGCGTTAAACAACAAACAAACCCAACCAACCGTATCATAAATAATTATCAGGAATAGAAGATATGTACATTTTATTCCTAATACATGATATTTATGATATGGATACACACACTGCCAATAATATCTATTTATCTTGTGTTTTATATGTAGAACAGTTAAGATGAAGAATTTCTGGTTCATCAGGCTCCTAATATCCATGACCAGTCCCTAATTTTGCCATGGACTGTTATTTTTCAGTGATTATGGACAACAGCTTGAACGGAGAGACGACTCGCATTGTGATTGCTGTTGTCACTTCATTTGTGTTTGTGGTGGCCATCATCATCATCACCGCTCTCTGCTTCTGTGAGTAGTTTTAGATGTGTTATGATGTACAAGTTTGAATGTGCTAATAACTGTAAATCTGGACAGTTTTGTGTGAGCATCCTTAAAAAAATATTGTTAGATGAACACGTCACTCCAACCTTCCTTGTCAACTACAACAGCACATGCATCCATAGTTAAAAACACTGAGTTAACTTTTCGTTATTCCACTTCCTCCTCAAACAAAATCACACACAGACATCCCAGACACATGAAGGCTATTGTTAGCCACTAGCAAAATAATTTCATGGCCCAAAACATTCCAGACACATTAAGGCTATTGTGAGCCACTAGCAAAATAATTTCATGGCCCAAAACTTTCCAGACACATTAAGTCTATTGTTAGCCACTAGCAAAATAATTTCATGGCCCAAAACTTTCCAGACACATTAAGGCTATTGTTAGCCACTAGCAAAATAATTTCATGGCCCAAAACTTTCCAGATTTACATTATCAGTTTTGAAGTAAAGGATAATTAATCAGAAGTGAAATGAATTTTATCTATTGAATTATCTATATAACTGTTCATGCAAATATTTTGAATTTGTTTGTTATAAATGCAACGTAAGGCTATCAATGTTTGTATAAGTTAGACTGAATACAAGATTCCAATGGCAATTACAAAGGTGGGTGACAAATGTTTTCACAGTTGGCTATCAAGGACCACTTTCCACAAGACAGTCTTACAACACTGTGGCTATCATAAGCCAACGTTGAGTATTGGGAATATGATAATGACATTGTTGTCAGACTTTGCAGTGTTAGAATAATTTCAAAACCCAACAGTCGGGGAGATAACCCATAAGTGTTGCCTGTCCATCTTCAAAGTTACATGCCCACATAAATATTGAAAAATCCCCAAAAATAAAAAAATCACATCTTGATTCATTTGAAATAATGCTAGCAATAACTTGAGAATCTTTGAGAAGTTATGAAAACTGAATACATAAGTTGTCTTCAAATTATCCCACAAGACAGTTGGGCAGGTGGAGGAAACTTTCAGCAAGGCTGAAAGAAAAGTTACCAGCTAAGGTTTTCGAACACTGCTTCAGGGTCAAGGCTATGTCTTATTGAATTAATCCTGTTGGAATGCCAGGTTAGAATTGCACCCCAGCAACCTATGCTGGCCATAAGAGCCTACTTAATGGACTGGGTGGTCAGACTCAGTGACTTGGTTGATGGCATGTCATACTATATTATTGAATATTGCTGAGTGCAGCATTTAACAAAAAACATACAACCACACAAATATTGTTGAATTGTTATTTTTCTGTAGTCATGAGACGGAGGAAGGAGGAGCGGAAGAAGACGAGGCAGTTCATCAGCATGTACCGAGTCCCCGACATGGAGCTGGCTACACTCAGGGAGCTGCCCCACACCACTGTCCAGCAGAGCAACACACTCTACGCTATCAAGCAAGTTGCAAATATACCACTAGTTTCAGTAGGCTATCGCTGCAGTTATAGAGAGATGTCAGTTGTTAGAAGTGGATGCTGTCAATGTTCATGAGTAGCCACATTGGTCTGAATGTTGAGAAATAACTATGTAAACAGCTATAGAGATAAACATTTTTAGTCTACAAGTCCTTAAAATCATACCATATAGCAAAAACTTAAAAATGGCAATTTTCGAAAAGTATTTATGATACCTTAACTGCAGTTTGGCAAGGACTACAGGACTAGTGCCAATTTCTATTGCTGGTAAATACTGGCATAGACTGACATTCCTCGAGCAAATACACCACATACTTCATCTACTTGTTTGCCAGATATTTTTTCTAGGTAGACCCTGATCCAGGAATAAAATGCAGCATGACATAAAATGGCGCTTAAAGTCCAACCCTGACCGTATTATGTCACACTGGAATACATTGATGCTAATATCATCTCTCTTGCCAACAGCATCACGCCAACAGCGGAGGATATAGAAGCACTGCCACACTTCATGCGAGATCAGTTGACTCTAACAAAATTCCTTGGTAGTGGAGCATTTGGAGAAGTGTTCATGGGTGTGGCTCGAGACATTCTCAGTGACTCCTCGGGCGATACTAAAGTTGCTGTAAAGGTGGGTTCCTGACAAACCTGAAAAGTAATAAGTTCTTAGTCTTGGATAAGGAGATCCCATGATACTCACCTGACTTCATTCAAAGAAGAACTTTAAATTTCTGTTATCCGACAAAGATTATACTTTGGAGAAATTTAATTTAATTTAGTTTTGCATCCAAGCCCAGGTTTTACACAGATTGCCCAAATATGCAACACATGTGGAAATATAGTGTCTTAAAGTTTCTGGAAATGCATATACACAACCTTTGAGTATATTTTGACAGTTTTCAGAGGAAGAATATTTCTCTATTTCCACACTGATGTCTGTAAGGTTGACCGTAGGACACACTAGAAGAATCTTGGCTATGTTTTCATAATTTTATGCTCATTGCTATGGCTGATATGATTTAGTGTGTTTACTGGTGTAATATGGCCTCACTGACTCATTCCAATATTGCAGACTCTGCGCAAGTCAGCATCAGAGCATGAGAAGGAGGAGTTCTTGAAGGAGGCACTGTTGATGAGCAACTTCCGCCACGCCCACATCCTCGGCCTCCTGGGGGTGTGTCTTGACAATGACCCTCAGTTCATCATCATGGAGTTGATGGAAGGGGGGGACTTGCTGTCCTTCCTCAGAGGCTGTCGTGCTACAACTGTGAGTATAGCGGAGGGATATATACTGAGGGACAAAAACAGGGGAACACATGGAAATAATAGTTCACATTTACTGCTGTGTTTAGTAACACTGTGCAACTCCAACAAACTATTTCACTGAGGGATGACAAACCTGTGGTACATATGGCTTCCCTTTTAGCTGATACCTTGTTTCTTTCCATTGGTATATGGTCAACTTTTGAATTGAGTTATCAGTGCGACAGTTTAGACTTCACTGACTTACAAGTGGCTCAAATTTGTTATCTTAGATAGGATGAGTATAAGGCATTATAAGGATTGATTTATGCAGCATTTGTAATGTGGACAATCTGTGACAGTTACATTCACAGAACTAGTCTCTTTATTTTATGATTTACCTAAGGGTATGTATAGCCACTATGACCTGCCTTTGTGAATCTGGCAGGAGATGTCCTGAATATATAGTTATTATTTTGAAGTTTAGAGAAGTTTCTAAGATGCTCTGCTAATAGTTCAAAATCGCTGTCTGTACTTTATCCTGCGATAAAGTTTGCTTTTTGAGTTCTGTCATAATTGACCGATATATGGCGCTGTCCAAATTACTTCCCCATGATCTAACGTATCCTTGGTAACACAATTCTTTCATTACTGTCAAGCAAGATGGTGCATCCACATCAATTGTCTGTGAAATAATACTTAAAACTTGTCTAAGTATCCTCGGGCTTTAACTATAATAGTTCAGAGCAAAACTATACTTTATTACACTAAACTTGGGGTTAGAGCAAACTATATTTCTTAAACATACCTTGTATTTAAGCAATAAAGTTGACTGGATGTGCTCACTTTGTTTCCTCCCCCCTAGGCATCCCCTGCCAAGCTGCTGCTGCCGCATCTGGTCAAGGTGTGCGTCCATGTGGCTAGAGGATGTAAATACCTCGAAGAAATGCATTTCGTTCACAGGTAAGGCTGCCATTAGATCTTTTTTCTTTTCCTTTTTATTATAATCAGTTCTACAAGTTACTAAGAACAAACTAGATTTGATTTTTATTCCATGTAAATAATGGTCAGTAGGGCTGGGACAAGGCCAAATTTACTACCCGGGTATCCAACCCCCTATTACCCTACCCTACAAATGTACCCACTGTAGGTGTCAAGAGATGCCCGATTGGGAGTACTGCTGTGCTGTGTCAGGAAACAAAACACACTCTGACCTTTTTATACAAATTATGTGAGTTTCCTGAACACATGGTGTCACTATTTTTCAGTGATCCATTCATGTGAGTTTCACTGCAAATTTGCTTTTTGCACGCTATGGAATCTGTTTTGCAGATAATCGAAACTGGTTATTCTCTGGCATTGACGTTTTGTATTAATCTGGATGATTTCACATTGACTAGTACCTTCTGGATTAACACGATTTTACTGTAAGTATACGTAGATTTCAGTTTCCTTTTCAATATTTGTAAATGCATATTTATTTTCTACAGAGATCTAGCAGCCAGGAATTGTCTAGTTTCTAAAAAGGACCCTTCAGAAATGGTCATTAAGATTGGTGACTTTGGCCTTGCTCGAGACATATACAAGAATGACTACTATCGTAAGGAAGGTGAGGGGCTACTTCCTGTCCGGTGGATGTCCCCCGAGTCCCTGGTAGATGGCGTCTTCACCACTCCATCTGATATATGGTTAGTGTGGTCTACAGTACTTTGGATTAGAGCATGACAATAATATTCCTGATGTTGTACAGGAGTAAGGAGGTGCATTTTAAAAATAAACATGTGGTGATTATTAGGGTGCTTAAGATTTTCTACTTTCCAAGTCAAATGAAAATTTGAAAATATTAATTTAATGTAATTTTTTGTAAATATGGGAAATATGATCTTTAGTATTCTTGATGATGAATTGTTTGACAGGCATTTCTTAGAAGTTGACAGATGACAAGGTAGACACAAAGTAGACACAAGGTTGACAAAAAGTAGACACAACTTCTTTTATGTACTGTTATAACGATACTTCAGTATACATCCTTATATCATTGTCAAGCAAGACAATGGTATAACAGCATGACAACGGTATAAGGATCTATACCAAAACAGCGCTATAATAGTACATTAAGAGAGGTTGTTATCCATAAATTGTGTCTACTTTGTCATTCCTGATGATGTTGCAAATCACATATCTTAAGATGGGCTACAGAGCCTCGTGTATCCATCTTAGCATGGAATGTTAAGCAACTATGTATAGCTTTCCGTCATACAGAGTTCATGTTACAGTACAGATGTCTGGGTTGGCTGTGTAGAAAGTGTGTGTGTAATTCTTTCAGGGCATTCGGTGTATTGATGTGGGAGGTTGTGACATTGGGACAACAGCCCTATCCTGCACGCACCAACATCGAGGTGCTGCACTTCGTCAGGGCAGGTGGCAAGCTGGAACGTCCAGAAAAGTGTGCCGATGAAATGTAAGTATTAAAAGCTCAAGAAAATATTTCACTGTTCTCCAGGCTTCCCTCCCACATCTTCCCCAGGCAAAGTATTTAACTGACTATAGGCTGGAATTCCAGGGTTACATTATGGGTGGACTAATGAGTCTAATCATAGTCAAATAAAAAACGTGTAACAAATTAAACATCCGGTTCTGAAACAACATGGATTTTAACGTGCAGATTTCTGTCGACTGCAGGATTTGCAAGGCGTGTGTACTGTCAACTGGGCATTGACAGATATTTTCCAAATATTTTCATGTTGTTTATCAAGGTGCTCAAATGATTTGATGCACTTTGCAAGGTAAGAGACGTTTTATTACAAAGGAGGTCTTGACTATCGATCAGATTGTCTTGACTGGGTCCCATTTTGTTTGAAGCAATGCATGTGATGTGAGAGGTGGAATCTGACTGGTCAATAGGAGGAACATAGAAGGGACATCACTTGTAATAGATGCTGTTGGTGCAATGGTCAAACCACAAAATTCAAGCCTAGTTCGGCAAGGGTGGAAACTGGACTTTTTTGTCAGTTAAGATGTTCTTCCCATTAATCAGACACACTTCCAGGAATGCTTTGCAACTGAGCTCTTTAATGGCAATAATCCAAATTCTGTGTAGCTTTATTTGTTTAATTAAAGTACAAAAAAAAAAGATTTAACTGACTTTACTTATCATGTTTGTCTTATTGTTGTTAAACAAATTTACTTTCTGAATGAATTTCTGATCATTACTTTTGCATTCTGTTTTGAAATGAGTCCATGACATTTTTCACCAGGTTTGGGTTAATGCAGAAGTGTTGGAGTTTCTCCGCTGAAGACCGTCCGTCCTTCTCGTACATCCTGCAGGGTCTGGAGGAGTTCCAGGAGCAGTGCAACAACATGTCGGACGAGGAGATCGCCCTCCGCTCACCCACACACCTTGATGGTAGGCTTCTGTGCTGGATTCTTGCACGTTCACATCCTACATGGCCAGACCAATACTGTTCAGTTTACACAAAGGTCGAAGTAAACCTGCATCTACATTTTAGGAACAAAATTCCTAGTTCCAATTAAAGATTTTTTGTTAAAATTTTTTTAAATTGTTTGATAGGCATTACTTAGAAGTTGATGGATGACAAAGTAGACACAATTTGTGAATAACAACTTCTTTACCTTCTGGGGAGGTTTCGGTATAGATTCTTATCCCATTCTCAAGCAGGTTGTTTTAGCTTATTTTTTTAGGGCATTTTTGAAAAACATAAAAAACATTGGTACTATGATCAATATTTTCAAAATGTTGTGCTCAGTATGTTTTATCAGTTTATTTACACTTGTTTTTTGTAAATGACCATTCTTGTTCTTGTAGCCGAGATAAAAACAAAACATAAAATTGGTCTGGCCAAAAGGGGCTGAAAAAGACAAAGTTACATATCAATTGTATTGAAATTGTACTTTTTTAATGTCTGACCTATTTGCCACAGTAAAAATGTCTTGGGTCATAAATATCATGCACATTTTACAGTAAATTCTTTCAGTAGCGTATGAGACGAATAAGTAAACATCTTAAAAGAAAAGTATTGGACTAGAAATATTGTCCTGAGCAATAGACCTTGATACATACCAACATATTTATGATATTTATTTTCAATCCCCTTGCCTCAGTTCACCCTACCCTACCCTTAAAGTGTTGAATGTTTTTTGTTTTCATTCAAATATTCACACTTTTATTTAAACCCAGTTTGTTATTAATGTGTCCTTTTGCTTTCTCACTTACTTGTATGAGTTATCCCATTACAAACAGCAGACTTTTCTAGTAAAATGTAATTACTTTGTAGCATGGCACAAATAGGAAAAAAAATAAATAAATAAATAAAAAAAAAATAAAAAAATAAATAAATAAATAAATACCGTATTCGACGTAATAAGCGCCCAGGGCGCTCTCAAAATTAGAAATAGGGGGCTCTTATGTTATGTTGGTGAAAAAAACCCACTAAAGTTGAAAGATAAATTTTTGGGCTTATGCTGACAGCCTGAAATGTTCATATACGACAGATATATTTTTCCAGAATTAAATTGCCAATAGTTAAGGGTGCATATAACACACGAGTACGTATTATACGCGAATAAACAAGTCTTTTGTACATTGATAAATCGGAAGGGGTGCTAATTGGGATTGTTCACTAGCCAATATATTAGTAAATATCGCCGTGGGCGCTTATTAGAGCGGGGCGCTTATTACGTCGAATACGGTAAATAAATAAATAAATAAATAAATAAATAAATAAATAAATAAATAATGCAGAAACCAATCATTTTGAAAATATTTGCCTAATCTTCAAAATTGGAAGAATTTTATTTAAAATGTTATTAGATTTGTAGTTAAACTGTGAAAGTGGGTAGATTATCAGAATGAATGGAATGACGGATTACTATAGTAGTATGAGAGAACCAGGTGGTCCTAACATCTTGTCAGTAGTATATGACATTTTTGACATATTAAGGAGCATAAGCATGTTTTCAAGCATGGGTGTTTATATATAGTTGCGACTACAGTAGGCTTCTGACTATTTCATTACAATATAGAAAATAATAGAAAATAAATCTCCACAAGGTATGAAATAAAGGACACTTGAAGTTTGATTTCATATCAGTGTAGAGGATGCTTATGAATCGGGGCACTGAATATATATCTGAAAATTGAGTTGGTTAAAAGCAAGAAACTATTTATATTTCATCTTAATAACAGGGTTAAATGATGTGATTTTATTTTTATGACAGTGAACATGTTATATTCCCGAGAAGAATCAAAAACCTCTTCCAGTTGCTTGATAAGGTTCTGATGGGAAGCCTTCAAAAGTAGTAGTATTTTCACTAATCCTAAAAATACCTAAACTTGGTTTAGAAAATAGTCCCAGATTCTAAGCCTGCCAACAGAAGTCTTTTTGTCAGGATCCTTTATTTGATTAAACAATTACAAACTGTAGACAATAAGTAAGTGACATTAAAGTGCCCCCGGTCTAATGGTAGTTTTTAAACTTCAATGTAACATTAAGCATGATTTTTTGGAATGTTGTTTTATAATGAATCCACATAATATGCAGTGGTACCATGTTTGTCTGGCAATTTATTTTTTTAATTTTAATGTCAAGTATTATTTGTATTGAAGCATGATCTAATGGTTTTACATAGACATCACCAATCTTTATATATTCTCTTTCTTGTGCTTATTATATTTTGCTTGCCTGCATATTTCCCTCATTTTAATTTTCAAAAATCACTTTTGACTGTTTTTGAAATTCATAATGCAATTCATCATCAATTAACATATTGGAGTTTGTTAAAATGAGGGACTTGCTTCTTTGTGCATGTATTCTCTGAATAATGTGCTTGGTAATATTCCTTGCTGTCTAATGTATTAATAGGATATGAGAATTGATTCACTGAAATTATTTGGACCATGACAAGAGTTCTGGGCACTAAAATATGCTAGGTATCCCACATGAGGGAATACATCTAGTTAGCAGTTCTACTTGACACTATCTTAAGGCCTGAATATAATACATAACAGAAAGTTTCTCTCTCCCCGGGTATTTTGCCTATATTTTCACAATAAACTTCCGTCTCAAGTATTATATGCAGTTAATTATCAAGATAATGGTTATCTTGTTAACTACATGATAAATACCACTAAGGGGAAAGCGTAGACAGTTTCTCTTGGGCTTAAAAGGACGAAGTTCATGTAAAAGAAAAATGGTTATTCAGATTATAGAGGCATATATTTTATCAACAGTTTCAAGTGATATTACCAGTATTAATATATCTGGTCTCAATGTATGTGGGGTATATATAGAGAGCTTTCAAGTGATATTACCAGTATTAATATATTTGGTCTCAATGTATATGGGGTATATATCGAGAGCTTTCAAATGATATTACCAGTATTAATATATTTGGTCTCAATGTATGTGGGGTATATATCGAGAGCTTTCAAGTGATATTACCAGTATTAATATATTTGGTCTCAATGTATATGGGGTATATATCGAGAGCTTTCAAGTGATATTACCAGTATTAATATATCTGGTCTCAATGTATATGGGGTATATATCGAGAGCGTACAAGTAATATTACCAGCATTAATATATATGGTCTCAATGTATATGGGGTATATATCGATATCGTTCAAGTAATATTACCAGCATTAATATATTTGGTCTCAATGTATATGGGGTATATATCGAGAGCTTTCAAATGATATTACCAGTATTAATATATTTGGTCTCAATGTATGTGGGGTTTAAAGCGAGAGCATTCTAGAAATATTACCAGCATTAATATATTTGGTCTCAATGTATATGGGGTATATATCGAGAGCTTTCAAGTAATATTACCAGCATTAATATATCTGGTCTCAATGTATATGGGATATATATCGAGAGCGTTCTAGTAATATTACCAGCATTAATATATTTGGTCCCAATGTATATGGGGTATATATCGAGAGCTTTCAAGTGATATTACCAGCATTAATATATTTGGTCTCAATGTATATCGGATATATATCGAGAGCATTCAAGTATTATTACCAGTATTAATATATCTGGTCTCAATGTTTAGAAAATGATATGCTTTGTGATAAAGAAAACATGAAGACCTTATAGTGCATGCTGTATTTGCGTGTGGCCAGCGGCCCTAGTTCTCACCACTCCTGCATGTTGTTTGCAGTCCTTCTGCCCCGAAGTGCACGGCCCCCTACCCCCTCACAAACTATCTCTTATTACGGACTTGCTAATCTTGCCTTCGATGATGAGGTAATGGCCAGTTGCTCGTCGACGGAGTCCGAAGAGGTCGAGGATCACGACACAACGTGCATCCATCAAAGTTCACAAATCAAGAGGAGAGGTACATTGGTGTGCCATGTGTCATGGTCATTGAGTTGTTGTCATGGTGACATGATGGTGTCGTGTGTAGTTGTGTTTTGTTGGTCATGTCGTGAAGGCTTGCTAACACGTCTTTGAACAAACCCTGTTACTGGAGAGGGGGATTATTTATTTTGCTAATGTCGCTAGTTCCTTGTGCAGTTACGTTTGGTTACCCCTGGTTACCCCTGCCTTCACAGTGCTGTCAGGAGATACCCTACTGTTTCTCCAGTCATTTTTTCATGAATTATGATCAGTAACTTTATTTGAAAAATTACTTGCTTGCTAACAGTTAACAAATACTAATATCATTCTTCAGAGTGCTGTAATATATCTATCTATTCACATACACTAATATTATGTTCCAACATAACAAACAATTACTTTCTTTTAAGCAGATACCATATTCATATATGACTCTGCTTTCGATTATTGATAGTGCATTAATTTCTAGATGATGTCGCATGAGTGATTGTGTAGCTCTAGACTATCTAATTTACCAGTGTTGAATGTCTCATCTAATTACTCTTATCTTGTGTTGGGAATACATATTTTCTTAAGATATTGTTGAAGCTGCTACCAGAAATGCTGGTTTGAAAGTAATTAATTCTGTATCATGCATACAGAACTGATCTTGACCTAGAACCTATTCCTCAGGAATAAACTATGAATACAGCAGTCCTCCTCAGCCAATGAGCATGCTGCATGTAGAAACTAGGTTCTACCATTCCAGACTGCATCCGTTATAGTATCTGTAGTACAGTCTGCCTTGTAAGGACTTCATTCATGGTCTTCATACTATACATGTTTGTGATTAGCTCTTAGTGAGTCTGGGGGCACGGGTGGCCCAGTCGTCTAAGGCGCCGCAATTTGCTGTGAAGAGTTGCGTCCCTTGGGCACGCCAGAAACCTATGATTGTGGGTTCGAATCCCGGTTCGCCCCGATTATGTTTCTAGGTTTGTCAGCAACATACCCGTACTCGTGGGTTTCACCGAAGTGGTAAACGTCTGAGACCTGCATCAGTTCGGGCTTTCCTCCCACATTAAGCTGACATGTCGCGATATAACTGGAATACTGTTAAAAGCGGCGCTAAACCCAACTCACTCACTCATACTATTCATGTTTGTGATTAGCTCTTAGTGAGTCTCTTGGTGTTCACGGTTCGTGCTCCACAGGTTCGGATGTGCAGTAGAATGATACAACGTCCGAGACTGGCATTTACACTGGCCTGTAAAGCGAAAGTCATGACATTGCAGTGATATATTTTTGGTTACATATATGTTTCCCAGTGAAGTCACCAGAAGACATGGAACTTTTTATGGATAACAACTTCTTTATTCTTTGTAATGACGTTCAGGGCCACAGGACCTGATGAAGGGCAAGAAGTAGCCCTGAAATGTTACAAAGAATAAATTAATTATCCACAGAATGTTCCATGTCTTCATGTTCTTCCAACTTCTGAATGCCTGTGGGGGACTTGACGTCACCTGTGTTAACAAATTCCTGATTCAATGAATCATTGTTATGAAATATTGTCCCATTTATATACATAAAGTATTTGTCTGGAATGAAGGTGTCCAGAATAACCTGGATCCAGATTAATAAGTACATGTATTGCTGTCTAGTCATTGTGAATGTCAGTGAACCCCTGCTTGTTCTCTAATGCACACCCTGATCTGAGGATTCCCTTTCGGGGCAATTGGGACCATTATGTGCTTGAATACACTACATGAATGTCTCACTGAAGCGTGGGTATGATTGTTGCATGGGTCTCATGTCTCATTGGCTTGTTTGTTCCAGGGGGTGGGTCCCTGCCTCTGAGTCCAACAAGCAGGAGAAACCAGCGCATGACCTTATTAGGTGGAGCTGAGGCTACAGACAAGGTAAGCAGACTTTTTTGTCTTTGTAAACAATTTAAATATTATGTTCTTAAAGGATTCTGAATTAATGTATGTACACCTTCATTCTCCTCTTTTGCACGTTGAGGACCCGGGTTCGATTCCCCACATGGGTACAATGTGTGAAGCCCATTTCTGGTGTCCCCCCACCATGATATTTCTGGAATATTGCTAAAAGCGACATAAACCTATATTCACTCACTCACTCATTCTCCACTTCAATATAAAGGTGACATCCATTAGAATGTCTTTTTCCCTATTCAATGCCTTGTAGGGATCATGGGACAGAATTGATCCGAGAATGCTTGTTGTAAGTTGGGTAATGACAATCTCGTGGTTGCCTTGTGTGATCTGTCTTATTGTGGGTCATCCTGCCCTGACAACTTTGATTGTTGCTCATGCTGTCAACCACTCATTTGTCTGTCCCAGACCATACAGGCCACTGTATATGTGGCTTTTTATTCAATGATAGTTTCTCTAACTGTATGTCTTGATGTTTCAGTTGACTGTAGACCTGTCGACAGCCAACCCAATGAAGCGCACATCATCCCTTGATTCCAAATGTTCGTCTGTTGATGACCCACGTGTGTCTTACTCTCAGATCCAGCGGCAACGAGCTTCCGAGATCGATGCTTTGGGCTACCTCCAACCCCGTTCCAAAGACATGCCGAAATATCTGGAACTCATTAACTGTGCACCAGAGTTTGGCATCCTTCAGCCAATCCCTATACGACCTTCACCTCAGTCTCAAACTCCCAGCATTCCTAGCAGCTCTTCCAGCCCCACGACACCTACAGTTAATTACACAATGATGAATGGCAATTACCTTATTCCTTCACCACCGTATGGAGATTCCCCTCCACCTCCCTTCACTAAAGACAACAACATGAACCTACCACCCAATCGAACACCCCCTCCGATGTATGGCAGCCCCCTTCCAAATTATGGGGTCGTGTCAGTTATGAGAAACATGGACAAGCCACCACCATATCAGTCCACAAAAGAGGTCTCCCTCAAATTGCAGGAGACTGCAGCTCAGAATGGACGGAAGTGTAAGGTGGATCCCAACCATTCAGAGAGAGATCTATACTCAAGCCCCACATATGAGAGGCACTTATCAGACTCTTCCTCCAACTCAGAGTCAGGGTATTACTGTGTGGAGTGTTTGAACAATAGCCGCCCCTCAGCATTCCGGAACGAGAAGTCAGTGCCAACATACTCCCGTGTCAATGAGTCTGGTTTCAATAGTCCCCCACCCAACTACACCTTCTGGGCGAACAACAACACGGAGAGAAACTATTCGGGGAACATTCCCACTCACAAAGACATCTATGGGTGCCCACCGGAATACATTAATGTCCATGGGCAAGGGAGGACCTCTCGGAATCAGGTTTTCCCTGAACACGGGGCTGTGTTAGCTGGATTTGACATTGCTCAAGCCAGTCTTGTCTAGCTGTGTGTTGTGATGAGCTGACAGTATTGGCTTTAACAGATCATGTTGTGGTGAAATGATACTATTGTGCAATGGTAATATAAGCATTTATACAGCTGGATTAGGAGATATGGTAACAGTGTGACACATGAACATGCCAGTTTATAACAACCATAATGCAAGTGTGCAATAACATATTCATAGTCTCCACCGGTTGAATATTCACATGATGAGTTTCATAATAGACGTGTGTCAAACATGTATCTTTTAAACTGCCTGGCAGTTATAGACTATAAGGTACAACAAGAGCCATCTTGTGCCCTGTTTGTTGTTTACAAGAAATTCAGTTTTCAACTATGAAATAGTAGGCTGACTTTATTGTGAATCTAGAACAAAACGGCAAATATTACCCAAGTGTGCAGTCTGTTCCAATTTGTGTTTATGAACTAGAAGTGCAATCCGACATCCATCATGGCTGCCATGTCATGTTGTTTGTCGTGCCCAGTAAGCACATCTTACAAGCTATTACTGATGTTGCTTGTTGACTTATTTGCGTGTGTGTTGCTAGTTTAGTGGAGTGAGTGACAACGATGGCGCTGCTGCTTGTTGATGTCGTTGCTCCCAGCCCTGAAGAAGGCAGCTGTAAAGTAGCTCTGTGTTTCCGGCCGATGGTTCCTGCAGTGCTCTGTGTTCCCCAGATATCACCTGAAAATTGAAACCTTCCTGTCATTTAATCCTAATTTACAGTGTTTGTCCATATAATGATTGTTTTGAATACCCAACAATAAGAAATTGTGAGCTATAATGAGAAGAAGCTGAGGTTTAAAACTATCGTTATTCTCAAGCCATCAACAAAATGTGCAAATGTACTTGTGTTTTTTCAAATTAAGAAGATGTGGCCACATGTAGCACAAGTATTCATGCAGAACAAAACAAGCTGTCTGTCTGAACAAATATATTAGAGTCTGTGCTTCAAATAAAATATTTTTTGCCTGTGAAGGAAATATACCCTGATTTAGGAAACTCACTGAGATACTGAAGGGGTGTATTTGATCATGTGTTACAGTGAGCCAAATTCCAGGTTTGGCAAAGAATATGAGGAGGATACAGTGAAGAAATTGTTTGTCATGTGAAATAGGAGGAATGTTGTACTGTTTCTAAACACTGTATTTGTATTTATGCAGAAGCTGTGGATGTTTGAAGATTGTGTGTGTTTGTACATGTGGCTTACGTAAGACAACTGGATGTTGGTTAATGTAAGGCAAAGAATAGTGGACAATTCATGGAACATTCAGCTCAAGCGCCAAGTGTTGGAGGATTTTCATTTTCTCTTCTACTCAACATTTGCTAAGGACTAATGATTTTTGACTAAAGATGACTATTTTTGTCCTCAGCAAATGTTGAGTAGTATACATGATTCACAGAAATGGTGCAGCTGACTTTGAAAACCGCATTTCAAATTCCACAGATCCATCAAATATTGTTATCTCTGAGATTACATTAAATTAAATCTCTTCAACTTAAGATTTCAGATCTGAGCACTCAAGTCCTGCTCAAACGAAATGATAATTTCAGTTCTGGGTGACAAAGTCTTGTTCAGATTATGCTCTGTATAATTCACTTTTATGAGCTTGCTAGAAGCTTTGTCAGTATTAATGATTGACTGTCATTATCACTGCATTTATGCATCACCACTTCAATTTTGAAATATTTGAAACATGTCAAGTGTGTGTGTTTATGGAATTGTCAGAGCACATTCTAGCAGACCTGCGGTAAGCTTGCTCCAGGAGAAGCCTTGGCACCGAGTTCCAGCTTTGATGACAAGAGTATGTGTGGGCTTGATATTCAGAATGAGGAGAGTTAATGGATGTGGACAAACTCAGGTATGGGTGAAGATGCTTGATTGTACACTGTGTGATGTTGACCAAAGGTGTACATAATGGACCTTTTCTAATTAGGAGAGGGGTTATTCTGATTTGAAACCCCTGATTGACCAAACAAAATCTTTTTTTGAATGCCTATTTACCTACTTGTAGGCCAAGTTTGAGACTGACAATTTTAAGCCATCAAGTTGTACTATGGTAACAGTGTACACCAAGAGGGACCATATCATAAGTAAGGTACAGTATTCTGGCACTATGGATGTAACACTATGAATGCTTAACTTCTTATTTACTGACAAGATATCAGTATTTCAACTTGTTATCTTCATGTACGAGCCATCTTGCCCCTTTGTATGTTTACATCAGATGATACCACTTTTCATGCAAATTCTCTTGATGGGGGAACTCTCCTGAACCAACCGTGTAAATACTGTTCTGATGACTTATTCAGACAGAGCTTATAAGGCAGAAATACAGCGACTTACTGGCTAATCTCTACTTATGAAGGCAGAAATGTGCACCCTAATACTTATGCTTTTAAGGTAATGATTACGAGAATCAACAGGTATCTAAAGCCGAGGATATTTCCAAATTTGAAACACTAGTGACAAAGATGATGTCCAATTCCTAAGTATTAATTCCTTGACTTGTACCATAAGTTCCTGTGTTTTTTTCAAGTAAACAATTGCCTTTCTTTATGTGTTTGTATGAGTGACACATGTGGGGCAGGATACGCCCACCTTTTCGCAAACACCTGGAACCATCACTGTTTGATAGTGAGTCATAAACACATGCTCATGATACAGTCAGAAGCGGTCAGTGGCTTTTGGTAGAGATTGCTTGTGATTATGGAAAGGGTTTTGTTGCATAAATTACCATAAGGGGCCTACCATATTCATGGATGGATGGGAAGTAGTCCTCATGCATTTCTGCCTCTTCTCCAGATGTGCCCAATCATTTGAGCAGAAACCTTGTCTAGGTGTTCCTGACCTTGTAGGTCCAGGGTTAAGGCTTGTTCAACAGAATATCAAGTTCAATATGGCTTCCAGGAGGCCATCTTTGATTTTCCTCATCTGCTCAGAAAACACTTAGTTAAACTATCAGTGTATGTATGCCAGGGAAAACTAAATATGTAAGTTCTTGCTTTAAGATGAACATATCTTGATTTGAAAACCACTGGTGTTACTGTTATTTGAGATTGGTGTTGGAGTTAAGTCTATCATAATAATAGTGAAAAAAGGTGAAAATAGGCCAAGGTTTTAAAAGTATTAAAGTAGCAGTGCATGCACATATCAATAACAATGGAATGAAATTTACAGAAAACTGTTCTTTGTTAATGATTGGGGATTCTGATTATTTTAGAACAAACAAGAATTAAAACAGTGTCTTATATTGTATGTTTTATGTTAATTATATCTGGACAAAAATATATCTAATTCTGTTTTAGTTTGAAAGAGAAAAAAGTCATGTCCTTTCTCGTCGGTAATACCAAGTGTTTGTTTTGAAAAACAATGATTGTTGACATGGTTTATTGTTAAAAGGTGAGAGGGGTAGTGGCTTGCTGACCTAGTATCAACTTTAGGAATTTTCACTTGGTCCTCTTTAACCACAATTTCTATTTTGTTTTATTTGCAGCACAACAGTCAGACATGCTTATCCTTGTAAATAGATTTACCATATAAATTTGTTTCATTATGAAAATCATTCAATTAAGAGGAACCCACAGTACGACAATAATCACTATGCATTGCTCACAAAATTCCATTCCTTCAATCAAGGGCATTTTTATTGAGTATAACATCATAAATAGTATATTCTATGAAGAGATCTTCATTTTATTGTACCGGTAGTTTAAGGCCATCATCATTAAACCATTACCTCGAGCAAACACAGATATTCACAAGGGATTGCTCACATGTTTTACACAACCTCCAAGGGAGAAACTATATCTCAGTGCAGGTCTCACAAAGTTTCGTTTATCATTGTATAATATAAATGTATGTAAAACAGTAGGAAACTGCTCCAAATTGAGTGAGGATGGTTTTCAACGCTTTTAACAATATTCCAGCAATATCACAGTGGGGGAGACCAGAAATGGGCTTCACACAAACTGCTCCAAAAACTGTTAGGGCTCCCACACATTTCAAGTGGCCAATGCACTTGATGTTATCTTTTTATGTTCAAGTATTCCACTGGTTCTACTCCAGGAGGTATATCCCCCTTAAGGGGTAGTCGGACTAATTACATCACTTCAGCAGGCTGAAATCCTCATTCAGCCACAAGTTGTTATATTTGTACATTGTATTACTGATGGTTTCATGTGTATGACATTGTTTGGCCTTGTACATTGCATAATACTACTTACAGTGGAATTGAGCGAATCCAGTTGAGAGCTTTGTTGCCTGAAATAGCTTACTTGATCTTGACAATGTAGTGGAAGATTTTTCAGTAATGTTAATGGCATAATTGGTGCAATGAATGCGGTATTGAATCTATATCGGAATTAGATGTGTGGTTTATCATTGATGATATTTCATATTTTCTAATGAACAGAAAGAAAATACATTGTCTCATTTTATGCAAGTTTCAAAATTATTACTGTAATAACATTTCTTTTATTATGTTAAAACATTATTTTTTAGTGAAATTTCCCATCACTGGTCAAGTGTTCATCAAATACCCATTTACTAACATATTGAACCTTTTAATTTTTACGAGATTGTTTATGTTTCACTGTAACAACATTTGAGTTCAAAATATGTCCTTTAGTGCAACTAAGCACTTATTACTTCATTACCTGTAATGCCTGTTTAAGCTACCGAGAAGTGTAGCATTTAAACTCTGGGGATTTTTTAAGGTGAAACAGTGAAGTCTTTGTGACTGTGTCATACCACATGAGGTCTATGTGACTGTGTCATACCACATGAGGTCTATGTGACTGTGTCATACCACATGAGGTCTATGTGACTGTCATACCACATGAGGTCTATGTGACTGTGTCATACCACATGAGGTCTATGTGACTGTGTCATACCACATGAGGTCTATGTGACTGTCATACCACATGAGGTCTATGTGACTGTGTCATACCACATGAGGTCTATGTGACTGTGTCATACCACATGAGGTCTATGTGACTGTGTCATACCACATGAGGTCTATGTGACTGTGTCATACCACATGAGGTCTATGTGACTGTGTCATACCACATGAGGTCTATGTGACTGTCATACCACATGAGGTCTATGTGACTGTGTCATACCACATGAGGTCTATGTGACTGTCATACCACATGAAGTCCTTTAGACTGTGTCATGCCGCAGACTGACCACACAGTCAGTACACACCTTACTGTCAGTCCAGTGCTTGATAATAACATATGGACATTTAGAATTACATCCAATGTTTACTATTTCAGTATTCATTAGGAATTCAATAAGTGGGAATATTCATATAAAATCCATTATTTTGTCGTCAAGTTTTCATCCTGTTTCAGATGGCTGATGTTTAAAATATGACCAGACAAGTTTCTTGTAATACTGATTTCCACAGTCAAAATGAATCCTAACGCACATTGGAAAAGAATAGTTGATTTTTCAACAACAGTTTAATCAGAAATGGAAACAGAGACTTTGTTTAAATGACCGATATTTTCATTATGTTGGCGATTTATGAATCATGAACATACACTGCCAGGCCTAGATATTAGATATCACCAGATATATTTCAAATAATGTATGTCTTTTGAATTTCATTTAATATGCTCAAAAGAAACACTGATTTTATTCCTAATTTCATCATTTAGATGACTCATTTCAGAGTTTTAAGAAAAGACTTGTGTAGGACAGTTGTCATGCTGAACAAGATGATCAGTTTTCTTGTGATAGCAATATGTACAGAGATTGAGCAGATATTTTTGTGATGAATATGTAAATAATACAAGTACCTAGTCATAGAATTGGCTTCTATGTCCAGAATAGCTTTTAAACCAATGTGATATTACAAATTAGTCTTGCACCAAGTTGATTCCGAATTTGTTATAACAGGGAAGGTTGGCTGTCCGACTGAACAGAAGGGTACGATATCGGATTTCATGGCACCTGTTACTTAGCTTTGTCTTCTAAAGTTTCTATTTTTTGTTGATAGAAAAGGGTTAATAAGTCAATATTTCAGAACAGGTATACCATCATATAAATACTGGTTCAGAATGTTGTTGATGTTGCCAAATAAAAAATGTTCTTGAAACATGTGAAAATGTTTTATGAAAATATGTATTTCAAAATATAATTTTCATGATTGCTGTATACTGATGGAAGGAACAAAGGGAACACCTGTACCAGCAGGTGCTTGTTCACAACTGGGTTGTAATGCTTCATCATATCAACGAGTCATTGCATGTACTATAGCATCTCATGCATTCTCTGCTTTTCTTCACTGGAAATGAGTTAAATGTGTTGCTATAGTTACTGTACACATATGACTGATATTATGAGCTGAATTGGAAAACTTTTAAAAATAACAAATAATATTTGTAAGAAACATTTCCCTTTTTAGATGTTCACTTAATTCTTTCCATCAGTATATTAGTGTTATCCTGTCCAAAATGTCCCCATTTAACTGTTGGTTGATTGCATGATGTATTTGCCGTAATAAGTGATCTGGGCACTTAGGAAATTGACAAAGGGGTGCTTATTAAGAACATACACAAGTTCAATTTATCAAGATCAAGCAGTAGATAATAGATGTATTTTAAAATGATTAACGAAACTAAAACCTTTTCAATATCAGTTACTGGGCAATTCTAAACCCTTTCTTCCCTTCTGCATTATCTGTAAATAATATGTAATATATGTAAGAAAATACAGACTGTCATGTAAATTTTCAGGCTTAGTATGGAGCGCTTGTAAAGATCACTTACAGATTGGTCGAGAAGTTGGTCAGGTGGGGCTTATTTGAGCTTTTCACTTAATACGACAAATACAGCATCACGTTTATTCAATAGACTCTGTAGTAAATACTCTTACAGTTTGGACTTGGAATTACTCTGACGGTATCCAATGTATTTTACCTGTGATCTGAAACCTCTCCAGTTGCTGTCTCCCTTGTCATCTCATGTTCAAGGATGGGACATATTGCTTCTCCAGTCTTAAGAGTGTTCATTGTTAACTGGACAAATATGAATTCAGAAAGTTGTTAAAGATTGTTGTTATTCCTATTGTTACTAACAACTTTGCCGTTCCCTGTTGTTAATGTTGTTGTTTGTATAAATGTAAATCATACTTTTTGTGAATATTTCATTTTTACCCTGAAGTGTACAGAATTCAATTGGAATGTGAAATTTTTAATCAGAAAATAACTGTTTTAAGACATTACACAAGAATACATTTAGTTGAATATTTTGCATTTCTGGTGCGTATGTACAAATTCAAGAATACATACATAGAACACTATAAATAATGTTTTTAAAATATTTTACTGTGGAAAGAGTTGCTTCTTTTGAGGAGTTTGTTGTCTTAACTGTGTATATATACCTCTGTGGTGCCATCATACTGGAGACATGTCTCTGCTTCTATTAGGCTTGTTGCTATGGAAACTAGTATCCTCATGCTACACTGTACATAATCATCAGTTTGACCTCAACATCATTGTATTACCATGGAATAAAGCTTGAGTTGTAACTTTGTATACTGTTTTGTCTTGCTGTAACTCCAAGCAAACACCAGGGGAGATGCAAAATGGTGTTCTTCATCCATGAAAGTGGATGCAAATGATGTGTACGACTCAAAAGAAGTTAAAGAACACCCGACTTCAGGTTGAATTAGGTCTCCGATGCTGGAAGTCAGACTTGGTGACTTGGTTGACAGCGTATCACCGTACCAGGAGAGCATGGGACATGCTCATAATATCAATCACTGGATTGTCTGGTCAAGACTTGATTATTTATAGGCTGAATGCCATGTTAAAACAAACATGAAGTAGGTCTGTGTTGAACATGAGACTTCCCTTTTCCTGCCTGGGTCCCCAAACTTTATTTTTGAGAGCCTTCAGGACTGCTGACTTATAGACCCAGGTAAGATTTGTGCCTGATAGTGTACCAATGTGCTTGCTTGTCAGCCGTTCACCAGTAACACCTCTTAAGCAGACTTGTAATAAAACAAAACTGTCCCAGCCAGTCTGGTTTGGTCAGGAGTGAGTGATTGAGTGAGTATGGTTTTACGCCGCTTTTAGCAATATTACAGCAATATCACGGCGGGGGACACCAGAAATGGGCTTCACACATTGTACCCATGTCTGGAATTGAACCCGGGTCTTTGGCGTGACGAGCGAACACCTTAACCACATGGCTACCCGACTGCCCTGTGTTTGGTCAGGAGTGAATAAGTGTTGTTTTACAAAGTAGTCAGCACTATACCAACTTGTGGTTGACAGCATGGCAACAACTCGCCCTGGTTTGGATGACACACAGTCTCACGTTGTAACTACATTGTACTGGGGCGGTATTCTGCCCTGGAACCTCCAAGGTGGCCCCAGCAATAGTCCACCCTACAGTCCCTGGATCAGACCTGTCTGGAATATCTGTTTTGACAGGTAGACACAGATGTATTAAACATGCAGACATGCATTTGTGACAAGTGGAAATATGTTAAACATGCTTGTAAATGTATTTATTCAATTACCTTTAAAGTTAAACAGCAGGTTTATAAATATACTGCAAAATACTACATACTGCAAAAAATTAGACCATGTCATTAGGGCTGGGACTGGCAACTCGGGTACTCGGGTCGGGTAGGACCTGGGTACCCACAGTACTACCCGGACTCGTGGTTAGTCACGTGACATATTGTTTAATGACAGGAAATCATGAACTCCATGGTTGCACTACAAGTCACTAAAGTTCGCATTTCTTTCTGACTATGCATGCATTACTTCTGACTTTCACATGTTTGAATACAGATAAAACTTCAGTCAACTTCAGTGTGTGCATGGCCAGATCGTTTTATAGTGTACCTAAAAACGTTTTTTCACGGCTGCGGTCAAACTCTTCCCAATCGGACATTTTGTACTGGTATCTCTTGAGACCTACAGCGGGTACCCGGGTAGGGTCGGGTAGTAGGGGTGTGGGTACCCGGGTAGTAAATCTGGACTCGTCCAAACCCTACATGTCACTCATTCATATTCATTGGAGTCACAACGCAGCACTGGTCTTCTGAATGTACGATAAGGTATCCATACTTTGGCTGACCAAAGGGAATTAACTCCTGATTTCTTGGCCACTGAGACTTTGGCTACGTTCGTCTACTCACATGGGATCGCACCCCATGTCTGGCGGGATAGGCACATGTGTCTCTTCATAAAAACACCAACACAATTGTCTTCTTCAGATAGTCGGGTAGCCTAGTGTTAAAGCGTTCGCTCGTCACCCGAGTTGGATTCCCGACATGGGTACAATGTGTGAAGCCCATTTCTGGTGTCCCCCGCCGTGATATTGCTGGAATATTGCTAAAAGCGGCATAAAACCATACTCACCCACTCACTCAGATAAAAAGGAGGTCCATGTAGCTATATCGACAAACAAAATTTTGCTGACAATATGTTTATAAGAACCAAGATCCCTGGGTGAATGAGTGAGTTGGGTTTAATGCCGCAACTGAGTGAGTGAGTGAATTGGGTTTAACGCCGCTTTTAACAGTATTCCAGTTATATCGCGGCGTGTAAGCTTAATGTGGGAGGAAAGCCCGAAGTGATGCAGGTCTCAGACGTTTACCACTTCGGTGAAACCCACGAGCACGGGTATGGTGCTGACAAACCTAGAAACATAATCGGGGCGAACCGGGATTCGAACCCACAATCATAGGTTTCTGGCGTGCCCAAGGGACGCAACTCTGCACAGCGAATCGCGGCGCCTTAGACGACCCGTGCCCCCTTAATCCCGCAACTGTATTTCAGTTACAGGCACATCATGGTATGTATGATTAATGTTGGGGAAAGCCTAATGCAGGTACTACAGTACTGACGGAAATGCTAGAAAAATGTTTTTCTGGCATAATTTTATACATACGAATCACAGGGCTAGGAAAATAGCTTATATCAAAATGACGTAAATCTACCTAATTTAGCCTATCATAACTGACACTTCTTTTGCAGGTTAAATGATGAAAAACCTAGAAAATATTCGTGTGTTGTCATACATGTATAAAACGAACAATAACCTGAGGTAATTACTGAACAACTGTCCCGGGGTGATGACATCACACCGGCCCGTGCATTCTCACAGTTGGGAGTGGTCTTAAAATATTGCTGTTATTGTACTTTATTAAGATATGCGTTGGCGGGGGTAGCAATTAAGATTGTACTGCATTACATTTGCTTGGAAAAAATGATGGAATAGTTAAGAGCTATGAAACATTGTGGGTATTGGAATGTTGTTTTTTAATCAAGAAGTATTTGTTGTTCTAAAGATGATTTCTTTAGCCAGCATCCGACTCAGCTGATGACATATCTGAATCTGTACTATCACCCAAAGGAATGAAAACTGTCACAACAAGGTTGATATCTACGCCGTCATGTTGGCGGCACTGGCGTTCTATTCAAGAGCATGAGCTTCTACCTTTTGTCATACATGTACTTGATTCTAGCAAAGGGTTTGTTGATCAACCTTTTGCCATGTGTGAGTTTGAATGTTGTGTCATCATGTCTTGCCACGAACCCTTTACAGTTCGCCAAGATAGGCTAAATAGGGTTGAGCTCACAGTGTCTGACTGGCATATACATGTAGGACAACGTGACCGTGTTGTGCCGCCAGAACATCTGTCTTGTACTTTACTGGTTTCCCATTCAAGAGAATTTCTCCATGAGTTGAACTTTCGTTTCCGATGACATGAAGTCGACATTGCAAGATGTCAGATATTCCTGCATGGTCGCCTTCAGACTACTCATGAATGCCGCCACAGTGTCTGGTTCCTGGACGTTATGAAAACTGGCGTTATACATGACAATGAAACTGGGGTTGTTTAGACTGGGCAGTAGCTGATGTATCAACCAGTTTATGAGCGCATCACCATCATTTCCTTATGACAATCACCAGTTTTCTTTTTCGCCTCGAAAACTAGCTCACATTCATCAATAAGCCCCAGATCACGGGGTCCGTCGTGAAAATAATGACACGATTACATTTACCCGATGTTATTATTATTATTATTACTTCATTATTATTAATTATGTGCAGATTAAAATTAAAAAATGTAGCAAAGATGGTTTGTGTGATGGTTAGTCTGGCTGGTTAGGCTCATCATTAACTCGGGGCATTAAATTCATTGCATAATCTACATTTCATATTTACATTTTGATGTAAAATCACACATTGACGGTTTCGAGTGGGAAGTGACTGGTCCTGAGCAGTAAACAGAAACCCTTCTGTTTCACTTTTCAGGCCAGCCGACTTCACCCAAGCGAAGGACTCTGCAGGGTTGCTCCCCTTTACAACACACTGCACACTGGATGCAGTGGTCGTTCAGATAACCTCTCCTTGAGTCTGTGCCTATTTGATATGGCTCTTCGCTTGGTTGACACCTATTTCCGTAACGTCCAGCTTTACAGAACCATCAACAAAATCAACACTGACGTTGAGATTATGTCCCACATCCTTGGCTCGTTTAAGAAAACTGTGGAATGCCTTGTTTTTATCCTGATTCTTGACATGCTTCACAAGAGGATCATCATACAAATAAATTTGCGAAAGTGCACATTACAATCCTATCAAGAAAAGCCTCCACGTTAATCAAAACACGCCCTCCCATTATAACTAGTAAATATAAGCGAATGAGGGAAGAGGGAGGGGGTGGGATTTATTGTCTGACATAATTCTTTGTGTTAGGGTGTCAATACCCTGTTTTTTTCGTCCAATTAGCAACACCAAAAGAATACGAAAGGACGGGTACAGAATAAATATTTGTAGCTTTTGCTTTTTTGTGAGTCTTGAGCTCTGAAGTCCAGATTTACTTAAGTCTGCATTTGTATTCTGCCCGACGTTTGCCTTTGATATGGGCACTCTGGAGTTTGTCTCTAACCTGCATCCCTAAGTACGTATAGGCCTGACCTTTGACTTTTGTTCATTGGTCACGTGGTTTGGCAGCCATATTGGATTCGAGGTTTTCGACATGCATTTTAGCACTTTTCTCACTACTTGGCTGCCACAATCTTCTCCTCTGAAACTACCAGAGAAAAGGCTTCAAAACTTTGCATGCTTGGTCGCTACGCACCGCCCTACAAACGGTCTATTAGTAGGCTAAGATATCTCGATTGATAGCCGCCATTTTGAATGCTACTTCTGGCCGAAATTTGTCATAAACATTTTTGCATGACTTTGTTATGACGTGTTTACATGGAATCTTATCATGCAAAGTAGTTGCAGCAACTGTTGTAATTGGCTGCTGAACATTTTCTGTTCTTGAACACATGTCTCTGACACATAGTCACGTGCTTTGGCGGCCATATTGCATTGAATATGTTCACAGCGGATTCGTCCTTTTTTGGGGTACGCATTTCCCACAACCGTTTACTCTGCCCGTATCAGCTGCAGGACTTTGAAAATTTGCAGATATTGTCTCCATTGTTGAAACATCAACACATTGTAACCGCTTTGAAATATTCTGATTAGGAACGGACATGTTGGAGCTTGTTGTCTCTTCATTACCTTTTCGGAAAGAATGATTTCAAATAAGCACTATTCAGAAACCTGTGTATGTTAATAAAAAATTGTGCTTAGATGCATGTCAAAATGTGATTTGTTTGGTGGCCATATTAGATTTTAGCAGTTTCTAAGGATGTATATGTTCAGGTTTTTCACAGAAAATAGGCATGACGTATCAGCATCAGTATCATGTTCTTAGGTGCTTGTCAAAAGTTGCGTCGTTTGGCGGCCATATTGCATTGAAGTCTGTCACAATTCCCTTATTGATGACAACGGCATAAAACATCATATATCACCGTCACTATTGACCCAAAAGCTTCCAGATTTTGCAAACTCTAATAGCCGTTTTTGGATATCTTTTTTAGTTGCGGCCATATTGTATTCACGGTTTTCACAGTGTCTTTTGGGTACCTGTCTGTAAATGCATACTCCTCTGAATCCACTGCATGAATTGCTTCAAAACTTTCTGTGAATTGTCTCCACGCAAAACACAACAAACTCTAACAGCCGTTTTTGGATATCTTTTTTAGTTGCGGCCATATTTGATTTTTACTTTGATTATTCTTTTCACCGAAATTGTACTTTTAATATCTTGTCAGGTTCTTGACAGAAACTATTGCAAGTTTACATGAAGTTAGTGTGCCATATGCATCTAAGTTTTGTTCTTGGTTGCATGCTAAAAGTAACACTGTTGGTGGTAATATTTGATAAATATTTGAAACACGCCAATTTCGTAGCGGCATTTTGACTGAGTTGGTACAAGCAAACCCTTTGAGGATTTGCACACGGTCGAGGTTGGAAATACGGTTTAGAACAGATTTGGACATCCGGCACAGGCCAATTTCGTAGCGGTGATACCCTGCAAGTGGTGTCTACATTTGATGGATTTTGTACATGGGAACCCTTTGAGGATTCGAACATGGACGTTTGTGCGCAGTGTTACATGGAGCCCACCATTGCTGCTTTGCAGCTTTATTTATTATTATATCTGAGTAGCATGAGTATATTTCTCTCGTCCAATTCCGACTTCCCTCATTGGACTCAAAATGAATCTAAACTTGCTGTTTTCTTGGGGACTTTTCTCCTGTAAAACTGTCAATAGGACTCCTTGTGACTCGACATATGTAAAACCACAGATGGTGGATAGGTAGTTTCGATATTTCTGTAGCAACAATTTATGAAACATTCTATCTTGCAAAAGAAATTTGTTTAGCATTTCCGACAGTACTTCAGCCATTTACCATTTAACCGTGAAACCCATGAGCATGGGTATGAGGGTGACAAACCAAGAATCAGGACGAATCAGAGATTCAAACTCGTGACCATAGGATTCTGGCACACCTAATTTGTGGGACACAACTGGTTCAGTGTCAAGGACTCCTGGGTCATGTGTGCTCCAGAAGTTGCCTGAAAATGACATAAGCCAATGTGATCTTTTACACAAATATTGGATGATTTGAAAAAAACAAAACACAGGACTTCAAAGACTATATATTTAATCACCTTGTTCTGCTCTTTTGCACTTCTTGCAGTATAAAAGTTACATGTGAGGTTCAGACTCCTTGTACAAAATATTGATAAACATGTAAAAGCTTTTCGTAGTGGCAAGTATATCATATAACATTTAATCGAAAGTCTTGAAACACATGGCTTCATCATTTCATCCAGAGGCAAATGAACACATAGCACCAATTCAAGTTCTTCCATTCAAAGGCTTCTTCAGTTCAGTAATGCCAAGAAAATAACAGACAAGTTGCAGAGCTTCAGATTGGTGTGAAGACTTCGATATTCAATATTCGACCCATTATCTTGGAAAATGATGGACTGTGAATCGAAGTCTGGTTCAGTGACAACCCATTATCTGGGAAAATCATGGACCAGGTATCCATGTCTTGGGTAATATTGCTTAACACTGGAGGGTCATGGTTTTCAATGGTCAATGACCAAAGCACTTTGGCAATCTGAAGCAGCTTAGTTGTATCTTGCCTTTAATGTGTAAACTTATAAAGCAATAATAAATTAAAAACAGTAAAAGAAGTAAACTAACCATGTATAAAGAGTTTAAACAATCCAATAAAAATTGAAAAACACCTCGATGAAATCTAACAGTGACAGTATTACCAGGAAGCTACACTGTGTACAAACAACCTAGAGATTATTAATATAAACCAATGAACACTACATTCTCCATTATACAATACATTCCATACATATACATACATGTACAACAATATTTATACTTTTCTATCCTAGAAAGACATAAATGAAATAAGAACCTTTCCTCTATGAAATATTCTATGATGGTTAACAAAAAATGTGCCACCAGAGTTACATCCCTTTGATCAGATATAGTTCTCTCAGTGCTTGTTCAATGGCTGTACACATGTATTTACTGACATTGTTCGAGACTTTTAACCCCTTCGTAAAATAATTACTGTATCTTATTCCAATAGTGAGTCTTTTTCAATATCTCAAATCTAAGTAGCCTAGCGACATTAAAAACTATTATAAAAAGCATGCAACAACTCACAGTTAACGATGATTACTATCATATAGGATAATAACAAATTATCTGAAACAAACCTCTTGACAAAGCATATATATATATATATATGTATATAGTAGCAGGAATGACAGAATGATATTCAGCTTTTTCATCATTACAGGACCAAACTAAATCTTTGGATTTCAAACCAATTTCAGATGAGCTGAGATAACAAGTGAGTGAGTTGGGTTTAACACCGCTTTTAACAGTATTCCAGTTATATCGCAGCGTGTCAAAATAATGTGGGAGGAAAGCCCGAAGTGATGCAGGTCTCAGACGTTTACCACTTCAGTGAAACCCGCGAGCAGGCAATGGTGCTGACAAACCTAGAAGCAGTTTACATACACGTATAAAACGATCAGATCATGCATACTCTGAAGTCCACACACGCATTTGCCATCTGTCTTTACTGAAATGTATAAAAATCAGAAACAATGCATGCATAAATCAGAAAGAAATGCAATCATAAGTGACTTTTATTGTTATTGTATTTAAATAATATATCACTTGACTAACCACAGGCCCAGTCCTACATTGCACTCTACTATTTAATGAATAAATACAATATTATGCTACATAATCATGAAACAGATCATCTACAAACAGATCCTGGTAGATCTAAAAACACTAGAGCTCTTGAATGTAGTGCCAGGAGATCACGTTTATCAATGAACAAACATCCCCACCTTCCAGTGGGACCAGTTACTCTTTCCTGGTAAACTGTCTCTAACAAAACAGGACAACTTTCATCTCAGGGATTTCATCTCATCTCAGGTTCTGCACCTTTTTAGAGTTTACGAATAGGACATATCCACTTGAACAATAACACAAAAGATACTTAATAACTCTACAATTTGTCAGAACAAATACTCATATGTTACAGTTTATGTCTCTTTTACACATTCAATACATTGTAAAGGTTATGCTTAATGAATATGGTGGACAGATAAAACTGGCCACATCCAAGGCAGTATACACTCTTAATATCAATTCACAGGAACAGACTCAGGTCTGCATCAGCATCAGAGAACAGCATCCTAATGTCCTTGCATATATATCTGATGTCCACACGGACATAGTCACTTCATTAGGCCCATCCTCATCATAGGACTGTCTGCACTGGACATGATCATCAACAGTTTGTTCCTTCTCAACATGGTGCAGCATGTACAACAGTCATGACACTGTTAATCAGAACAAAGCAATCTCGGGTGTGGTGTCACTTCCTTTCATTTGGGAGGTGGCTGTATAGGAGGAGGGTTAACGACCAGGACCATCTTGCACAGAGTGATCTTAGCGCTAAGACTGTGGTAAATGTTGAAAGTCTGTGTCATAGAACGCTTGTTTTGATGATCTTATCGCTAAGACTGTTGTAAATGTAAGTCTATGTCATAATATGTAAGTCACGATGGTCTTAGCACTGTGTGCTAGTGAACAGCAACGTACCGCTATTACAACCAACTAGAACCATCAACATCATATAACATAAACAATGCCATTTAAAATGTAAAATGCTTTCAGAAAGAAAAACTTATACAGTTTAGTGTAGTACTCCTTGTATAAGACAAAAATTAACCCGGTACCCTATTCTTTTAGAAAAGTGTGGGAATAAACAGAAATAAGCACCTTTTCGATCTCTAGACACAGATAGAATAATTAGATGATGTTAGATGACTTTCTATAATTTTCCTCAGTAAATTTATAATTAATAGGGAAAAAAGATAATTGGAATCAAATTGAAATAAAAATTAACATTTCCCCTCAGGACATTATTCTGGACACCAGCGCCAGAATGACAGTTGCTAGGATACCAGAGGTCACATGATCAGTTCCACCAACAAGTTGTTCTGCATTAGGGTTGTTGGGGTCAAAGTGGTAGTTGCCATTGACGACTTGCCTGTAAACAAACAATAGCATATAAAATACCTCTGGCAGTATTTCTAGACACCACATATTCTAAAGAAATAAGTACTACCGAGCCTGACCACCTGATCCCTCTTACGACAAACATAGTCGTCTTTTACAACAAGCATGGGCTGCTTAAGACCTATTCTACCCGGTATAAATTCATAGTGAGTAAGTAGGGAAGATTTCAGGCCAGCAATCTGAAGTCAGAGGCAACATGGAGAAATGACCACACATGAAGTTACCATGGTGACCATATGGGGATGATATTCAGTGTGATGAGAAAATGCTTTAACTGCTAGTACTCCCCGAAAACCATGAAAATGGACATAAAGAATATAAAATGTACTGTCATTAGATATTCATAAAAAATAATTACTCTGTTATAGTTCATATTAAATGTTGGCTTTAAAAAAGTCCATATACTCTAGTTTCTGACTTTCTAATCTTACGGCTAAGATTATCTGACCTGATGGCTACCACTATCTGACCTGATTGCTACGACTATCTGACCCGATGTGTACGACTATCTGACCTGATGGCTACGACTATCTGACCCGATGGGTACGACTATCTGACCTGATGGCTACAACTATCTGACCCGATGACTACGACTATCTGACCTGATGGCTACATCTATCTGACCCGATGGCTACGACTATCTGACCTGATGGCTACGACTATCTGACCCGATGGACACGACTATTTGACCTGATGGCTACGACTATCTGACCGGATGGCTATGACTATCTGACCTGATGGCTACGATTATCTGACCTGATGGCTACGACTATCTGTCTGATGTGTACGATTATCTGACCTGATGGCTATGAGTATCTGAGCTGATGGCTACGATTATCTGACCTGATGGCTACGACTATCTGACCTGAAGGCTACGACTATCTAACCTGATGGCCATGACTATCTGACCTGATGGCCATGACTATCTGACCTGATGGCTACGACTACCGTATTTTCTTGAGTATAGTGCACACCCATGTATAATGCGCACCCCCCTCTAGCGGGTTCAATATTTTGGAAAAAAAGAAATTTGAATATTATGCGCAGAAATTTTTTACACCGTACCCTTTCAGCGAAGTCCGGCAAACGAACGGGTGCTGAGAAACTTCGTCAGTACAAATTCGAAATTTGAGATAAAAAATCACCAGACATGTTTATTTACCGTTTAAATAGTATTTATTGTTCTGCTAGGCATTGTTTTATATTTAGGGATTAAGATTACCTTGCGTATTTTCTCGTAAACTAAGCTGGAAACAGCAATCAGCTGTACACACGTAATCTTGGAATCGACCGGTGATTCGGTCAAGACACACCCAATGATATAACTTTATAAGATTTTTAATGCAAGGATCGGCAACAATTGTATCTGAAACTATTTTATTTATCAGGAATAATATATTCCATTATTTTCTTAATTATATGCAACCTTTAATAAACATATTTAAAATAATAATAACCCTAAGCGAAGCAGCTGATCGCTATTCCCGGGTATTATTTTTTACATGGAACATGTCTGACAAGTCACCGTCAAGGCTCACGCGCACATGATCACGTGATCGCGAGAATTTCATGTTGACATAGAATCGTCAAACAAAAACAAATATGACTTTTAACGAGTCAAAGTATGTCATTTATGATATATGTATCCATTCTCTGTCAACTAAAGTTTGTTTCAAGGCGTCAATAGCGGTATTCTGACCGTGGTTGCTGTTAATAACGGTGAGTTGTGCGATCTTCCGATCGCTTCACACACGATTTCGCCGAAATTAATAAAAACAATATTATCAGATTATAAGGAATTTTGAATAAAATCAATGAAATAAGTTACAAACATAAGTCCAGATATACAAAGAACACTTTTTATAGTCAGACAGTGTAATTACATGATTATTTTGCGTACTTCAGTGTGGATTTGTTGACATGGTATTCCCGGTGTTTCGTGCTCACGGTAATGTCTTTCCATGGGGGAAAAAAACATCCAAACTCATAATTCGTGTATAATGCGCACCCCCTTCCACACAGCTGTGTTTTTTCGAAAAAAAGTGTGCACTATACTCAAGAAAATACGGTATCTGTCTGATGTGTACGATTATCTGACCTGATGGCTATGAGTATCTTACCTGATGGCTACAATTATCTGACCTGATGGCTACGACTATCTGACCTGATGGCTACGACTATCTGACCTGATGGCTATGACTATCTGACCTGATGTGTACGACTATCTGACCTGATGGCTATCAGTATCTGACCTGATGGCCACGACTATCTGACCTGATGGCTACGACTATCTGACCTGATGGCTACGACTATCTGACCAGATGGCTACGACTATCTGACCTGATGGCTATGACTTTCTGACCTGATGGCCACGACTATCTGACCTGATGGCGACGACTATCTGACCAGATGGCTACGACTATCTGACCTGATGGCTATGACTTTCTGACCTGATGGCCACGACTATCTGACCCGATGGCTATGACTATCTGACCTGATGGCTATTGACTATCTGACCTGATGGCCATGACTTTCTGACCTGATGGCTACGACTATCTGACCTGATGGCTATGACTATCTGACCTGAAGGCCACGACTATCTGACCTGATGGCCACGACTATCTGACCTGATGGCTATGATTATCTCACCTGAAAGGCAATGATTATCTCACCTGACGGCTATGAGTATCTCACCTGATGGCGATGATTATCTCAGCTAGACCAACAAACGTGTCACCGCCTGGTCTGAAGTAATGTCCGTACTGCCTCTGTATGTATGACACAACTTCACTGTTCAGTCTAAGTGCTGCTGTTCGGCCGTAAGAAATGAACAGCTGAAACACAAAGACACCATTAAAACAGACCCGTGTCTATGGCACACAATGTGACATAGTACCTCTCATAGTACATCACATGATATGCAACATACTGACTTCACAAAATGTGATGTAGTCCTGTTCTCTTCAAACAGAACTTTATAATGTTGAAGTGTCTGTAAAAAAGGTCATTCAAAAGCATCTTCAATTAGGTATCATGCAGTAGTGTTTTTAATCCACTGCTGTAGTTAGTGTCTCAAAACCAATATTATTGTCAGCCTTCCAGGTACTAGTCCATTCTGGATTGACTGAGTGACAGGGCCGTTTTACAAAGCAATTGTAGCGCTTAAACAATCGTAACTCCCACATTTAACACAGATTTACAACAATCGTAACTCCCATACTTTAACACAGATTTACGACAATTTAGGGCTAAGATCGCTTTGTGGTACGATGCCCTAGTTCATTCCATTACTTCAGTAACATCACAGTATGTCACATTACTGTGGGAGGATAATCGAAGGTGATGTAGGTCTTGGCATTAACAACTTTGGTGCAACCACAAAATAAACATGGTTCTGCTGATCCAAGGACAATAATCAAGACAAACTTTAGCTTCAACCCCAGGACCACCAGATCCAGGGATAGGTAAGGGACAGTACTTCGCACAGCAAATTTAGGGGTCTTAGACTATGAGGCCACATGGGACCCTTCACAGCATATAGGACAAAATCAACATAAAATGGCAAAATTATTATGATCGCTAAGTCTTTAAATGTATGATCTCAAACCAAATCAGTATTGTAGAAATGAGGTGTACCAAGGATGGAACACAGGACTTACCACGCCATCATCACGAGAGAAGAATATGACCACATCATTGTTACAGGAGCCGAAGTTCCAATGCTGGTTCTGAAGTTTTAGAGCGAAGTTACTGGCAGCCTGCATCACAGCAGTATCTGGATCTTGAAATCTGAAACGAACATAGTTATTTGGAAACTCAACTACTTTCAAAAAATAGGTACGAGAGTATTAATTGGAGATAAATTATCACAAAATTTATATATGACTGGAAATAAGTCTGGTAAATTAATCCATGGTCAACTGTTTTCAAATCTTCTGTCCTGAACTTCCAGTGTTAAGGGTACAACCATGAACAAGATCGGCCTCTATACCTGGATGCATACATCATCTCCAGGGCTCCATCACTCAAAGTGATCGTAGGGCCACGACTGCCAGGAACAAGATCAGTCTTTATACCTCGATGCATACATCACCACCAGGGCTCCATCACTCAAAGTGATCGTAGGGCTACGACTGCCAGAACAAGATCAGTCTTTACACCTGGATGCATACATCACTACCAGGGCTCCATCACTCAAAGTGATCGTAGGGCTACGACTGCCAGGAGCAAGATCAGTCTTTATACCTGGATGCATACATCACCACCAGGGCTCCATCACTCAAAGTGATCGTAGGGCTACGACTGCCAGGAACAAGATCGGCCTCTATACCTGGATGCATACATCACTACCAGGGCTCCATCACTCAAAGTGATCGTAGGGCTACGTCTGCCAGGAACAAGATCAGTCTCTATACCTGGATGCATACATCACTACCAGGGCTCCATCACTCAAAGTGATCGTAGGGCTACGACTGCCAGAACAACATCAGTCTTTATACCTGGATGCATACATCACTACCAGGGCTCCATCACTCAAAGTGATCGTAGGGCTACGACTGCCAGAACAAGATCAGTCTTTATACCTGGATGCATACATCACTACCAGGGCTCCATCACTCAAAGTGATCGTAGGGCTACGACTGCCAGGAACAAGATCGGCCTCTATACCTGGATGCATACATCACTACCAGGGCTCCATCACTCAAAGTGATCGTAGGGCTACGTCTGCCAGGAACAAGATCAGCCTCTATACCTGGATGCATACATCACCTCCAGGGCTCCATCACTCAAAGTGATCGTAGGGCTACGTCTGCCAGGAACAAGATCGGCCTCTATACCTGGATGCATACATCACTACCAGGGCTCCATCACTCAAAGTGATCGTAGGGCTACGTCTGCCAGGAACAAGATCGGCCTCTATACCTGGATGCATACATCAACATCAGGGCCCTGTTCTGCCAAGTGATCGTAGCGCTATGACTATCATAAGTCTATGTTAATAGGTACGGGCAGCCAAAATTTTAACTACTTGTTTTGACACAACAAACTGACTTTTCTTAAACTTATAAGAAATACAAGCAAAACAAAAAAAGAATTATGAAGATATCTTTATTAGTTCTTGAGATATTGTCAAACTTGTTAAAAGTATGGGAGTTTTGGTCATCTTCTATGATCGCTTTGTGTAATGGGGTCCAGATTAATTACGTTATCAAGGCCAGTGAATTAATAAATTTGTGTACATTATAAACTGTTATCTTATTTAGATTTATTGAAAAAAGTCCCTGATATATGTGTCATTGTAGTTAAATAGACTGGCTCTCCAGCCTGCCAAGTTAAAAAAAACCCCAACTGTATCAATTTTTGTCAATGAAGCAATGGGGTCCATTATGATAAGCAATAACCTTTCCTATACTTACATTTCTGAGCATCTTACTGAAACATCACTGAACATTTTTTGCAATCCTGAACATGTCCCAAATATGTAACTCATCAATGTTAAAATCAATAAGAAAATAATACCATATCTTACAAATACACACACTACCTAGATACAGACTGTGCAAGTTCTGACGGGCATGTTACCCACATCAGTATAGTGTTCAGCCTGATGCTACCGACTCACGTTTCAGCTAGCTTCATCCTGTTGATGAGTGCCACCGAGATGTGAGTTCCCTTCCTGGTCTTCTCACACCAGTAGGTGCTGCAGGGGCAGATTGTGTCGTTGTCGTAGGCACCTCGCAGAAGCCAGTCAAGCAGCTCCACTGTCGCCACAAGGAAAAAATATCTCAAACAACGCAACTGGAACTACTTTCAAACGCACAGAAACTTCACTAAAGAGAAGCAGCATGTTTGTTAAATGGATCATTAGACCATGCTGCATGTTGATGTGAGCAGTTGCAGACAACTCTCTGAAACCAACAGTGATACATCTAACCTTTCTGAAAGAGAGTATATGTTAACCTCTCCTGAATGAAAAGAGTCCAATATCTTCAAACTTATCATCCAATCGACTACAATAGAAAAGTACAATGTCATCTCAAAGTCAAGTCAAAGGTTATTATGGTCTTATGTAGTGAGTGATAGAGTTGAATTTAATGGTGTTTTGAACAGTATTCCAGTTATATCACAGCGTGTCAGCTTAATGTGGGTGGAATGCCTTAAGCCATGCAGGACTCAGACATTTACCTCTTTAATGAAATCCACGACCACGGCTATGGTGCACAAACCTAGAAACATAACTGTAGTGAACCCACAATCATAAGTTTCAGGTGTGCCCCAAGGGCCGCAACTCTGCATGGTGAATTGCAGTGCTTAGACCAATGGGCCACCTGTTACAGGGTAACAACAAGTACCATCTTTTAACGTCTTTTGGTATGACGCGCCCGGGGATTGAACCCCGGACCTTCCGCTCTCTGGGCAGATGCTCTACCACTAGACCACGGAGGCGGTCCAAAACACATTGGCAAAAGATGAAAGTTCATCACACTAGTGATGCCTTTGATGTTCATGACTTAGTATGTTCAGCCCAAGTTTTCCCTGGGTAGTATGTCAACATAGGGTCTGACCCTCCTTCTTCTTCATTTGCAACACTGCTAGTGCTAGAAATCTATGTCCTCACCACTCCTGGGACTCAGGATGCCGTCAGGGTCACACAGGAAGCCGGCCTTCTGACCAAGCCGGCAGTGCTGGGGGTTTCTCACGGGATGGGGCATGTCCTCAGGGTTCCACTCATCCGGCCGCTCTTCATCATCAAGCTGACCAATTACAGCATGACACATCACCACTAGAACCAGGACACAGCCATATACACGCAGCATTGTGGCAGTTTACACCTTCAGGACAACCTAAAACAAGGGACAGGATGATGATTACCATATGATGATACTGATAGGTAACATAGAAAGCATGGCACAGAGCACAACACCACAGAACTGGGGTGTGTACTTAACATGTGAAGGACGCTATTAGTAATGTTACCAATCTCCCCCCCAGTCAATAGATCAGTATACAATCAGATGGCATTCTCAGTTGGTGTATGCAATCCATCCTGCTTTGTAAATGTTGTAGACAAAGAGTTTGGAGCTTTTCCATTTGTCTATTAACATTATTAAGAATGACTATTCTCAATTATCCCAGGCCTATTTTATGTCAAGACAGGCTTAAATATATACATGATATATGTATGTGTAAGAAATCCTTAAGCAAGCATAATTGCTCACTTTATGATAAGAAGCTGTGATGTTTTATTTTTAATTATTTGGGCTGAAGCCCCCCAATTTATGTTTAACATGTTTATAGCTTCTTTATTATAATATTACCATGATTTCCAAAGAACCTGCTCATGCTGATAATGACACAAAGGAATAAATGTATTCAAGTCCAACCAAGACACATGATACGTACTCAGTGTTTGTTTGTTTGTTGTTTAACGCCGCACTCAGCAATATTCCAGCTATATGACGGCGGTCTGTAAATAATCGAGTCTGGACCAGACAATCCAGGGATTGACATCATGAGCATCGATCCACGCAGTTGAGATCAATGACATGCATCAACCAAGTCAGCGAGCATGACCAACTGATCCCGTCAGTCGCCTTTTTATGACAAGCATAGTTGCCTTTTACCGCAAGCATGGGTTGCTGAAGACCTATTCTACCCCAGGTCTAAATTTAAGACTTAAAAGAGAATATATATAAATACACAAACTAGACCTATTCTACCATGTTGTCTACCCGGGATCTTCACAGGTCACATGCTCAGTGAGCAGTAAATGTTCGCTCAATCATGTCCACAAGAAGAGTGAGTGAGTGAGTATGGTTTTACACCGCTTTTAGCAATATTCCAGCAATATCACGGCGTGGGACACCAGAAATGGGCTTCACACATTGTACCCATGTCGGGAATCGAACCCGGGTCTTCGGCGTGACGAGCGAACGCTTTAACCACTAGGCTACCCGACCGCCCCCCACAAGAAGAGAGCATGAGACGTAACCTCACAGTTCTTAACTTTACTGACAGTGTGGCTTAGTTCCTTTTTCAACACTAAAGTACAAATATTTAAATTGAAAATAGGATACAGCAAGGTCACAATACAATTTGTGAAACGCACATAAAATAACATGGAAACTTCTTGAAAATAATTATTTCAGAACAAGTTCAAAAGGAAAAGCTACTTGTAGAGACACGTTCGTGGTGGCTATTTTTAGTAGTGAACTTGAAATGCTAAGCGAAACACATTTTGTGATATCTGACTGACAAAAATGTTGGGGATAAGTTTTTCTTAAATGAGTAGTAAGTAATTTATTTCAGCAAGAGTATCATCTTGTAGTGATACAGAAAAATATGTATTGTGGATTGTATCACATGAAAACTACAATGCACCCCTAACATGTCCTATCATACTAGTACTCCTATTGATTTTTTAAAATTAATAGTGAGTGAGTGAGTATGGTTTTACACCGCTTTTAGCAATATTCCAGCAATATCACGGCGTGGGACACCAGAAATGGGCTTCACACATTGTACCCATGTCAGGAATCGAACCTGGGTCTTCAGCGTGATGAGCGAACGCTTTAACCACTAGGCTACCCGACCGCCCCCTTAAAATTAATAATAATACATGTATAACAGAGTGCCAACTCCCACACTCTAGGCTATGGCATAGCACTTAATTTGTCTTAGCATCAAATTTAGGATCTCTTCAGTAATGTCAGTGTACACAGCTTGTACAAGTAATGAGACTGGGATTTTCACATAGAATACATCATGATACATGACCATAAATGCTCATAATCTTAGGCATATATATTTTATTGATTTGTCACTCTATGCAAGAAAAATAAGATGATGAATAATATATTTCAACATTGAAATATTGACATCCGCGGGCCAGATATTCATTTCATATCATCCAGCACACTGCATGTTGGCATTCGGAATACCATTTAACAGGGCTTTGTATCCGGCGAACCATACAGAGTTGGCAAATGACAAATGAAGGGACCGACCCAATTTTTTGTGTTTTTATATCTTTATTTCAACCACCAACCAAACGTTCTGATTACTACACCTTGGAGCAAGTAAACATGTGAGATATTAAACTCTCAAATTGATTTCCAGAAGGTCAACAACGTATTCTGCAATTGACATTAACAGGATTTAAACTCCCTAGTATGAGACAAATGTCAGAAGTAATACTAAATTACAACAGAGCCATATCCTCGCTTACAGAATTCATAGCTCAGTTCACTCACTCAAGTGAACATTTCCACACCATCTTGTAAATTGGGTGTCCATCATTGATTGATGTAGCTTGAGCAGATACAGAGATGAGATTATTGACGAAGGGTAGACACACATCAGTGGTTAAATGAAACTATTCTGCATCTCATTTGGATTAGTGGATTCTGTACATGATGTAAAACAACTAGATCGGGGGGAAAAACTGGTTTCTCTGGATTTTCACTAGTCTCGGACAAACAGAGTAGTGGCTGTGTCTGTTCCTGTTGACTCAAATATTCAAAGCGATTACTACAAGGGTATTCTTATTATCATGCTTTTTGACAACTGTAATTATGATAATGGTCCAATTTTGATTTAGGATTACATTTTGGTCAGTTTTAACAAGACAAAGACTGTTCCTCACACAGAATGTTATGTGATACTCTATATCAACTGTTGGTTACTTCACACTGACAAACTCATGACTAATGTTGACTAGTCACTGTGTGATAACATCATTAATCCTTTACCAAAACCTATATAATACCATGTTTCCTTCAGATACAATCAAACTATATCCAACATCGTACACAAAGTAACAAGTTTTACACTTTGTTGCCGGTGCTGCATAACAGGTGCCCGGATATTCATTTTGCAGTTGGATCCGATGTATCACTCTGGCACCCCTAAATACAGAATCATATTTGTAAAGAAGATTTGCAATGTATCCACGACAAGTTCTGTCACGTCAAAAGTGATTATTCATACTGAGATAGCATACTCATGTTATAAATATTTTCAAAATGACAGAACCAAACTAACCTGCCTCCGAAGTTTGGCACTCGATTCAGACGATAAGTGGAACCATGACTTGGATTTGATTTCACTTTCAGAAGGATATTAATTATGATTTCTAACGAATAGCTATTCCAATAATCATTATAGGACTTACCTAGAATAATTCGGACAAGAAATAATGCGGATCAACTTTTGAAACGACTGCTGCCCTCCTGCTCAGTAGCATTCCATACAAGGTTAGGCCATTTTTAGCAATGCCTCTCCCGTAGATCTTCCGCACCCAGCGAAATAGGTCAAGTTTCCGTTAGATTTTCTTCACCACTACTCTCAGTATTATTTTCATTTCACAAGCATCTGTTGACAATCCTACATTTTAATTTGAGGAGAGTTCTTCAAAGTACACACTGTTGTAAAATGACACGAGAAACATTAACTTAACATTGATGTGCTACGAATAATATTCGTTGTTTTGCGATATCAACTTTCCATCGATCGGTATAAGCGGTGTTAAAAGAAAATATGCCTACAATTTATAAATGTAAAACAAATATTAAAATTTATCTGAAATTTTGATATATGTTTTGGAAGATGCATTTCAGATAAACACGCTATTCAATCGCAGTTGTGAAATATGTGTTATGTGTTAAAATTGATATTTGTCAAAGGTAAATGTCCAAACGAAAAGTGAAGTTTTATAGATGAGTTTTTTATTAGCTTCAGCAAATGCTAAAACAGAGAACATATACATCGGTATATGGTCTCTGGTAGAAAAGTTGTAATTATCAAGTATTTGCTTTCTGACTACAGTGACTTTGTACACATGCTGGGCCCTCGCCACTGAAATTAATTTCAGGACATATTATATGCAAGTATTGTATTTAGATATTCGTATCCCTTACTCCCCTTAGACTGATTTGCGTATCCGCATCATATGGAAACTTCCGCCACCACCATCAAACGCACGATGAATCTAGAATTAGGTGTTGCGAAAATAGTATATATGGGCGGTAAAGGGAATCAACTCTTGTCGTTCAATCCACCAAGCTGTCAGACCAACAAAGCAGCGAGTGTCTCAGGACGTTGGAGAAACTGCTCAACCGGAAAGACAACATGCCTCCCTCGCATTTCACAGACGGAGGGCCATTTGTAGTCGCGAAGGAGTGTCGTTATTCTTCCACTGAATACATCTGTATATTCATGAATATGTCAAATGAAATGCGACAGGTTAAATTCTCTGTTGGACGACACCCTTACGGTATTCCACAAGGAGGCGGTTTTCAAACTGAAATAACCCAGTGTAATGTGTAGGTTACAGATTAATTGTTTTAGTAAGCCCATGTAAATGTACAACAAATACTGCGACCCACTCAAATCTTACTCACAGATGCACACTACGTCATGCGCCGCACAGGATTGACGCGCCTGTATCTCGAATTATAGGAGTGTTAACAAAACATTCTGAAAAATAAAGTTGGGGATCATTAAATATTTTTATGTAACGTACACATTTAAAGAAACTCAGTCTTCGCTACGAAAATAATCTTCCAAAATATTCATAAGGGGCGGTCGGGTAGCCTAGTGGTTAAAGCGTTCGCTCGTCACGCCGTAGACCCGGGTTCGATTCCCGGCATGGGTACAATGCGTGAAGCCCATTTCTGGTGTCCCATGCCGTGATATTGCTGGAATATTGCTAAAAGCGGCGTAAAACCATACTCACTCACTCAAAATATTCATGATCCCTTCCTTGTTTTGTTCAGTATATGTCTTTTTGGTTACTGCACAGATGTAGATGTAGCACCATCTGTAACGGACTTGTATTACTTACCTAACCAGGATATTTGTACCTTACCAAGATATCAACATCCACTTTATGCATGAACTCCCGTAGCAGCGAGCGATGGGGTCTGTCAGTCAAGACGCGTATGACCTTGATGTACTGAGTGGCGGACCCCATCGCGGCTCTGGGCTAGGGCCTCCGTGGATACATCCCACAGCACGCAATGTGATCCGATTAATGACAAGCAGGTGATTTGGATGATTCTGTGTACCCCGACGGTGTGGATTGTTGCTCATGCTATCAACCACTGGTTTGTTTGGCCAGGACTCTATTCTTTACAGGCCGCAGAGATGTGACAGGGATTGACGACTTGAACGTAAAGATGTGACGGGTGTATTGACGACTTGAACGTAAAGATGTGACGGGAGTATTGACGACTTGAACGTAAAGATATGACGAGAGTATTGACGACTTGAACGTAAAGATGTGACGGGAGTATTGACGACTTGAACGTAAAGATGTGACGGGAGTATAGACGACTTGAACGTAAAGATGTGACGGGAGTATAGACGACTTCAACGTATTGATATGACAGGAATATTGACGACTTCAACGTAATGATATGACGGGAGTATTGACGACTTCAACGTAATAATATGACGGAAGTATTGACGACTTCAACGTATTGATATGACGGGAGTATTGGCGACTTCAACGTAATAATATGACGGGAGTATTGACGACTTCAACGTATTGATATGACGGGAGTATTGACGACTTCAACGTATTGATATGACAGGAGTATTGACGACTTCAACGTAATGATATGACGGGAGTATTGACGACTTCAACGTAATGATATGACGGGTGTATTGACGACTTGAACGTAAAGATGTGACGGGAGTATTGACGACTTGAACGTAAAGATATGACGAGAGTATTGACGACTTGAACGTAAAGATGTGACGGGAGTATTGACGACTTGAACGTAAAGATGTGACGGGAGTATAGACGACTTGAACGTAAAGATGTGACGGGAGTATTGACGACTTGAACGTAAAGATGTGACAGGAGTATTGACGACTTGAACATAAAGATGTGACAGGAGTATTGACGACTTGAACGTAAAGATGTGACAGGAGTATTGACGACTTGAACGTAAAGATGTGACAGGAGTATTGACGACTTGAACGTAAAGATGTGACGAGAGTATTGACGACTTGAACGTAAAGATGTGACGAGAGTATTGACGACTTGAACGTAAAGATGTGACAGGAGTATTGACGACTTCAAATTAATAATATGACGGGAGTATTGACGATTTCAACGTATTGATATGACAGGAGTATTGACGACTTCAACGTAATGATATGACGGGAGTATTGACGACTTCAACGTAATAATATGACGGGAGTATTGACGACTTCAACGTATTAATATGACAGGAGTATTGACGACTTCAACGTAATGATATGACAGGAGTATTGACAACTTCAACGTAATGATATGACGGGAGTGTTGACGACTTCAACGTAACAATATGACGGGAGTATTGACGACTTCAACGTATTGATATGACAGGAATATTGACGACTTCAACGTAATGATATGACGGGAGTATTGACGACTTCAACGTAATAATATGACGGAAGTATTGACGACTTCAACGTATTGATATGACGGGAGTATTGGCGACTTCAACGTAATAATATGACGGGAGTATTGACGACTTCAACGTATTGATATGACGGGAGTATTGACGACTTCAACGTATTGATATGACAGGAGTATTGACGACTTCAACGTAATGATATGACGGGAGTATTGACGACTTCAACGTAATGATATGACGGGAGTATTGACAACTTCAACGTAATGATATGACAGGAGTATTGACGACTTCAACGTAAAACAATATACTCACATCCGTTCAATATGACTTGTTTTTGTTAAAGAAACAGACTTGGGATGTGTTTCACCATCGAGTTCGCACATACGAAGTCTCCCTATAATATTGCTCCTGCGTATGGGGATCCAGTGATCAGACTTCGCGACGTGGTTGATTGAAACGGACTATAGAAATATGCGCACGTGACTCCGTTATAATGATAATAATGTAGTCTCCATAACACATCTAATCCACACACAAAAATCATTTTGAGAAAATTCTAGATGTGCATCTTCTTAAATGACAGAATGACGCTGCGTTTGATTTATCAACATTGCTCCCATGATGCATGTTACATAACACTTGCACAGCCATAACCATGGTACGCGATATGGAGTCTGTACTGGGAAATGTATACACGTTCTTTACACTTTATAGAGACATAGGGATCACATTTCTTAATTTAGTTAGTTAGTTATGCATGCCCATCGCTCCTCCCGAAGCATGGGCCGCCGACAACAGTCCGCCAGAGTCCTCGGTCCTGGGCTGCCCTCTCTAGTTGTTTCCAGGTGTGTCCCATCTTCTTGCTGTCTGCCTCGAGGTCCCGTCGCCAGGTGTTTCTTGGCCGTCCTCTTTTTCCTTTTCCCTGGGGGTTCCATGACAGCGCCGGTCTGGTGATGTTACTGACTCGCTTCCTCAGGGTGTGCCCAATCCATCCCCATCTTCTGCGCCGGATCTCAGCTTCGGTTGGCAGTTGGTTGGTACGCTGCCACAGGTCTGAGTTGCTGATGGTGTTGGGCCAGTGGATCTGGAGGATTCTTCTCAGGCAGCTGTTGATGAAGGTCAGCATTTTCCTGGTGGTGGTCTTTGTTGTCCTCCATGTCTCGGCTCCATACAGTAGCACTGACTTGGCGTTGGAGTTGAACATCCTGATCTTCGTGCGAGTCGATACCACCTTGGAGCTCCATATGTTCTTCAGCTGCAAGTATTTTAATTTAGATAGGGTGAATTACCGAACTGCCCAAGCTATATGGTTTTCAATTCATACCATCCAGTCTTCGGTATGATTAATAAAACAAAACGGGGGTGGTCTCAAAAACAAAATTGGGACGTAAAAGGATATCAGACAGCTTTGATACAGAGTGGTAAGCAGAAGGTAACCCTGACTTGTCGAATTTGGGCGGGATTAAAGATACAATTAATGCTAACTGCACTAACTATTGCCCTCCAAGAGATTGGATTTCGATACACTGCGCGTGGCGATGACCGAGCACTTTTCAGGGGAAAATATTCCGACCTGTCTATTAGGTCGCATTATCGCAAAACCATTCATAACTATCACAGTCAGGGCGTTCAGATAATTTACCTTGGTGAATCATTCCACTGACTACGTGTGGCTATCGGTAGATGGACAAAAAGCACCCATAGACCATCAGGTAAAGGTAATCGTGTCATTGTTTTGCACGCTGCAACCCCTGATATGGGGCTTATTGATGGATGTGTGCTAGTTTTCGAGGCGAAAAAGAAAACTGTGATTTTCATAAGGAAATAATAGGAGGTGATGTGTTCTTAGACTGGTTGGAACTTCAGCTATTGCCTATTTCAAACAACGTCAGTGCCATTGTCATAGATAACGCCAGTTAATATAACGCCCGGGAATCAGATACTGTTGCCCAAACCATGAGTAGTCTGAAGGCGACCATACAGGAATATAGGACATTGTCGACTTTTGACCATATGAAACGAAAGTTCAACTCGTGGAGAAAATTCCCCGAACACTGGGAGCCCCCTTTCCAGGCATGCCCGCGAACACTGCCCGGAGACGGGAAGGGATTTTATTATTCAGGAAAATTATTGATTGAACAAATGTTTCTTGTTATTAACCTACACCCCCAGAGATGATCCATGCCAGACAATATATCCTACTCAAAAGAAGTTAAAGAACACCAATTTTTGAATTAATTTATCATGGGCGGTGTATATTGGCGTGCATACTATTTGTTGGGGGGTGTCAGTATGTCCATGCTGTGTTACTGTTTGAAGTATGTTGATATTGTAGTTCATACTGCAGTTTGTTTAGGTCCTTCTGTACGTCGTTTCATATTAGAGTACTGTGCAACCTTGTTATAATGCCATGTTTTTCTTGGAACTAATTTCTGCACAATTTGCTTTTGCAATAGTTTGCTTATCCGCCGCTACATACTACTATTCTTTCATACTTCCATGCTTTGGTGAACCCCCTGTCTGATGAAGCTGTTGTTCGATTTATCCACTATGATGTGTGAATGTAGTTCAGAGTTAAGGTGGGGCGGTCGAGTAGCCTAGTGGTTGAAGCGTTCACTCGTCATGCCGAAGACCCGGGTTCGATTCCCGACATGGGTACAATGTGTGAAGCCCATTTCTGGTGTCCCCCCACCGCGATATTGCTGGAATATTGCTTAAAGCGACGTAAAACCATACTTACTCACTCGCTCAAAATTGGATTTGACCCCCTAATTACAAACGCTATGAAAACTTTACTCGGCTGAAAACAGTCTGTAGTTGTTTATTGGTCTCATCAAATCCCAATTTAACGACTAGGTTAATCAAATATATCAACACAACAATGGATCTCTAGAGACCACTATTAATGTTATTAGGTTTAGTATGATCAGAGACCATATAATAGATTATTATATGGTCTCTGGTATGATAAATTGGTTGGACGCATGTTAATATGTTAATGAATTTGTTCAGGTGAATTTATATGCAAATAAGTGTGTGAAGGAAAGCTGAAAATAACTTTTAAGGAAACAAATGGGATTTAACGTCGCGTTGAAGATTATTGCATTTATATAGCGACCTGAATGCATATGTGTGTGTGGTTTTACAAGTTCGGACTAATACTGGTTTTATGGTGCTATCTGTAGTTGAACATGTACTCGTGTGTGTGTGTGCTTGCACTAGTCCGTAATGTCAGTGTTATAGTGCTTGCCTACTGAGATACCATGCAGGAGTATATAAATGGATACCCCTTTCAGACACAGTATACCATCTTCCCTAGGCAAGGAAGTTAACTGACTGCAAAAGTCCAGTTTCCACCCTTGCTGAAATAGATCTAGGCTCGATCGTAGCGCCACCAGTGGCTATTTCAAGTGATGCCATTCTTTGTCCCTTCTATTGACCGATCAGATTGCACCTCCTATATCACTTGCATTTGCTTCAAACGAAATGGTGGCATCAAGTGAAGACGATCTGATCCATAATAAAGATCTACATTGTTATAACACGGGTCTTACTTCGCGAAGTGCATGAAATCACGTGAGCACCCATCTTCCCGAGGCAAGAGAGTTAACTGACTTTAAAAGTCCAGTTTCCACCCTTGCCGAACAAGGCTGGAATTACTGGACTCGATCGTAGCGCCTCTAGTGGCTATTACCAGTTATGTCCCTTCTAAGCCTCTCCTGTGGACCAATCAGATTCCATCGCTCGTATCACTTGCATTTGCTTCACACAAAATGGTGGAGCCCAGTCAAGACGATCTGATCAATAATCAAGATCTATACTGTGATAAAACGGGTCTTACGTCGCGAAATGCATCAAATCACGTGAGCACCTTGATTAAAAACATTTGGAAAATATCTGCTGACAAGTTGGCGGTGCACATGCTTTGCAAATCCGGCAATCGATCGAAATCTGAATGACAGTTTACGAACCGGATTTCGATTTCTTTGCGCGATTTTGATTGGACTATGCATAGACTCATCAGTCCAGCCAAAATGTAACTCCATAATACCAGCCTAGTTCGGCAAGGCTGGAAACTGGACTTTTATAGTCAGTTAACTCTCTTGCCTCGGAAGCACCTTGATTAAAAACATGACAAGATTTGGAAAATATCTTTTGACGCTAAGTTGACGATACACATGCTTTACAAATCCCACAATCGACCGAAATCTGCACGGCAGTTTACGAACCGGATGGGGGGCACGGGTGGCCCAGTCGTCTAAGGCGCCGCGATTCGCTGTGCAGAGTTGCGTCCCCTGGACACGCCAGAAACCTATGATTGTGTGTTCGAATCCCGGTTCGGCCCGATTATGTTTCTAGGTTTGTCAGCACCATACCAGTGCTCGTGGGTTTCACCGAAATGGTAAACGTCTGAGACCTGCATCGCTTTCCTCCCACATTAAGCTGACGCGCCGTGATATAACTGGAATACTGTTAAAAGCGGCGTTAAACCCAACTCACTCACTCACTCACTCACTCACTACGAACCGGATGTCGAGTTCGTTTCGCGATTTTGATTGGACTATGCATAGACTCATTAGTCTAGCCAAAATATAACTCCATAATTCCAGCCTAGTTCGGCAAGGGTGGAAACTGGACTTTATAGCCAGTTAACTCAATTGCCTCTGGAAGATGCCTATAGTGTATATTTAAAGAATTTGAACAAGGCAAATGAGTTCTGAGACAAGGATCATCATATTTCCCTGCTCATGGGTAGATGAGGATTAAACAGCTGGTACTGCCATGAGACTATACTACTCCACTGTTCATAGATATGTTTTCACAAAACTCATTCTCATAACATGTCAAGTGTGTATTTAAGTGGAATGACATATCTGATTATCCCCATAGGACGTTTAGTACCTAAATCAGACAAATGAAGTTTTTCTTCCAAGATAGGAGGAATACTGCTTAAGTCATTAATATTCAGCAAATATTACATGGAACCAATTTGGTTCAATAGTTCAGCCTGACATAATTTTTATGATAAACACTGGTTCAAACAATACCCACAGTGTAATGGTGACAATTCTAGATTCTAAAAAAGATTCTAAATCAAACTTTTTTATTTATACCTTGGATTTGAATGGCTAATTTCTTGACCTAGCAGTATTCAAAAGCTACAGGTTATATTAGGGTAACTTTTAAATGTGAAGTTTTCTAGATATACGGCTTTTCCATTGGACGAGAGGTCGTTCACATGACAGCGAAAGGGACGTTCATTAGCGTATGAACGACATATTTTTACGTTCGTACATTTTTCACGATACTGTATTCTTGAAATGACAAGTATAAAACGTCAGCGCAGGCAAAATAGTGGTGAAAGTAATATGAATGGGTCGCTGAAAATAAATGATGACACGAAGTGTTCGCGAAAACACTGACGAACTACTTACACATTCCTGGGAAAACTTCTGGGAATTTCCCAGCACGAATACAGACAGAACCGTTGTTTCTGGAATATTGCTAAAACGGCATAAAATCACAGTCACGCACTCACTCATGTAGGCAGATGGACCTGACAGTTGGACGTTGAACATGGTGTTTGAAACGTCCGTAAAAGTTCTTGAATCCCCCTTTCATTTCCTTCGATGTTCGCAGATCCACAACATTCTTGCTATTTAAAGTGTTGTCAATTTTTGGGTAGGCTTTTGGTTGGACCCCCACCCCCAACCCCCAACCCCCCTGGACATGCACCTCGTCCATCTGCTGTAGACACAGACTGGCCAGGTGAGACATGATCACCTTAGCGTACCCCTTCCCTCGGTGTTCCTTCACAACATGTAGCAAACCAATATTCCCATGATGGCAAGTCAGGGCGCATCCAACCAAGGAGCCTTCATCGTTGTACAGGCCGCAAGATGGTAGTTTGCTGAGGATTTCCTTCAAGTATATCTCCGAGTGTATGCCTTCGTTGTAATACCACCTGGTGTTGACGAGATGGGCTTCTTCAGGATGAAGGTTTGACATTGTATATCCCTCTGGAATGTTTCTGGCACATGAAAGAGAATATTTGACACGTTGAATGTAGAAAATGTCATCACATTAGGATAACCCACGTTGGCTTTAGCAAAGACGAATGACTTTTGGTAAATGAGCAACATTTGATTTTGACGTAGAGGGTGATTTTGGTTGGAGATGAGAATATTAAAGTAACGAACTGTATTCCTTGGACACTTTTCTGCACGAAAAAGCACACTCTTTGGTTTCTTACAGTGCGAGGCATATATATTTTATTTTTAGTAAAACAGGGACTCGATTGTGTCGACCCGACTCACCTCCCCTACTGGAAGTCAAAATGTATCTCCCTGACGATGTATCTATAGATCGTTTACATGTTGATTCCAGGCAAATATGGAACCATTGCAATGGATGCGTACTTGATAGAGAGGATAGCGATACAATGAGGGATTAAGTGAGTTTAGTTTAATTATGCTTTGAACAATATTTAAGATATATAAGAGAGTGTCAGCTTGAAGACGAGGAACACCCGATGTGACAGATTTCTGACTTTTATCACCTTGGTGACACCATCGAGTTCCTAGGGTAGGAACACCCGATGTGATGCAGATTTCTGACTTTTATCCGCTTGGTGACACCATCGAGTTCCAGGGGTAGGAACACCCGATGTGATGCAGATTTCTGACTTTTACCACCTTGGTGACACCATCGAGTTCCTAGGGTAGGAACACCCGATGTGATGCAGATTTCTGTATTTTATCACCTCGGTGACACCATCGAGTTCCAGGGGTAGGAACACCCGATGTGATGCAGATTTCTGACTTTTATCACCTTGGTGACACCATCGAGTTCCTAGGGTAGGAACACCCGATGTGATGCAGATTTCTGACTTTTATCACCTTGGTGACACCATCGAGTTCCAGGGGTAGGAACACCCGATGTGATGCAGATTTCTGACTTTTATCACCTTGGTGACACCATCGAGTTCCAGGGGTAGGAACACCCGATGTGATGCAGATTTCCGACTTTTATCACCTTGGTGACACCATCGAGTTCCAGGGATATCAAAACATTGCAACTCAAGTGCCTGACATTTGATGACAATAATCGCGGACAAAATAAATATGTGACACAGTGCACATGTTAATAACCACAGCGAAATACACAGCAAATACTTATTGAAAGTTAAAAGGAAAATCATAATTATGAAACATATGCCTGCAGTGACAATGGCAGACAATGGACGTCACTAAATGTAATCAAAAAGTCCAAGATTTCTCACAATATTCACCAAAACAGCATCATACCTCACCTCGGTCTCAGCGTCTCTTTTGTGACTTTCATAACAATAAATGAGTCCACACTGTATGTCCTGTCACGTTGACATATCATATTGATAACAGTTGATACAACATCATCGCCGAAACCTGTAACATAGATACATGTGCCATTGCAAATTATGTGAGTCAATCACAAGCAAAATATCCCCTTAACGTCTCAAATACACGGGTCTTGAGTCAACCTTCATGGGAACAGCCTGTATCCAAAAGGTTGTCAGTTTGCAGTAGCTAATACGTCTCCATATAAAAATATACTGAACCGCAAAAGAAACGTCACCATGGATAGATATATGAGAAACCTTTTTGTCCAAACACTGTAAACGTACTTTGAGACATATTAAACAGATGAAACTGGGCAAAAACTGATCATCAAGGTTGAAATTAAAGTGTCAAATGTTCTTGAAGTGAAACACAACACTATTCTCTGAGAAAATGGCATCACAAGTCAGTATCTCATGTGTCCGCCATGTGCATTGATGACTGCTGTGCAACGTCGATGCATGGAATGAATGAGGCGGTTCATGAAGGCCATAGGCACTTGAGCCCACACTCTGAAGAACGCCTGAGACAGTTCAGCTGCAGTTGTAGCCCTTGGTCGGACGTCATTCAGCCGTCTTTGAATCTCGCCCCACAGGTGCTCAATGGGATTTTAATCGGGACTGAGGCCAGGCCGCCGCAGGGTTCTGGTGCCATTCTGCTGGAGGAAGTCTCTTGTTGCTCTCGCAGTTTGGGCACGGGCGTTATCATGCTGAAACTCGTGGTTGCGGCGACGTGCCAAATGAGGTATGGCGTGTGGTTTTGGCGTGTGACTTGATCAATGTACTGAGCTGCTGTGACACCATTCCCTCTCCCTGGACCGACGTTCTGGAAGACCACAGGGCCGACCCTCTGTGCAAGACCAATTCCACCCCACACCATGATGCTCGGACCACCCCCACGAGTCTCTCTCAACAACACAAGCATCCCAATAACGTTCCCCAGGGCCTCGCCAAACACTCTCTCTGTCATCTGCTGGTGAGATACAGTAACGGCTCCACTGCTGGTGGCGCCATTGCTGGTGATGTGTTGCCCACTGAAGACGGTCCCGGCGATGACGTGGTGTTCAGAATGGGACCTCGGTGTGGCCTGTGACAGTGGAGGAGTCTGCTCGTCAATCGTCGACGCACGGTGTCCGCACTAATGTGTTGCTGGTGTGTCCCCATGGTCTGTCGAGTAGATTCCGCAGCAGTAACAAAGCGATCTTGAAGATGCTGTCGCACAATCTGTCGATCCTGACGTCGGGTGGTGACCCTTGGTCTTCCACTACGTGGTCGGTCATCTGTAGTGTTGGTGGTCTGGTACCGTTGCCGGAGCCTGTATATATGGTCCTTACGTGGACTTGAAATGCATTGACTACTTGCCGGGCGGTTTGTCCAGCTTGCAATCGTCAAAGGGCTTGGTGTCGCAGATTTCTTGTCAATCTTGGAATGTGGCAGCAATTCAATAACGAATGAATGTTATCCGATCTGGATGGATTTTTATAGGGCGAGAAATGGGGGAACGCATGTGCATTTTAATTTGCACGGAACTCACGTGCATCGGGTTACCATTGCCGTTGCCGTGATACGTTTGGGCGATCGGTTTTATTGTCATCTGCTTTGGTTTTATCATCAAATTTAATTTTTCCGGACAAGGTAATGTTAAATTTTAGAGACTTTGACAAAAATTACCAAGATATTTAAATGACAACTTTTCATGCCATGTTACTTGGGTGACGCGTCTTTTGCGATTCAGTATATAAATCGTCAATGCCAGAGAATAATCACTCTCTATTATCTGCCGAAACATTGGTCGTGAAAGTCAAAATTGGCGTAAAAATTATATCAATGGATCACTGAAAAACAGTGATGACACCAGGTGTATAATTCCATTAAATGCCTGCACCTGGCCTAGGGAGTATCATTGTGGGTAAAGCGTTGGGTCGTTAAGCTTAAGGTCATGGTTCGATTACCCACAAAATGTATGAACCTTGGTGCTCTTTAATATTGCTAAATGTTTCATACGATGGGATTGATACGTTCCGAGCTACACATTGAAATACATTCAAGATATGGAAAATTATTTATGTTTAATCATAATCCTCTTCATGACACACTTTTACTAACGATGTTGGAGGGATGTTGTCCCAGTTTCGTAGAAGTTCTCTTGGTTGTCCAAACCTCCACAGCTGCTGTTAGTGGTAATGGGTTTCTGTTAGAGCTGTCGGAAACAGATGGAGGCTGACGGAGCTGGGTCAGGCTGGTGCTGAAGGACCACAAAGCCACACACGTGGATTATAGCCATGACAGTAACTGAGTTGTGCACCGATGCATTGTTCTGACGCAAGAGCGCACCTTTTCACAGCTTCCCACGTCTTTCATCCTTTACTTGCCTCACATGTGCAATAAATATGCTGCGTATTTTGTCTGGCCTTTTGGAAGTGTATCATGACGGCACCATCGGCACCCTTAAACACGGATCCAATAATCTTTCTGTCTTCTCTGCTGGAAGCGATGTCAAATGCATCCAATGTTTTGATTGATCTTTTTAAAGTTGGAAGTGGTGGACCCAGGTTTCACAGTCACAAATCGTTGAAGGATCTTCTCTGGACCAGTTTAAAACACAGCTAGATTTTCACGAGACATGTTTTGGTTGGTAAGTTTTTGATCAGGTCTCAGAAGCCTTACGAACTGATATGTTCTTATGGTGTCAACATTTCTTTGATAGTGGAATGTGCTCTCTCATTCGCCGGTCGGTCATCGCCATATAATGGATTCTCTGGATCATTTCTGGTGTTTTGGGCGTCACCAGCATTCCAGGACGGGGGTCGTCTTTAAGGCTGTCGCTGCCATGCTTCAACTCTGCAACGGTGGCATTGGGAGGGGCGTCCTTCCCTAGTGTTGTACTCATATCTTCATGGATGGCTTTTGGTATCAAGCCCATTTCTTGCAAGTACTGATCACTGCACGTTCCTCAAGCTTGTAAAATTTTCAAAAGTCACAGACTTGTCATGGTGAAAGAATGTGCTGATTTGACTGAATTTGTGGAAATACCGCTATGACAAGTAATGTCCTCACAAATAGATTCACTGTTATGTAATTCCTACCTGTGTGAGGCTCCGAACGTTTTGATCAACCCTTTTTCTTATACACCGATGTCAGATGATTTGGGCAAACACGGGCGAGCCAGACATATACAACAGAGAATATCATTATATCAAATAGCCAAATGTACTTAGCCAATACACTCACATGAAAACGCAGTCTTTTCTGACCAGTGTATGACGCCAGGCTGTTGAAGCAACAACTCCAGAGCGTCTCGGTCTGTGGTGTAAACATATGTATGGTTGCCCAAGAAGACAGGATACTGAAACAAAGGTTTCATGTGGCCCTGATTACAGTGGTGTAGGTAATCGTCTTTCGTAAGTCGGAGAACATTTCATATGATGAAAAATATCAAAGCCGTATTATCAACATATGTTGATGGTGTACTGGTAATAAGAAGCCTTTGATGATAGAGTGAGTGAGTGAGTGAGTAGGGTTTAACGCCGCTTTTAACAGTATTCCAGTTATATCACGGCGTGTCAGCTTAATGTGGGAGGAAAGCCCGAAGTGATGCAGGTCTCAGACGTTTACCTCTTCGGTGAAACCCACGAGCACGGGTATGGTGCTGACAAACCTAGAAACATAATCGGGGCGAACCGGGATTCGAACCCACAATCATAGGTTTCTGGCGTGCCCAAGGGACGCAACTCTGCACAGCGAATCGCGGCGCCTTAGCCGACTGGGCCACCCGTGCCCCCTTTGATGATAGAGTTAACATTCTATAAAACATGTTGGAACACCATTCATATTTCCCAATTTAGATTTTACCAATGAAACATTTACATGTGTAAACAATAATGTTTAATATATCCTTGTTTACATAATTGTGTGTGACAGTATATAAACGTAAATCTGTGCTTTGTGCTTTGGTTATGAAAGGGCGACTTTATACTTTATACATTCACCTGACAGTTTATGAATATACATTTGTGCCAATGACAACATCTGTTGCAATTGCTTTGTTGAAATGAAAATGATTGTAAATGTTACCTTGGCTGTAGCTCTATCAGCCCGCACAACTAGGGCTCTGAAATCTGGCCAGCGGTCCACGATGAAGTCGTAGTCAGTTATAACAGAATGGAGTTTTGAAAGTATTTCACCCCGGATCTATTGAAAATTAATAACACCGATAACATACATTAGGTAATTCTTTACATCGTCAACCATATCTTCAGCCCATAACACTAGAACCCTCCAAAATACTGAGTACACAGAATATACTCACCTGATATGCTCGCTCGACGTTTTGTAGAGTCAGTAAAAGCTGAGTTAGCTTCTGGTTAGTCAGGATAATGGCCATTGCACAATAGCATCTGTGCGAATGTGAAAAGAATGTATTTTTGGTGGTTTCTATAAAAGCTATAGGATTATGAAATAAACAAAATATTTAAAACAAAGTTAGAGGCTTATGAATAAAACCAGATTTTTTTCATGAATATAAATAACAGGAATTACTTAAGTCGCTTGGCCTTGTCAAACATTTTCTGTGCACATTCATTCGGAAAATTGCATGTTTCGGGAAGAGCTTGTGCTTATTGCTTGACCAACCGTTACAGACATTGCCATGGCCAGTGATCCCCCCCCCCCCCCGCCCCCCCCCCCCCATAGAATACATACCACATACGCGGCTACAACCACCACCTTTGTGAACTGGCGCTTGGATCTGGTCTCAAAAACAAATGAACGAACACATATCTTCTGGTGGATCATCCTCCGTCTCATATAGAAAATGTATGGAATCCTAGAAGGGACATTGTCGCATTGTCGCATTGTCTTCCTTACAAACACAAGCCAAAAATGTCCAAATTAACCAAAGCGTGGCAATGCAACAACACAACATTTTGGCCATTTGTCTCATTGTCGCACTTTGAATAATCTTTTTTATTTTACCAAAGGGCGACAATGCGACAATTTTCAAGGTCAAAATATGTCGTATTGTCGCCCTTTGGTAAAATAAAAAGACGCCTTTTTACACGTTTTTGATGGTGCGACAATGCGACAACAAGACATAATTTGACCTTGAAATATGTCGCAAGTTTCCATACCCAATAGAATCGATTGCACGATTCCGACTATATCATGAGCATATGTTTATGAATCACCATCAAATAGTAATGATACCAGATGTTCGAGAAAAGGAGAACGTATTCTGCCTAATCGCTGGCACCCGTCAAAATAGGGAATTACATTGGACATCAATTTTGTCTCTGATTCCTCAAATTTGGAAATGTCCTCAACATGTCTACCATAAAACATTTTGAAAGCTTTACTGAGGCACGACAATGCGACTAAGCGACAATGCTACAAAAGGCCAAAATGTCGCGTTGTCGCATTGTTGCGCTTTGGTTATTTTTGACACTTTTTACTTGTTTTTGTAAGGGCGACAATGTCCCTTCTGGGATTCCATAAAAAATGCGATGGCGATGGTTGAACTTCCTTCTAGGATTGCATGATAATGCGATGGCCACAGTGCTGACAGTTAATAAACATACATCTGTGCCATCGTCAACAGCTGTTGCATTTACTTTTTGAATGTTAATATTACCTTGGATCAGCACGCACAACTAGGGCCAGTAATCTGGCCAGCGGTCCACGATGATGTCGTAGTCAGTTATCACAGAATGGAATTTTGAAAGTATTTCTCCCCGGATCTATTGACAATAAATAACACCAAGACCAAACATAAGGTAATGCTGTACATCATCAACCAGCTTTAGCCCATAACTGTAGAATCTTCACAAATGCTGAATAAACTGAATATGCTCACCAGATATGCCCTCTGGACGTTTTGTGGGGTGAAAAAGGTGAGGTAGCTGCTGGCTAGTCAGGACAGAAGCCACTGCCCATAGGTTTATGAAATTAAAGTGAGTGAGTGAGTATGGTTTTACGCCGCTTTTAGCAATATTCCAGCAATATCACGGCGGGGGACACCAGAAATGGGCTTCACACATTGTACCATGCTAAAAGCGGCGTAAAACAAAACTCACTCACTCTTCAACGCAAGATCACCAAACATACAACAAAGAAATTTCGGCTTTACCAATATAAATAGTAAATAAAGCCGAAAAATATCCTTTCACAACATTCGAAGAAGTGTAATGTGAATTACCTTGGTATGAAGAGCAGAACTGACATTTTCATAACCATAGGATAAAGCATAATGACATTTATTTAAATGTAATTTCATTGCTTCCAAAACAACTTTGCATACCTTTTCAATGCCAGAGACTTCATGTAACACGGGAATTTTATTAGAACTATGTACACGTCATCCAACACAGTTTCAAGTCGGGCACTTCTACAAATCCTATATCTGTATGAAGTTTCATGGACAGACAGTTGTCGCTTTCAACCACCACGGAAGCATAGTCCTGTTCCTGAAGACATTTGTGCGCCAGGTGAGACATGATCACCTTGGCGTACCCCTTTCCTCGGTGTTCCTCTTTCACGTGCAACATCCCCAAAAAGCCGTAGTGGTAGGTGAGGGCGTAGCCCACCACGTGTCCCATGTTGTCGTACAGGCAGCACGACGGCATCGTTCCAATTATTTTGCGAATGCAGCTGGTTGAGTATTCACTCCTGAACTTCCAAGTGGAGTTCACCATTTCTGACTGACCTACTTGGACGCTTGACACTGTAAACCCCTCCGAAACTGGCCTACAATAACACATACAAAAGAACATAATACCAAGTACAAGAGACGTGGGACGTAATGGGTAGGATAAGAATTGTGTCGATGATGTGGAGGGGTCACAATGACTGTTAAATATGAACGATGAGTAGATGGCTTCATACTACTTAATCATCTTAGATACATTTAGCATTATCAACCTGTGAAGTTCTGGGGTAGAATAGGTCTTCAGCAACCCATGCTTGCCATAAAAGGCGTCTATGCTTGTCGTAAGAGGCAACAGACGGGTCAGGCTTGCTGACTTGGTCGATGCATGTCATCGATCCCAATTGCGTGGATCGATGCTCATGATGTCAATTACTTGATTGTCCGGTCCATACTCGATTATTGACGTAGCTGGACTATTGCTAAGTGCAAACAAACAAACAACCAAACAAAAGATATATTTATCACATTGCAGTCTTGTTAAGAACTATAATATGATTGTACACTGCCGGGCAAAGGAAAGTACACACCTACAAAATAAGATTTGACCAAAAAGTTACAAACGTTATAAAAACGTTCCTGGGCGGAAACACTCGCCTAAACACTGAAAACTATTATACAGTGTACCATTTCTTGTTTGTATCATATTTATCCACCATCAAACATGGTTCACGTGCAACATCCCCAAAAAGCCGTAGTGGCAGGCGAGGGCGTAGCCCGGCAATTAATAATTGGCAATTGGTCGTTATAAACCTGACTTCTTTAATAATTGGTATTCAGCTATATAGCTGAATGATTGCTTTGTGTCGTTTAAGTAAACTCACTCATTAACCTATTTGCTATTTTTATCAATTATTTTATTCCGTGAGCTCTTAGGTGGTCAAGTCATATTGAAAGTGTACGAATTGCGCCACATTGGGATTTCCGTTTTACAAGTTGACACGAGGTGAAATACTGTTTAAACGGTAACCTCCCAATAGTCAGACATCCCATTTGTCAGACAGCTTATACCAGGATTAGTCAAGGTTGGCCAGTCAAGCAATAGTTACCTGTTTACCTTTCATTAAAGTGGAACAGACCAGAAAAACACATTTTGAGGAGTTTACAGGATAGCTTTATTATGTACTTTTAATCATCAAATCATACCAGATATCGCCCTTTTTGAAGTATTCATTACATTATTGCAAAAAACACTATAGATACACAATACACACTGATCACAGTTCAGTACAATGGCTGTTTTAAGCTCAGCTTCATCAAATGTCCAACAGGATCCAAGAATTCAACCCGACACAGATCAAACGCAACTTATAAACACAATTATAATCTGGTTAATCTGTATCACTTAACGAGTTGGAGCAGCTTATTCTGCCTACAGTTGGAGCAGCTCATTAACTAGTAGGTAGTGAGTGAGTGAGTTGTGTTTCACGCCGCGGCGTGTCAGCTTAATGTGGGAGGAAAGCCCGAAGTGATGCAGGTCTCAGACGTTTACCACTTCGGTGAAACCCACGAGCACGGGTATGGTGCTGACAAACCTAGAAACATAATCATAGGTTTCTGGCGTGTCCACGGGACGCAACTCTGCACAGCGAATCGCTGCGCCTTAGACGACTGGGCCACCCGTGCCCCCAACTAGTAGGTAAGACCAGGCAGTTACACTGGTCACACTTGATTTGTCTGTCTGACGATTGGGTCGTCTGACCAATGGGATGTCTGATAATTGGGAGTGAACCGTTTAATCAAACCGACTCTCTCACTCACTCTCCCTAAATTAGGAATGCACTGATGACATTCTGATGACCAAAATCGACGCAAATTTGAGTATGATGAACCTCAATATACCCGTGGTCGTCGGTATCACCCAAGTTGTGAACGTCCACAACCTACCTCAGTTTTGCTTTCCTACCACAAATAATGTTATAACCGAAAAGCCGTTCACATCAGTTTCAAACCAAATCACCCCCTTCCTAATATTAAGACAAAACGACTGCATGGATTAAAAGTCTCGTTCTTTGAAACACGGTGATGGTATACTTTCATATCACCCGGTGTCATAATTGATTTTCAGTGATCCATTCATAAAATTTCCCCACTTAGTCTTTTACACCCAATGAATTCGGTTTCGTCGGATAATCGAGACTGGTTATTTTCTGGCATTGACGTTATCTAATTACCTGAGTTGCAAGGTTTCCTCTGTGGCTCTCAGAAGTCTACAGGGTGTCCTGTGGGTGATACTTTTGTTGAGTTGATTCAGAATGGCTGAGAAAACTGACATCAACTTCGAATCACAACCTGATGAGTGAAACATTAACAATAGTGCAACCTTACCCGCTGAAGACTACGCCATGAAGTATTTGCACACATTTTGTTCATTTGATCAAATTTTATTTTTTAAAAAGTTGCTTTTTTCGGCTAACAAATTTAAGCTTTGAAAAATTCTGTGACCAAAGATGATTTTAAATGGGCTTTATCAACATCGCCTGCGAAAAACAACTTTGTGAAAGTCTTACTCATTCTCAAATATTACAAAAAGGTTCATGTAAATCCCCTAAAATCAGCCTTTTCGATACATTTTTGCCTCACATTTTATTTATTATTGTTAGTAGACCGACAGGGAAGTGTTGACATTTGTTCTGGTTCTCATTCATTGTGTTTGTTTGTTGTTTAACGCCGCAATCAGCCATATTCCAGCTATATGACGGCGTTCTGTAAAATAATCGAGTCTGAACCAGACAATCTAGTGACTGAGATCATGAGCATCGATCAACGCAATTGGGATCGATGACATGCATCAACCAAGTCAGCGAGCCTGACCACCGTTCCCGTTAGTCTCCTCTTACGACAAGCATAGTCGCCTTTTACGGCAAGCATGGGTTGCTGAAGACGTATTCTACCCCCGATCGTCACGGGTCCATTCGTTCTGAACAGATCTGATCAATTTCAAACCGTTTTAAATATGTCGTGAATTATGCAGATCACATGGGCCCCAAAGGGGCCTTAACTCATCTTGACTTATGTAATTGGAAGATACGAGGAACCACGGGAACCTGTCGATTTACATCAGATCAAGATGAATCTCTCCGTCGAGAACACAAAGATTAAATACAGTATAACCTGACTATAATGCCACCTTGTGTACTTTGGAAAACTGGCATTATAACCAGGTTGGCATTATAACCAGGTATGTGCAAGATGGTCCGGATTGATACAGTATAGAAATCCGTTTAAAATACCTATGGTATCATAATCAGTTAGTACTGGTTGTAGCAGGTTGTAATTGATTAGTCATATGTGGGACATGTGACCATTCCGTGACCTTTACCTCTAATTCTGACAATATTTGACCAATCAATGACTCCCTCTTTCATAAGTATTCTCCTCAAGGAGTCCAGCTCTTTTGCATACACCATTGACGCCTGTCCCGATAATGGGGTCTGGAATGATCAAGACAAGTGTGTCAGAATATTTGTTTCATTCAATACTGTTCTGTCAGATATAATCGTTAGTAACATATCTCCTCTGTTATTTCGGTACTTCCAAAACGCAGGTTAGATTGCATATATTCACAATACCCACATACTGTTTCTGGCTACAGGTATCTTTCCCGATCTCCTCTTGTAATGGGGGCACGGGTGGCCCAGTCGTCTAAAGCGCCGCGATTCGCTGAGCAGAGTTGTGTCCCTTGGGCACGCCAGAAACCTATGATTGTGGGTTCTAATCCCTGTTCTCCCCGATTATGTTTCTTGGGTTTGTCAGCACCATACCCGTGCTCGTGGGTTTCACCGAAATAGTAAACGTCTAAGACCTGCATCACTTCGTGCTTTATTCCCACATTAAGCTGACACGCCGCGATATAACTGGAATACTGTTAAAAGCGGCGTTAAACCCAACTCACTCACTCACTCACTCCTCTTGTAATGTCAGTAGGTTAACATAGTGTAAAATATTGTCCCCCTGTGTGACACGTAATCCTATCATAATCGATGTAACTATTATCAACCAGTATTTTTAAGCCAACTCATTGCTGAGTATTTCTTAATATTAGCTAGTATTCTGCACAACCACCAGTAGCTAAAGTGATGACGTAAATCCTGCTGGGTATCATGCAGGAAGCGGAGGTACTGTAAGTCCCCATGATCCCCAGCGAGGTGGCCTAGCTTTGGTTACTGGTTGCCTATAGCCCGTGTTTTAAAACTGTATGCATGAAATTGTTATGCTGAAATATGTTTCATAAATTGTTGTTAAATATAGTATGCTCAAATAGTCTCATGAATTGTTTTTAAATATAACCTTTGCATAAATGACTCAATGTGAATAAATTAACTTGGTCTCGTCGCTACATGGCTGAAATAACGCCGATGCGACGTTAAAATTTTGACTCACTCACTCATTTACTAATGTCAGTTGACACATACTCTCATATCATAACGGTTTTTATTCTTTAATAAACGTTTTTTTGTTTGGTGAACGCCGCACTCTGCAATAATCCAACTATATGACGGCGTCCTATAAAAAATCTAGTCTGGACCAGATACGCCAGTGATTGATATTATGGGCGACCCACGCGCGGATCAACCAAGTTACCGAGCTTGACCAGACGATCTAGTAAGTCGCCTACTACAACAAGTATATTTTGCCTATTATTCCAGAATATGTAATCACGTGGAACAAATGCATGTAGGTTATGCATGAGTGAGTGAGTGAGCGAGTTTGGTTTAACGCCGCTTTTAACAGTATTCCAGTTATATCGCGGCGTGTCAGCTTAATGTGGGAGGAAAGCCCGATGTGATGCAGGTCTCAGACGTTTACCACTTCGGTGAAACCCACGAGTACGGGTATGGTGCTGACAAACCTAGAAACACAATCGGAGCGAACCGGGATTCGAACCCACAATCATAGGTTTCTGGCGTGCCCAGGGACGCAACTCTGCACAGCGAATCGCGGCCCCTTAGACGACTGGGCCACCTGTGTCCCCGTTTTATGCATGAACGTATATCATCATTTGTCCCTACATTGTATAACAGCAAGCGTACACATACATTCAAGAAGTGAAGATACCGACCTCCTAGACATGTTATTCTTATTGATGGCACGCAGTGTCCGCATCACGTCGCTTTACTCTCACTATAGGCGTCGTCAGTAAACGAGACAGGGTGTTTTTTCGTTTAACAACAAACGGTATCAACATAATGCTTTCTGATATGGCCACACCGTTTCGCTGTACATGAATCTCGACTGTTGATCGAGGTATGATTCAAGGGTTTCGTGCGTTAGCAATTAATGAAGACTTGCGTCAAACCCATACTACGGAGTTAATGGCGGTCACTGATTGACTAAAATGGACACGGGACTGAGTCTCGGGTCTGTTTTCAGGAAACTGTGAATGAAACGTAGATACTGTTTGTTGTTAATGTAACCAAAACCATTTCATAACTACAAAATACCATGGCTATTTTACCCACAACACTTATAATTACTTTATTCACACCCCACTCAGTCACTAAAATCTCACTTATACAATAACTCTCCTTTTGCAGAGCCTGCATCGTACCGAGATCTAAATGCAATTTTTGAAATATAGTACAAGTATCTATCTATCTATCTATCTATCTATCTATCTATCTATGTTTTTGTTTTGTTTGTTGTTTAACGCCGCACTCAGCAATATTCCACCTATAGGACGGCGGTCTGTACATAATCGAGTCTGGACTAGACAGTTGTGTACATCATGAGCATCGATCCACGCAATAGGGATACGATGACTTGCATCAATCAAGTCAGCGAGCCTGACCATCTCATCCCGCTAGTCGCCTTTTACGACAAGCATAGTCGCCTTTTACGGCAAGCATGGGTTGTTGAAGACCGTTTCTACCCCGTATAAAATTAGGAATACAAATCTGAAATTGTTTGATACAGCTCTTTTGGAAGTATGTTTGTGAAATAGTCCAGCAGTAAGTTAGTGTGTGTGTGTGTGTGTGTGTGTGTGTGTGTGTGTGTGTGTGTGTGAGAGAGAGAGAGAGAGAGAGAGAGAGAGAGAGAGAGAGAGAGAGTGTGTGTGTGTGTGTGTGTGTGCGTGCGTGTGTGTCCGTGCGCGGGCATGCGTACGTGTGTGCATGCATGCATGCATGTATAAAATACAAGTTGTTATCCATAATATTCCCTGTAACATGTATATACAACTTCCAAATTCCTAAAATAAATACTCTGTTTCAACATACCTGCGAGTTTGCAGAGCGACGGATTACGAGAGCCTTATAGTCCGGCCATGTGTCCACGATGAAGTCAAACTCGGTCATAATACACTGTAGCTTTGACCTAATTTCACCGGCGACCTACAACACGCATGTACACATGGTGACTTATAATAAGCCGATATTTCAAGTTATCTGAGGTCACCTCGTTAAAGTGCTATCGGAGATAAGGAGAATCAGAAGGTTATCTATGGCTATGCCTACATACATAAACAGGAGGTGTAGAGAAGGAGGAGACATGTGCGTGTTGAAGGAGTACTGACATCGTGTGGCCATGTTGTTGATCAGTAATACTAGTCTAGGACATACATTTGTTCAACCCTACCATTGTCGCTCTGTCGTCACTGCTGATATCCTGTAATACTTGCTCCAGTCTGGTGTCGTCTAGTACGTCTACCTCCGCCATGGCTGTGTAACCCAAGTAGCTACATGTGTAGGAAAGAACCTAATCTACCGATTTGATCCGAAAGAACACGAACAAAGACGACACAAGAGGAGATTCGTACAAAGGCGACTTTACACTCGCCAGCAAATAAGGCATAAGGGCGTTGCATGCACATATATATATATACCCGACTTCGGTATGTTTCATAAAATCGAGTTTTAATGGTCAATACTTGTTTACATAAAATAAATAAAACAACAAAATTTGAGTTGAGTATTGCGTCATTTTATTTATCGCAAATGACGATCAGCCATATTGCTTATATGTATCTTGGAGATGCTGCTTCAGAGCAAGCTTTGCGTTGAGCTCTCGCTGATTAGTTGAAAATATTTCTCTCCTGTGAGTCCATTTGTTTCATCGCACAAGGCTTTACCACTTTTAGGGTGGCCAGTGTGAAGAATATTTGTCATATATGTGTAAAATATGTAAATAAATGTAAAATTTATGAAATCCCCTCATACAATGTTGTCCATTTTATCTGTGAAGCATAATAATTAAGCAGGTGTCTCATTAACCATGTCACAGCTGTTATATGGCAGTGCATTTCATTGTTTAACAATGATGGTATCAGTGTTACATTGTTTCTGTTGAGATTCGGTAGACGCTCATTGCATTGCATCTGGGCAATGTGAGCAGTTGTCAGGAAGTTATTATATTTAGATGCTAGTGTGGCGTGTGAACTTCCGAACATGAAAATTCTGTCATGTTCTAGTACCGTTAGACCGGTAAGGGCACTGAAGGAAACTTCCAGTAGCTTGTTTGGCTGTACATATAGTGGGACAAACGCCTGTTTTGGGATCTCTCACATATTTCATCGCTTTGGAACCAGCTTTCATGTGAGGATCGCTCATCATCCCTGATTCCCTGCCTTACCCACGTCGGAAGCTTGACCAATGTCGCCGCTGGGTGAATATATAATTATTATTATCACTGACTTTTGCTATCACCAATGTATTTTTGTATTTGATACTGAACACTGCCATCATATCATTTGTCATTGAATATTGTACTGCCACTGTATCGTGAACTGCCATTGTAATTGCTGTACAGTAATTTGTGTTCTTTTTTTAAACAAAGTTAATTTTGTAATACATTTGTTGATTGTATACCACTTGTTGTTTGTTTGTTTGTTTGACACTTGGTTCTTTTATGTAAAGATTTCTGGGTTAACATATTCTTTCAATTTGGGAATCAACACGTAACACAGTGATGAATTCCATGATATATCATGTTTTAGTTTGTTTCCGCCTGTAGCAAAACTTATTGTATGTGTATAAATGTAAGATATCTAAATAAAAGCGACCAAAATAATTTCCATAATCCTACTACAGCATAAGCATGTGTTTCTAAATCACCATCTACTAGTGATGATTCCAGATGCGTCTTCAGGAGGTCGGGCGATCGCATTATTACCCGGCTGACCGCACGCGTGTGGTCGCGGTAAAGCCTAGAGGTAAGTTCGGGAGGTAGTTCGCCTAGCCTTGCTCCAAGGCTGTACTGAATGATAAGTACGTGGGTGTATTGTGATTCTATCCTTAAAATAGGCAAGTCTAGATAAGCGGACAGTACACCATTCTCTTATAGGGACAACCTGTTCTTACTGATCGCGCAATTTTGATTTAAATTAATATTTTTTGCCTTAGAGACTTGTGCAAGTCTTTAGTTCACTTAGACCAAGATCGCGTCGCACATTCTTAAAATATTTGCTTCTGACCGGAATCGAACCGACGTCTAAAGAATAATATTTCAGACTAGTCACTGCACTTCAAAAGCTTCATTACATCTATTTTCAATGTTAAAAGTATTCACTTTGTTATCAGGAACATCAAAGTATGAACCCATCATACTTGTGCTGTAATTTTTAAATGTGTGAATTTTTCACCCTCGTTCATGAAATAATTTAATGTGAGAACCTATAACACTTGTGGACAGGAGTGTGTTGATCCCCGGCGACACCATTTTGGATGCTGTGCCGCGAGAGCGAGTACGGGCCTTCTGTTCAGGAAGGCGCCATGTTGCCTCGCTGTACGCTCGCCCGCCCGCCCGCCTTCCTGAACACGGCGCACCCACTCGCACGCACACACACGCACGGAGACACATGCATATGCTTCAGTAAATTATGTGGCTATATGTCTTACATTCAAATACCTCTTCAGCATTTGGCTTTGCTCTACCTACCATCGCCTTGCATTCCAGCCATCTGTCAAACATGAACAGAGGTGTCACAATATGGTTGAAATACTGCCGATGTGACTGAAAACGTTAACTCGCTCACTGACTCAATTAACAATGGATTCAAAACACATATATGATTGTCCAGACTCGATTATTTTTCAGACCGCCGCCATCCAGCTGGAATATTGCCGAGTGCGGCGATGAACAACAAACAAACAAACAAACAATAATCACATGTTTTATTACGTTTAAGGTCTACGTCTTAATTAGTACAAACTATCCAGTTTACCGTCACGTCTGGAACAACCTCAAATCCCATATTTCCATGCAGCCTTAAGGACGGCGCATTATCACATTCTATTATGACATACACCTCTTTCTTTTTTTTCAGATGCTTCAGTGCGAGTTGGGACATGATGACCTTTCCGTATCCCTTCCCTCGGTGCTCCTCCAGCACGTGCAGCATCCCCAGATACCCGTAGGTGTAGGTAAGGGCGTATCCCAACAGTACCCCCTCCTCGTCGTAGAGACAAGCGGAAGGAAGCTTGTTTATCAGGTGCTTGATGTAGGCCTCAGATGCATCTCCACTGCTGAACTTCCACAAGGAATTAATCAAAGGTGCTTGTTCTGGCTGTAGGCTGGACAGGGTATAGCCTTCCGGAACAGACCTTTGTAAATGGTGACAAAAAAGCCCATATACATAAACCAATCCAACATAAGAGCTCTGACACATAATGAATAATGATGGCCATCTTTGTAAGGAAACGCGACAAAAGCCTATCCATATTCTTCAGAAATCTCGGCTGAAATTAGAATCAATTGTACAATTCCGACTATATCATGAACATCGTTTATGAATCACTATCAAATAATGATGAACGTGTTCTGCCCCATCGGGGGCACCCATCCCAAACACATGCAAAGGTAATTGTTCAAGAAAGAAAGGTGTGTCATTACAATGTCGTTGTAACTGATGAATTCAAAGTCCATGACACTTATACTGATAGCCTGATGCTCCATGGTTTCCAGCGTATAGTCCAGGCTTGATCTGCCTGTAGGTTGGACAGAGTATAGCTTTCTGGACAAGTCCCATGTGGAGAATTGGAACAATAATGCTGAACAGTTTATCGTGTAGAATGGCACACTATCGGGATCTATCACCGACAAGAAGGTAAATACAACATCGAGTTATTGAATGGTGTGTAGTTATTTAGAACTGTAACATGCCGTACCTGAGTTTCAGTGTATTCTGTGTAACGGCCAGGTGAACACAATCCGTGTTTATTTTGAAGGGAACCTTGTAATGGTGCATCACTTCTAAGACAGCTGCTCTAATCGTACTGTCCACGGCTGCAACTATAAAGAAATAAAGGAAATAAAGAATCTCTCTCTCTCTCTCTCTCTCTCTCTCTCTCTCTCTCGATCTTGGTTGATGCACATCATCGAATTCCAATTGCGTGGATCGATGCTCATGGTGTCAATCACTGGATCGTCTGGTCGAGACTCGATTATTTATAGACCGCCGTGATATAGCTGGGATATTGCTGAGTGCGGCGTTAAACAAACAAAAACAAACTTGACAAAACTGTATTTGTAGATAACTGTTAAGACTTGGGAAACTATTTTAAGGTTATTATGAAATAAGAATATGAGCAAATGTGGGAAATGAGATCCATAACAAGTTTGCCCAATACACATACCACTCGACGTTGCTATGAAGGAAACGTATATATTTCACGTAACAATGTATCACGTATCACATGTGTATGTGATTCGTATGGAAATCCGTTGAAAACGGGCCGAAAGGCTTGAAGACCATACATCTTTGTCGATATTCACAAACGTGAAAGATGATATATGACTCACAAGTAAACCGTTTTCCCTGTGACCAGTTCATGACATCTGGGTTGTGTAGGAGGCTCATCAAGGCATCGTTGTCAGTGGCGTACAGGTTGACAGTTCCTTGAAGGAACTTCAACTGTCAAACAATCACGATGTTCAAATTCACATTAAACACTTTGTACTTTCTGCCAATAAATATATAAACACCCAAGGCAAAAATTATTTTTATCTTTAGTTTGCCTAAACTGTGATATTCTCTAAGGTCTGTTTCATAATGTATGACACGCCCATGAAGGGGAATCAAAAGCATTCATCTGAATCAAAACATCAATACATCAGTGACCAAGTCACTCAATTATATTATCACGATAAAAACAACAACTTGACAATGGCTGATTCCAGAATTTCATTAACTTATGTTGTCAAATCCGAATGTAAGATTTCAAGCGATTGATATTTCGTAACTGTACTCCATACCCGATGAGGGGCGGTCGGGTAGCCTAGTGGTTAAAGCGTTCGCTCGTCACGCCGAAGACCCGGGTTTGATTCCCGACATGGGTACAATGTGTGAAGTCCATTACTTGTGTCCCCCGTGATATTGCTGGAATATTGCTAAAGGCAGCGTAAAACCAAACTCACTCACTCACCCCATACCCAATAAGCATCTTCAGGTCCAGGAGAAAGGGTACAAGAAACGAATGACGAGTAAATGACGTTTGTATTATCAGTTGTGTTACCCACACTCACACTCAGGAGGCTAATTACGTTATATTTTAATATGAAGACTAACGAACCTAGTATATTGATCAGCTATGATGCAAAGAGTAAAATACCTCCACAGCATTCGCCAGAATAACGATCGCTCTGCAATCCGGCCATCTGTCCACAATATACTCATAACCACAGATACGGTTTTCCAGCGTGGCTTCTATTTCTCCCACAATCTGAAATCAGACAACAGTACATGTTTGTCTTAACACAGATTGCCGACTCATAACTATTACTGTCATCATATCCGATTAGAATGCATTCGCATCATAATCATTACTTGGGAGTTGTTGTGCAGTTAATTATTTTTTAGTTGATTTGATTGTTATTTTGGTGAATCTCACGAGCGTAGTTTTAGTGGTGAAAAAAGAAATTGAGATAACCAGGGCGAATCTGTGATTCCAACCCACGATGACAGATTTATGTCATACCTAAAGGACGCCACACGCCATTCCCCTGTGACTGGGCACAGTATGACATGTTTGTTTGTTGTTTAACGCCGCACTCAGCAATATTCCAGCCATATGACGGCGGTCTGTAAATAATTGAATCTGGGCCAGACAATCAAGTAATTGACATCATGAGCATCGATCCACGCAATTGGGATATGAAGACATGCATCAACCAAGTCTGACCACCCAATCCCGTTAGTCGCCTCTTACGACAAGCATAGTTGCCTTTTACGGCAAGCATGGGTTGCTGAAGACCTATTCTAACTTGTCAACTAAATTTGAAAAACCTACCTGTTAAATGACCAAGGAACTAAACGGAATAACTTTAAAAAATATGGAGGATCTACAAAGGAATTAAACACGATTCTCTTAATTATGTGAATAAATGATGAATAAACTTCAATGAAAGAAACTAAATATCTAATTCTAACTGGCTGAGATTATGGATATATCACGGTAATTAACTGACTGATGCCCGCTACCGTCTTATATCTGTCCACAACCTTCGCATTTCAAGTGCAGTCACACCCATACGTTAGTGTGTTTATGCGATGCGATCTTTAGGCATCGATGCGTTTTGGAGAACAGTTCTTTAATTAAAACCGACATGTCTCAGAACAAGGGGAATGTGGAAACCTCAGAATTGGTTCATTGCCAATCAAATGAAGCTCCGCACAACCTTGATAAGAATACCAGAGGTTATCAACTTCTTTTTTCCACATCAACGTTTTTATACCTGATTTCGGGGGCATGGGTGTCCCAATCGTCGAAGGCAGAGTTGCGTCCCTTTGGCGCGCCAAAAACCTATGTAAACCCGATTATGTTTCTAGGTTTGTCAGCACCATACCCGTGCTCGTGGGTTTCACCGAAGTGGTAAAGGTCTGAGACCTGCATCACTTCCGGCTTTCCTTCCACATTAAGCTGACGCGCCGTAATGTAACTGGAATACTGTTAATAGCGGTGGTAAACACAACTCACTCACTCACTCACTCACTATACCTTATTCCGTAAAGGAGAAGTCATGAGTATCTGTTGATTCTGGAGGTAGAATCAACAAGCGACAGAACTGAAGAGATTTCGAGTGATTTCTCCGACTTGTTATGGTTTATTTTAAATTATTTCATAATTGTACATAATAGTCTATATTTGCGTCAGTTATATTTGTTAAACTGTACGTTGTGAATGGCCATTGTATTCCTGGCTAAGAATAAACTGCGAAAACAATGGTGTGACGTCATCATAATGGTTTTATGTGCTGTGACATGATGTTTGTTAGTTTGTTGTTTAACGCCGCACTGTAATATTCCAGCTATATGACGGCGGTCTGTAAATAATCGGGTCTGGACCAGACAATCAAGTGATTGACATCATGAGCATCGATCCACGCAATTGGGATACGATGACATGCATCAACCAAGTCAGCGAGCCTGACCACCCGATCCCGAAAACAGCGTTCTAGCTAGACCTGGGAGGAAAGCCCGAAGTGATGCAGGTCTCAGACGTTTAACACTTTGGTAAAACCCACGAACACGGGTAGAGTTGTAACAGACCTAGAAACATAACCAGAGCGAACCGGGATTCGAACTCACGATCATAGGTTCCTGGCGTGACCAAGGAATGCAACTCCGGAGAGCAAGTTGCGGCGCCTTAGACGCCTGGACTAACCGCGCCCTGGGGAACTTTTGAACCTCAAAACCTACATGCGTAACTATATCGCATTGCTGGGCATTGTAAAAATAGCCAGTTATCAAGGTCGGGTCAATCTTCTGCCGAACAGGCGAACCATAGGGCTAAGAGAGGTCATAAATACAATGTGACTTGAAATGGGGTTCAACATCGCGTTCAAGATTATTCGCTAGTTTATTGGTGCTTGCCTGGATCTAGTCCTGACTTCTGCCGGTTTTATAGACCCCACTGAGACACCATGTTGCAGTTTAAAATGACAACCTCACTCAGACACAGTATACCGACTCCCTTTAATGCCGACCTCTGGACAGCGTAATAAGTACCATTTTGTAGCGTGTTTTTACATGACCCGACCAAGTACTCAACGGCTAACACTCTATCCAGTAGACCAAGGAGCTGTCCTTAAATACAAAGTGAATAATGACATAAAACAGCTTTACCTTTAGCGTTCCAGGACATGTCTTAAGTTCCTGGATCAGTGGAACCAGCTGAGTTCTAGCCAGCCTGATCACCATTCTCAGTTAAACAAACGCAGCAGGCTGGGTAAAACCGAGGTTCACCTTCGTGAGACGTCGGTCGGGTGCTGCCTTTGTATTTACGTGTCGTTGATGAAGAGGACCTCAATACACCATGTTTTATTCCCGTGGGGGCGTCTTTGTACGCTGCACTCGTGTTGACTGGTGGGAGAAAGCAAAGCATTAAGTATAAGGTGGGAACATTCACTCCACATGGACCCTGTCTGGCGCTCGGCATTAAGGGGCTACAACAAGGACTGGTCGGCTTGGAGTCAGTATACTGTGTCTGAGTGGGGTATTCATGTTAAACTGCGGCATGGTATCTCAGTGGGCTAGCACTAAAAATAGGCATCAGTCCTGACTAGTACAAGCAGCCACACAAACACACACACGTACATGCTCGTCGCAACATAAGTGCAATAATCTTGGACGCGACGTTAAACCCCATTTCACCTCACCTCACTCTACATGGTCTTATAATAAATAATGTCTGCAATATTTAACCTTCACTTAACCATCTTCAGAATTTGATTAAAATATCGTTTGTGTCTACATACCTGGTTTTGTAGACAGCTTACCGCCTGCGTTTGTATGACCTAAATAACACTATCTGTGACAGGGCACAGTTATTTCTGAATCGATGATCAACAGGTATTAAGGTCAACCGCTGTAACACACTTGTGAGGGATTGCCTGTTACGTGCTCGATGCAACGCAGTATTTCCACAAGACATGGACGTGTGTATATCAGACAACACACTTTTAATAGCGACCGACTGACAACTTTTAATCTGAGGGAGATAACTCATATACCATAAGTGGCATTCACGCAACATTGCCTTAAAGTCGGCCGGGACGGGCCAAGACGGGTCAACTCTATTAATAGGTAATTACTCCATTATCTACGACCATACCTACATATTATTGATGCAACATACGCACATGTCATTAATGAACAATCATAACCAAACACGTGCAGCATAATTAAGACATTGCGAGTACATCGCTGGAAAATCAGGAAGTCGAGCTGTCTGAAGGCGTGGCTGAGCTAGTTTATATGTAAAAGATGAATCGTTAAACGAAATAAAATTTGAAACGTATCAAATACTTCCAACCATGGTGATACAAATTTCCATTTGTCGGTATATCAAAGTAAATGCCACTTTATAATGTCACTGTTCATTGTATTAAAAGCAGACATTGGTCAAAGTGAAGCCATTTTCCCCATACTCTCAACACAGTCTCGCATGGGTACAATGTGTGAAGCCCATTTGCCGGTGCCCCCTGCCGTGGTATTGCTAGAATTGTTGCTAAAAGCGGCGTAAAATAAGACTCACTCACTCTTCAAAGCAAGATCACCAAATACACAACAAAAGAGTATAAAAACAAAATAATTTCGGTTCCACCAATACTCAATCACTCACTTAAACTTCGAATACCGTAAGAATGACATTATAAGAAAAAAGAACGGTTATTACCCTCGTGTGCTTCCGTATCATTCATATTATATTTCATTAATCTAAATTGTATTATATATATAATATGAAATGATTTTCTTTTCAGAATGGATGATATTTATGGAAATAATGAACAGATTAATGTGTAATATACGATATTCGAACATAGAAAACTATGGTCCGTTAAAGTGAATCCCTTTTCCCTCTACACATTCAACATAGTCTCTATCAGAAGTGTTTGGTCTGTGTTCGGTCCGACTTGGCCAAGACTGTCAAAATCAACTTAAACGTCACATATGTATCATCAAATGTGTTTTCATATATAGAATAGTATAATATCTTCCTAAATACCACTTTATAGTGTCACAGATCGTGGTATATAAGCAAACACGTTGTTCAAAGTAGAGCCATTTTCTCTCTACATGATACACATGAGAGGTTGATTCAGACCGAACACTTGTGAGACTGTGTTGACAGTATGGGGAAAATGACTTCACTTTGACCAATGTCTGCTTTTAATACTAGTCAATAACGTTGATTGTGTCATTTATGCCTTTATTAAAATGAGAAAATGTTTGTTTGTTCTTTAACGCCGATACGATGACATGCATCAACCAAGTCAGCGAGTCCGACCACCCCATCCCGTTTGTCGCCTCTTACAACAAGCATAGGTTGCTGAAGACCAGCTCTAACCTGGATCTTCATGAGTTCGTTGAGGCTGCCCCATCGATGGGGCAGGATACACTTACCTTTTTTCGAACACCTGATATCATCACTGTTTGACAGTGATTCATAAACACATGCTCATGGTGTAGGTTGAATCGTACACTCGACTGTTTTGGCAGATACAGTAAACTACGGTTATAACGAACTCAACGGGACTACTGATTTGAGTTCGTTATAACCTTAGTTCGTTATAAGCATATATAAAGCATAACTACAGCAAATAGTCGGGACCAAAAAGTAAGTTCGTTATATCTGTCAGTTCGTTATAAGCGTGGTCGTTATAACAATAGTTTACTGTAACAGTATATCATATGAATATGGAAAGGTTTTTGTCGCTTTTATTTATTGGAATTTTGAATGATATTATTATTTTGAAAGTATTTCAAAAAGGAAATTTATTAAAATGTAAACACAACTTAATATTCCAGACATTTTCCATTTGAATTAGCGGCGTTTGGATCTAGAATTGTAATTGCAAGTTCAGTGTGTCTGTATCGCCAATGACGATCTTGTCTGGCCGATGGATTAAACATGTTTAACCAACTACATTGCTATCGTGTTGTTAGCTCTCTTGTAAGATATTGGATATCTAATCGAATGTATCGAAATAGTTCACTCGCAGGTTCTGCAGCCAACTGTCCTATTGTGAGCTGATATAACACTGTCCTGTGAACAGCCGAGTTTTCCTGGATATTCTGAATATTTGTTCAGAATGCCTCCAACGGGTACACGGCATCTTAACTGACTATAAAAGCCCAGTTTCCACCCTTGCCGAACTAGGCTGGTATTATGGAGTTACATTTTGGCTGGACTAACGAGTCTGTGCATAGTCCAATCAAATTCGCGCACCGAAATCGAAATCCGGTTCGTAAACTGTCGTGCAGATTTCGGTCGATTGCAGGATTTGCAAAGCAAGTGCACCGCCAACTCGTTGTCAGCAGATATTTTCCAAATCTTGTCATGTTTTTAGTCAAGGTGCTCACGTGATTTGATGCATTTCGCGATGTAAGACCCATTTTATCACAATATAGATCTTGATTATCGATCAGATCGTTTTGACTGGGCGCCACCATTTTGTGTGAAGCAAACGAAAGTGATACGAGAGGTGGAATCTGATTGGTCCATAGGAGAGGCTTAGAAGGGACATAACTCGTAATAGCCACTGGTGGCGCTACGATCGAGCCCAGTAATTCCAGTCCAGTTCGGCAAGGGTGGAAACTGGACTTTTAAAGTCAGTTAACTCTCTTGCCTCGGGAAGATGGGTACACGGGTGCACCAGGCATCTGAGCCACATCGATTCAATGTGCTGAGTTGCATCCCTTGGACACGCCAAAAACTTATGATTGTGGTTCGAATCCCGGTTCGACCCAATTCGTCTGAGACCTTCATCACTACTGGCTTTCCTCCTACACCAAGCTGACACGACGTGAATACCTGGAATACCTTTACAAGCGGCGCGAAAACCAAATCACATATACTCTTTCACGGGAAAGACTTGTGAAATAAAAACATCTGCTTTCAAGTCACAATAAACATTTTGTGATGTCAATCAATTTTGTCAACCAAACTAGTGAGTTAAAGTGACATCGGGAATATTTCAGCCATATTCTGACTAGAATGCTGAACTGGACTGTTTTAAAGTAGTGTATAACAGCTAATGTCTATACATCCAGTAAAATAAGTTTAAAGGAAAGACACAGATAGTCGCTACGTCTCGGGTATAAACTCAATATTGTCATGTCATGGATGGTTATTTCGGCCTCAATGTTTTGATATAGTAAGTGTTCACACCACTACTCTCTCATGATCAGGGGCGGTCGGGTAGCCTAGTGGTTAATGCGTTCGCTCGTCACGCTGAAGACCGGGTTCGATTCCCGACATGGGTACAATGTGTGAAGCCCATTTCTGGTGTCCCCCGCCGTGATATTGCTGGAATATTGCTAATAGCGGCGTAAAACCATACTCACTCATTCACTCACTCTTGATGATCATGTTATAACATGTTACGAAAACGACTTAATAAAATCATGTTTTCTCCTCCAACACGATCGGTACACATGTTGTATCAATATTGTCGAATTAGCTGATCGTAAGATCAAATCAACAAAATTAGTAGCTCTTTGTACATGTTGTTGCCCACTCAATGTCCTTGTGCTAATAGTGTCATGATCTCCCGACGTGAAGCAGGTTCAGACATTTTCTACTTTGGTGAAACCCACGAGCACGGTATGGTGATGACAAAGTTACAAACAATATCCGGGCGTGTAGAGTGTTTATTTCAGTAGAAAGGCCGTTGACCCCCGTACAAATGTCATTTAACTATAATATGAATGCGACAGAATGTAACGGATGACATGCACAAGGCTGTATAATATTTTATAGTTCAATGCTTTCCTTGTGGCTTAAACCTCTTTTACATATTTACAACAGTTAATGATAACTCTGTGTTGGTGGCATGATAATAGGGAGTTGTATTTATGTACATCTGGGTATTTAACATAATATTGTGGTATGAATGTTTGTCTTAATACATTGAAGCATGGACACTAACATTCATATTCTACTACCTGCATATTACATAACAGACAGAGTCTTGTACATCTTTCAATACCATGTTGCCACCTACGTTTACCATTATTGGCAATTCTCCGACTCGTAACAAACAAACTAAACGTGTATCTTCTCGACATGGTAGTGTGTACAATTGATTTTCAACAGTTAACAGCGAGAAATATATGCTTTGTACATGACTAATTTGTTGGATTCAGATGCTTTACCATACCATACAGATAACGGTCTTCTGGGTCTAATTCCCACCTCTCGTAGACGATTCTTAAAACGACCCGTGAAGATCTTGGGTAGAATAGGTCTTCAGCAACCCATGCTTGCCGTAAATGGCGACTATGCTTGTCGTAACAGGCGACTAACGGGATCGGGTGGTCAGGCTCGCTGACTTGGTTGATGCATGTCATCGTATCCTAATTGTGTGGATCGATGCACATGTTGTCAATGACTGGATTGCCTGGTCCAGACTCGATTATTTACAGACCGCTGTCAGATAGCTTTACTATTGCTGAGTGCGGCGTTAAACAACAAACAAACAAATAAACAAACAAAGATCCTTCAAACAGTCTGATACAAATTGCTGTATAAAGTTACAAAAGTTTAAAATCGTTGCGTTTGTGCACTACACCAGTTAACGAACATGTAAAAATATTACAGTTGTATTGAATGTTTTATGAATAAACAAAATCAACAGTCTCATTATCTCCTATGTGTTTCTTTTTTTGGAGAGTATTATACACATGTGAGTATTATACACATGAATCACTATTAATCAGTGATGGTATTGGATGTTGGCGACAAATTAACAAATGTCTTCCACGTGTATACCATAGCACGTTTTGAGAGATTGACTTAAGCCCTAAGGTTTGCTCACGTTCCCCTCTGTATCAGCCACAGGTGTAAATTTGTCAGTGTAATCATTGTTTCTAGAGTCACAATATCTTATTTACACACGAGACAACTTATCCATTTAGTTTTCTTTTAGCATGTAATCAAGTGTTAAGTACATACCCATGCTACGAAGAACAACCGAATGCTTCAAACACAATTAAGTTGGTACACCTGTACGCATATCAAGTTTCAGAGTCAGTGATATTTTAACCCCGATGTTAGTTTATTGGAGTGAGCGAGTGAGTGAGTATGGTTTTACGCCGCTTTTAGCAATATTCCAGCAATATCACGGCGGGGGACACCAGAAATGGGCTTCACACATTATACCTATGTCGGGAATCGAACCCGGGTTTTCGGCGTGACGAGCGAACGCTTTAACCACTAGGCTACCCGACTGCCCTAGTTTATTGGAAGTCATCGTCATGACTATGTGCAAGTTATCCAACACAGTTTCAAGTCGGGCACTTCTACAAATCCTATATCTGTATGAAGTTTCATGGACATATAGTTGTCGCTTTCAACCACCACGGAAGCATACTCCTGTTCCTGAAGACATTTGTGCGCCAGGTGAGACATGATCACCTTGGCGTACCCCTTTCCTCGGTGTTCCTCTTTCACGTGCAACATCCCCAATAGGCCGTAGTGGTAGGTGAGGGCGTAGCCCACCACGTGTCCCACGTTGTCGTACAGGCAGCACGATGGCATCTTTCCAATCATATCTCTGATGTAACTTTTGGAATATTCACCCCTGAACTTCCAATTAGCATCCGCCATCTCCGATTGATGCGGCTGGAGGCTGGACACTGTAAACCCCTCCGGAACTGGCCTGCAAAATAACGCACAGCGTGTGTGAGATGGGCATTACGCCACTGTTTAACCGTATTTAAATCGTATATTGGCGCGGCAGCTTAAAATGAGAGGAACACCGGAAGTGATACACAGGTGAAACACACGAGAACGAATATGGGGCGGACAAAAAACAAGCAACACAAACAGTGCGAACCATCATTCGAACCCACGACAATAAATTTCTGGAACGCAAAAGGGACGCAACTTAACAAAGTGTGGCGTCTAAGACGGCTGGTCCCATGTCCACCTTTATGTGGGAGGGTTAGACCACAATGTTAACTGAGCGGCCCAAATAGGTAAATATGATTTGTGTGTTTGTTGTTTAACGCCGCACTCAGCAATATTCCAGCTATATGACGGCGGTCTGTAAATAATCGAGTCTGGACCAGACAATCCAGTGATTGACATCATGAGCATCGATCCACGCAATTGGGATCGATGACATGCTTCAACCAAGTCAGCGAGCCTGACCACCCGATCCCGTTAGTCGCCTCTTACGACAAGCATAGTCGCCTTTTACGGCAAGCATGGGTTGCTGAAGACCTATTCTACCCCGGGTCTTCATGTAAATATGAACCCTGATTGACAACGCCATGACATATTTCAGTATGAATTTACTTAAGAACACAAATTGAATATATGCACATGTGTTACTATTTTGAATGGTGGACCATTATTCCTACAGTCTGAAAAACAATATATTTTGTCCAAAAACTGGATAAGGCTGTATATTCTGAGAGAAATGTGGAGTGAAACGGCTATGTTAGTATGGTGTCATTTACCTGAGTGTCAGCGATTCTTTGGTGACTCTTAGGAGGACACCAGTAACTGTACAGGTGAGCTTTTTGTTGTGTTGCTTCGACAGGTCGGAGAAAACTGGCATTACTGTTGAATCACAGCCTGCAAGATGGTACATTCACATGAATTAATTTCTACTGGCGAATATTACTTCACAAGTAATAGTATAGTTTGAATTAACCATGTATCTAAGGACGAGCCGGTGACATTACGAGAAAACCTTCCCTTCACAACAGTCCGAGGAATGTAGGCATGTTTTCAATTAATTAAAATGATGAAATGAAATTGGACAGGTAGCATGTGTAGATAAACAATCTTTACTGTCACTTAGTTGTGATAAACGTGGTTGTTCTTTTCAACTTAATTGATTTTTTAAATAATAAGAACCAGAGCAATTTAATCAGTTGAAGAATGAACATGATAGTTTAGAAAGGCCTGATGTATGTTGTATGTTTAGAAATGAATTCACACACTAGTGCAAATATACATGAACAATAAGACACGTAAACCACAGAGAATGTCGAGTTTTGAATTATCCGCCGAAACTGTTTCCTTTAAGTAACTAGTAACAAAATATTTCCCCATAGGTTACCCTCTAGAGCATTCAGGTTGGTTGGTTGGTTTGTTGTTTAGCGCCGCACTCAGCAATATTCAAGCTATATGACGGCGGTCTGTAAATAATCGAGTCTGGACCAGTCAGTCCAGTGATTGACATCATGAGCATCGATCAACGCAATTGGGATCGATGACATGCATCAACCAAGTCAGCGAGCCTGACCACCCGATCCCGTTAGTCGCCTGTTACGACAAGCATAGTCGCCTTTTACGGCAAGCATGGGTTGCTGAAGACCTATTCTACCCCGGATCTTTACCGCATAAATGTTATATACAATCTGAAGTTTACTGTGAAAACTATATGTGAAATGCTTGACTTACTCACTGCTTATATGTATGTAACAAGGTAATTTGGCAAAGAAGACATAACTTAAGCTTTAGGTATATCGATGATCTGATATCGTTCACTGATATCGTTCAATAACCATCAAACTGCCAATTGCCTTCCACTGATTTACCAACCTGAACTAGAAATTAAGGATAACAATGAGACCGCCTCATCTGTTTCATGTTAAGATCTATCCATAAAGATTCAGAGTGATAAAACACTCCCCAGAAGACTGTATGATAAGAGAGATGAATTCAACTGTCAACTATCCCTTTATTTCGAGCAATATTCAGCAGTTCCAGCCCTTGCTGCCTACATTTCACAACCTTTAAGGTAAATCGAGCGTGCTCTTTCTACGAAGATTTCAAAGAGAGTCATAATTGCTCAAAAGTTAACTGGATCAAGGTTAATACATTTAATGTCTCGGTAAAGCATTCACAAAGTTGTATGGTAGACATGTCGAGGACATTTGACGCAAATTTGACGCATCAGTGACAAAAAATATGTCGGTGGCAATTTCCTATTTTGATCATATGTTGCTGTGATTATTTCAAATGAACAGGCCTGGGCATTTCCACATTTGACGCATCAGTTACAAGAATGATTCCCTTTTTTGACTTGTACCTTATGTTACGGTGTTTTTCAAGTGAACAATTGACTTGCCGCTGCATGTGTTTTTGACGGATGCCATTGGTGGGGCAGCTGGTATCATCACTATTTGACAGTGATTCATAAACACATGCTCATAACATAGTCTGGATCGTAAATCGACTCTGCTTTTGCCAGAGATTCCTTATGAATATGGAAAGCGTTTAGTCGCGTTTATGTGCGTATGTTTGTGACGGGTGCCCACGCAGGGGCAGGATACACTCACATTTTCGCGAATACCTAGTATCATCACTATTTGATAATGATTCATAAACACATGCTCATGTCGACTCTGCTTTCGGCAGAGACTCCTTATGTATATGGAAAGCGTTTTGTCGCGTTTATGTGCGTGTGTTTGTGACGGGTGCCACCGGTGGGGCAGGATACGGTCACCTTTTCGCGAATACCTAGTGTCATCACTATTTGATAGAGATTCATAAACACATGCTCATGTCAACTCTGCTTTCGGCAGAGACTCCTTATGAATATGGAAAGCGTTTTGTCACGTTTATGTGCGTGTGTTTGTGACGGGTGCCACCGGTGGGGCAGGATACGGTCACCTTTTCGCGAATACCTAGTGTCATCACTATTTGATAGAGATTCATAAACACATGCTCATGTCGACTCTGCTTTCGGCAGAGACTCCTTATGTATATGGAAAGCGTTTTGTCGCGTTTATGTGCGTGTGTTTGTGACGGGTGCCACCGGTGGGGCAGGATACGGTCACCTTTTCGCGAATACCTAGTGTCATCACTATTTGATAGAGATTCATAAACACATGCTCATGTCGACTCTGCTTTCGGCAGAGACTCCTTATGAATATGGAAAGCGTTTTGTCACGTTTATGTGCGTATGTTTGTGACGGGTGCCACCGGCGGGGCAGGATACGGTCACCTTTTCGCGAATACCTAGTGTCATCACTATTTGATAGAGATTCATAAACACATGCTCATGTCGACTCTGCTTTCGGCAGAGACTCCTTATGTATATGGAAAGCGTTTTGTCGCGTTTATGTGCGTGTGTTTGTGACGGGTGCCACCGGTGGGGCAGGATACGGTCACCTTTTCGCGAATACCTAGTGTCATCACTATTTGATAGAGATTCATAAACACATGCTCATGTCGACTCTGCTTTCGGCAGAGACTCCTTATGTATATGGAAAGCGTTTTGTCGCGTTTATGTGCGTATGTTTGTGACGGGTGCCACCGGCGGGGCAGGATACGGTCACCTTTTCGCGAATACCTAGTGTCATCACTATTTGATAGATATTCATAAACACATGCTCATGTCGACTCTGCTTTCGGCAGAGACTCCTTATGTATATGGAAAGCGTTTTGTCGCGTTTATGTGCGTGTGTTTGTGACGGGTGCCACCGGTGGGGCAGGATACGGTCACCTTTTCGCGAATACCTAGTGTCATCACTATTTGATAGAGATTCATAAACACATGCTCATGTCGACTCTGCTTTCGGCAGAGACTCCTTATGAATATGGAAAGCGTTTTGTCACGTTTATGTGCGTATGTTTGTGACGGGTGCCACCGGCGGGGCAGGATACGGTCACCTTTTCGCGAATACCTAGTGTCATCACTATTTGACAGACTCTGCTTTTAGCAGCGACTCTTGTGGCTATGGAAAAGTTTTTGTGGCTTTCATTGAGAACGTTCGTTATGTTGCAGGTTTGACATCAAGAATAACTCGTGTGTCTATCAGATATGTGGCATGCTTACTTTCCTCGATCATCTTTAACTGCGGATACATATTTCTGTTTAGCTACTGCGTGGTCTGTTTCTCTGAAGACAACTATAAAATACCACCCATCGGATTCGCTATTATGTGACAATGTGAAAAGTATTCCTCTGTACAGATGGGGGTAGAATAGGGGTAGAATAGGTCTTCAGCAACCCATGCTTGCCGTAAAAGGCGACTATGCTTGTCGTAAGAGGCGACTAACGGGATCGGGTGGTCAGGCTCTCTGACTTGGTTGATGCATGTCATCGTATCCCAATTGCGTGGATCGATGCTCATGATATCAATGACTCGATTGTCTGATCCAGACTCGATTATTTAGAGACCGCCGTCATATAGCTGGAATATTGCTGAGTGCGGCGTTAAACAACCAACCAACCATTAAACATATCATCCCAAAAATGTTTCATGTTATAGCCCTCCTAATGTCTCCTTTCATGGCTTTCCATCAGATAGAGAATACATTTTAAATATCACTGACTTATCAGTGTATTCGCGGAAGAGACCCTGCCTACCCGTGTGATCTGGTCAACGAGTATCGCCCAATACGTCCTAACAGATTGAAATGTCAGTTTAAACTGTGTGTTCCTTTCTTAAGACATTCCTATCTTGTACATTTACCCATGTCTCTGCCTATCTGTGGCGTTCTGGATCTGAAATCTGCCTCGTCACTTGTTCAGTTCATGCGTCGCTTGAAAACACATCTTCAGGTGTTTTGACTGAAGCTGTGCTTGTTTATATTTGCTGTGCTTTACATGTGTGTGTGTTGTATGGAGTTACACGTAGTACAAGCAACGTTATTATTATATGACATCAACTAGTTTCATGTATTTCAATTATTTCTATAGAACAGTGTAAACTGTTAGATGCAACATTTATATTTGCATTCTAAACATTTGGCATCTTGTGTGCAATGGCTGTATCGAGTAAATACTTTCAAAATGATATCACATACAAGTATATCTTCACTGTCACCGTGCTACTTTCTGTTATGGTTACCTCTAAAATTGACTTCGTCCAACCAATCCGTGACTCCCCTTTTCAGAAGTATCTCCCTCAAGGCTTCTGGTTCTTTAGCATACACCATAGCATCCTTTCCAAATTTCCCCTGCAATTGAAATGAAGCATACCAGCTTGCCTCAGTGTTGCAGCGTAAACTGATATCCAGGAAACATACCCACAATCCCTGAATAAAAAACACCTTTAACTGACCATGATGGACGTCAACTGTGATAAGATAAGCATGCATGAACAACACCTATAGCTGACCATGATGGACGTCAGCTGTGATAAGATAAGCATGCATGAACAACACCTATAACTGACCATGATGGACGTCAGCTGTGATAAGATAAGCATGCATGAACAACACCAATAACTAACCATGATGGACGTCAGTTGTGTTAAGATAAGCATGCATGAACAGCACCAATAACTAACCATGATGGACGTCAACTGTGATAAGATAAACATGCACGAACAACACCTATAACTGACCATGATGGACGTCAGTTGTGATAAGATAAGCATGCATGAACAACACCTATAACTGACCATGATGGACGTCAACTGTGATAAGATAAGCATGCATAAACAACACCCATAACTGACCATGATGGACGTCAACTGTGATAAGATAAGCATGCATGAACAACGCCTATAACTGACCATGATGGACGTCAACTGTGATAAGATAAGCATGCATAAACAACACCCATAACTGGCCATGATGGACGTCAACTGTGATAAGATAAGCATGCATGAACAACACCCATAACTGACCATGATGGACATCAACTGTGATAAGATAAGCATGCACGAACAACACCTATAACTGACCATGATGGACGTCAGCTGTGCTAAGATAAGCATGCATAAACAACACCTATAACTGACCATGATGGACGTCAGTTGTGATAAGATAAGCATGCATGAACAACACCAATAACTAACCATGATGGACGTCAACTGTGATAAGATAAGCATGCATGAACAACACCTATAACTGACCATGATGGACGTCAACTGTGCTAAGATAAGCATGCATGAACAACACCAATAACTAACCATGATGGACGTCAACTGTGATAAGATAAGCATGCATGAACAACACCTATAACTGACCATGATGGACGTCAGTTGTGATAAGATAAGCATGCACGAACAACACCTATAACTGACCATGATGGACGTCAGCTGTGATAAGATAAGCATGCATGAACAACACCTATAACTGACCATGATGGACGTCAGTTGTGATATGGTAAGCATGCATGAACAACACCTATAACTGACCATGATGGACGTCAGCTGTAATAAGATAAGCATGCATGAACAACACCAATAACTAACCATGATGGACTTCAGCTGTGATAAGATAAGCATGCATGAACAACACCTATAACTGACCATGATGGACGTCAGTTGTGATAAGATAAGCATGCATGTACAACACCTATAACTGACCATGATGGACGTCAGCTGTGCTAAGATAAGCATGCATGAACAACACCTATAACTGACCATGATGGACGTCAGCTGTGAAAAGATAAGCATGCATGAACAACACCTATAACTGACCATGATGGACGTCAGCTGTGATAAGATAAGCATGCACGAACAACACCTATAACTGACCATGATGGACGTCAACTGTGAAAAGATAAGCATGCATGAACAACACCTATAACTGACCATGATGGACGTCAGCTGTGATAAGATAAGCATGCATGAACAACACCTATAACTGACCATGATGGACGTCAACTGTGATAAGATAAGCATGCACGAACAACACCTATAACTGACCATGATGGACGTCAACTGTGAAAAGATAAGCATGCATGAACAACACCTATAACTGACCATGATGGACGTCAGCTGTGATAAGATAAGCATGCATGAACAACACCTATAACTGACCATGATGGACGTCAACTGTGATAAGATAAGCATGCATGAACAACATCTATAACTGACCATGATGGACGTCAGCTGTGATAAGATAAGCATGCATGAACAACACCTATAACTGACCATGATGGACGTCAGCTGTGCTAAGATAAGCATGCATGAACAACACCTATAACAGACCATGATGGACGTCAACTGTGCTAAGATAAGCATGCATGAACAACACCTATAACTGACCATGATGGACGTCAGCTGTAATAAGATAAGCATGCATGAACAACACCTATAACTGACCATGATGGACGTCAGCTGTGATAAGATAAGCATGCATGAACAACACCCATAACCGACCATGATGGACGTCAACTGTGATAAGATAAGCATACACGAACAACACCTATAACTGACCATGATGGACGTCAGCTGTGATAAGATAAACATGCACGAACAACACCTATAACTGACCATGATGGACGTCAGCTGTGATAAGATAAACATGCACGAACAACACCTATAACTGACCATGATGGACGTCAGCTGTGATAAGATAAACATGCACGAACAACACCTATAACTGACCATGATGGACGTCAGTTGTGATAAGATAAACATGCACGAACAACACCTATAACTGACCATGATGGACGTCAGCTGTGATAAGATAAACATGCATGAACAACACCTATAACTGACCATGATGGACGTCAACTGTAATAAGATAAGCATGCACGAACAACACCCATAACTGACCATGATGGACGTCAGTTGTGATAAGATAAGCATGTATGAACAGCACCAATAACTAACCATGATGGACGTCAACTGTGATAAGATAAGCATGCATGAACAACACCTATAACTGACCATGATGGACGTCAACTGTGATAAGATAAACATGCATGAACAACACCTATAACTGACCATGATGGACGTCAGCTGTGATAAGATAAACATGCATGAACAACACCTATAACTGACCATGATGGACGTCAGCTGTGATAAGATAAACATGCATGAACAACACCTATAACTGACCATGATGGACGTCAGCTGTGATAAGATAAGCATGCACGAACAACACCTATAACTGACCATGATGGACGTCAACTGTGATAAGATAAACATGCATGAACAACACCTATAACTGACCATGATGGACGTCAGTTGTGATAAGATAAGCATGCATGAAAAACACCTATAACTGACCATGATGGACGTCAACTGTACTAAGATAAGCATGCATGAACAACACCTATAACTGACCATGATGGACGTCAGCTGTGATAAGATAAGCATGCATGAACAACACCTATAACTGACCATGATGGACGTCAACTGTACTAAGATAAGCATGCATGAACAACACCTATAACTGACCATGATGGACGTCAGCTGTGATAAGATAAGCATGCATGTACAACACCTATAACTGACCATGATGGACGTCAGCTGTGATAAGATAAGCATGCATAAACAACACCTATAACTGACCATGATGGACGTCAACTGTGCTAAGATAAGCATGCACGAACAACACCTATAACTGACCATGATGGACGTCAGCTGTGATAAGATAACCATGCATGAACAACACCTATAACTGACCATGATGGACGTCAACTGTACTAAGATAAGCATGCATGAACAACACCTATAACTGACCATGATGGACGTCAGCTGTGATAAGATAAGCATGCATGAACAACACCTATAACTGACCATGATGGACGTCAGCTGTGCTAAGATAAGCATGCATGAACAACACCTATAACAGACCATGATGGACGTCAACTGTGCTAAGATAAGCATGCATGAACAACACCTATAACTGACCATGATGGACGTCAGCTGTAATAAGATAAGCATGCATGAACAACACCTATAACTGACCATGATGGACGTCAGCTGTGATAAGATAAGCATGCATGAACAACACCCATAACCGACCATGATGGACGTCAACTGTGATAAGATAAGCATACACGAACAACACCTATAACTGACCATGATGGACGTCAGCTGTGATAAGATAAGCATGCATGAACAACACCTATAACTGACCATGATGGACGTCAACTGTGATAAGATAAGCATGCATGAACAACACCTATAACTGACCATGATGGACGTCAGTTGTGATAAGATAAGCATGTATGAACAACACCTATTACTGACCATGATGGACGTCAACTGTGCTAAGATAAGCATGCATGAACAACACCAATAACTGACCATGATGGACGTCAACTGTGATAAGATAAGCATGCATGAACAACACCTATAACTGACCATGATGGACGTCAGTTGTGATAAGATAAGCATGCACGAACAACACCTATAACTGACCATGATGGACGTCAGCTGTGATAAGATAAACATGCACGAACAACACCTATAACTGACCATGATGGACGTCAGCTGTGATAAGATAAACATGCACGAACAACACCTATAACTGACCATGATGGACGTCAGCTGTGATAAGATAAACATGCACGAACAACACCTATAACTGACCATGATGGACGTCAGTTGTGATAAGATAAACATGCACGAACAACACCTATAACTGACCATGATGGACGTCAGCTGTGATAAGATAAACATGCATGAACAACACCTATAACTGACCATGATGGACGTCAACTGTAATAAGATAAGCATGCACGAACAACACCCATAACTGACCATGATGGACGTCAGTTGTGATAAGATAAGCATGTATGAACAGCACCAATAACTAACCATGATGGACGTCAACTGTGATAAGATAAGCATGCATGAACAACACCTATAACTGACCATGATGGACGTCAACTGTGATAAGATAAACATGCATGAACAACACCTATAACTGACCATGATGGACGTCAGCTGTGCTAAGATAAACATGCATGAACAACACCTATAACTGACCATGATGGACGTCAGCTGTGATAAGATAAACATGCATGAACAACACCTATAACTGACCATGATGGACGTCAGCTGTGATAAGATAAGCATGCACGAACAACACCTATAACTGACCATGATGGACGTCAACTGTGATAAGATAACCATGCATGAACAACACCTATAACTGACCATGATGGACGTCAGCTGTGATAAGATAAACATGCATGAACAACACCTATAACTGACCATGATGGACGTCAGCTGTGATAAGATAAGCATGCACGAACAACACCTATAACTGACCATGATGGACGTCAACTGTACTAAGATAAGCATGCACGAACAACACCTATAACTGACCATGATGGACGTCAACTGTGATAAGATAAACATGCATGAACAACACCTATAACTGACCATGATGGACGTCAACTGTGATAAGATAAGCATGCATGAAAAACACCTATAACTGACCATGATGGACGTCAACTGTACTAAGATAAGCATGCATGAACAACACCTATAACTGACCATGATGGACGTCAGCTGTGATAAGATAAGCATGCATGAACAACACCTATAACTGACCATGATGGACGTCAGCTGTGATAAGATAAGCATGCATGAACAACACCCATAACTGACCATGATGGACTTCCGGTACGAATCGTACAATGTTAGTATCAAGGCTTAAAAAATTACCTTTAAAATTCTGTTTACAGGCAATTTAATTTTCTGGTTTTCGTTGCCTTTGTATCAATTATTATTTTATTTACAGAAAACGTTTCAACATACCTGCAAATGTGCAGGGCGACGGATAACTAAAGCTTTATAATCCGGCCATGCGTCCACCACAAAGTCAAAGTCCGTCATAACGCATTGTAATTTTGACCTAATTTCACCAGCTACCTGCAAAATAATCGCACACAGGATAAGCGGTCATGTTGTCAAAGGTCACACTGTTAGCAGACATATGGAGAATTGAAAGTTTTATATCATCAAAGAAGTGCATACACAACACATTGTGTACACAGGAGTATGCTTTGTGTGTGTTGTAGATCAGTGATACTAGTCTAGGACATACATTTGTTCAACCCTACCATTGTAGCCCTGTCATCACTACTGATGTCCTGTAACACTTGCTCCAGTCGTGTGTCGTCTAGTACGTCTACCTCCGCCATCGCTGTGTAATCCAAGTAGCAAATGGAACGTCCCAAAAGTGAGCCGATCTGATCCGAATGAATACGAAAGGCGCCGACACGACCGGTAAGGATCCATTATGAAAATAACTTAAACCAACCGGGGAGTAATTGATAAAGTTGTGGTATTGAATAATGAATGCTGTGTAGACACAATAATGGAGAAAAAAACACACACTCGAAGTTTACGAAAACGTTATGTACATTCCTTCAGTGGATAAAATTGTACATGCATGCATATCTGTGTTATATCTATGTCTATAGATAAACCTCTGTGTGTTTGAACTTTTGTGTCAGGAGTAATGATGTACATGTCTTCATAAAGTATAGCCAAGACTAAACATGTGTAGGCATGCGTGCTCTTCATTTGTGGTTAATGTGTGTGTGTGTGTGTGTGTGTGTGTGTGTGTGTGTGTGTGTGTGTGTGTGTGTGTGTGTGTGTGTGTGTGTGTGTGTGTGTGTGTGTGTTCTGTTTAACGCCGCACTCAGCAATATTCAAGCTATATGAGGGCGGTCTGTAAATAATTGAGTCTAGACCTGACAATCCAGTGATTGATATCATGCGCATCGATCCACGAAATTGGGATACGATGACATGCATCAATCAAGTCAGCGACACCGTATATATATATGTTGAGGCTAAAAGGTTTGATGAAACTGAACCCCGGAAATGTGCTCGCAACAGATTTGTTTTTGACATTAAGACAGCCACACCAGCATTTGATTGGAAAGGTTAAATTACTTTCAACAAAACAATGTAAAGAGTAAAGAAAGAATATTTTCGCTTACATACAATGTGACATACATAATTTACGCATTTCTCAAAAATAAAATCTTGTGTTGGCAGTCCCCGTAAGTTTATTGTCCATGAATGTACCAGGGTACTTTTATTCAGTAACTGTCTGTTACAATTTCTTTGGGTTTATTCACATTCACCTGGAGATAATTGTCTTGACACCAAGCAACTGAATTAATAATGTAATGATTGTAATGCTGTTCATTGTCTCTGATCAGACCGACCAAAGTTGCATCGTCTACGACATTCGTGACCAACTCGTGTTATCCCGGGACAAGCCGAATAGCTTCTTGCAGGTTACGGAAAGGGGCGAGAGGTGACGAATGCGTCCGCGAAACTTCACAGTCACGCAATGTCTACCACAAAACCTGTTGAAAGGTTTACTGAGGCCTGGAATGCTCCAACCCTGGCTACCCCACCGTCTGTTTTATGCTTCAGAAATAACAATACCATACCTCATACCATACATATGATCGCAATATGTTCACAATAGAAGACACCAGTAAATCCTAACACACTGCGAATACAGTCAGATACAAGCACTCACAATGTTCTTCAGCTACGTAGTCCTACGTAGACATTCGTTACCTTCGCAGAGACGTTGGCAAACACACATAAACATAATGGGTCGGTCGATAAGTATCGCCCTGTAAATCTAAGCTGAGCAGCAGGTTTAGCGAACATCGAACCTGGGAGAATACTGGTTTCGAATGTATCTGAAGTAACCTATCTTTGTCGTAAGAGCCGACACAAATGGATCGGGTGTCATCGTATCCCAGACAGGGAACGTTATTCATAATATCAACCAATTACATGTCTGCCCCAGACTCGATTATTTACAAACTGTGGTGATAAAACTTACATGTGTATTGATGTGTGCAACCTCAAACCCAAGCTACCATTACCTTCAAAACAAAACTAGCATACACCCATCCCACAATACATCATTATCTTTCGGAACAATCGTGCTCCTGATAATCAGTTCGGCTCATATATTTCCCAAAGAGCTGAGAATGCAAATGGAATTTACGTCACAAGTGACTACTCTGGCCCGTGGTATTGAACTTCATTTGGTATATGTCTGACATATTTGTAATCTATTACATTACCTGCAGGACAAATACATGCCGGATAAGTATACACCCATGATGCTTGTGGTTAAATGAAATGAGTGAGTGTGTGAGTATGGTTTTACGCCGCTTTTAGCAATGTTCCAGCAATATCACGGCGGGGGACACCAGGAATGGGCTTCACACATCGTACCCATGTCGGGAATCGAACCCGGGTTTTCGGCGTGACGAGCGAACGCTTTAACCACTAGGCTACCCGACCGCCCTAAATGAAACGAACAAGAAACAGTTATTCAATGGTGGTGTATTTGATACGGGTATCGGGGTGTTTTTTTTTTACCTTAAGTTGTGCTGTGTTTCGGCTACTGTTTTCTGTCGAGTAACGTATTTGTTTGGCTATATCCAATTTTCACTTGTATAATTTCTGTTGCCCGGAAGTTTCGAAAGCTTACAAAAAACAGAGATCCATGTGCAGTGACGACGATCTCAAGATAGGGAAACGCCCTTTGTCAGGGTACCCGTCACTTATAGGGTTCCAATCAAGGTTCTTGGATGTCATAAGGTTAACATATTTTCACATACTGAAATCGACCATGTCTTAACCGCATTGTGATGTCTTGGTTGTTTATAATATATATCTAAATACCTGTCACATCTCTGTTGTTCATATATCATCAACGGAAGGAAAAAGGAAACAAGGTTGTCGGTTTATTGAATAGCAAAGGCATCTGACATTTTAAAAAAACCCACTACCTTTGAACATTGAAGGTCTGTAAGTTCCATTTGTTAACAGCAAACAGTACGTGTACATATATTGTACACAAACAACACAATATGTACGGCAAGTGGAACTTATTATTCTTCAAAAGGTATAACAAGACCTAGAACAAATACAGCAGCAAAGGTTCAGGTGACATTTTAGTACCTAAACACTCAGAAAGACGGCCCTACAATACATCACGTAACAGTCCATCAACGTAGTCCTTTCACGTTAAGGAAAGATGTATGTCTTAAGGACAGTATTTGTGAACAATTCAGGAAGATGAATTAACAATATCCAAAGAAAAACAGTTGCAATCAAGTGCCCCCACAAGCTGTGTGAAAGATGCCACAAGGGAATTTACGAAATAAGTGCCGCCATGTAATATGTCTCCCTCATTATTGTAGCGAAATTTCTATGTATAAGGCGTCTTAAATAATACACATGAATGAATGAATGAATGAATGAATGAATGAATGAATGAATGAATGCACTCTTCCGGACGCGGCGTCTTAAATAATACACATGAATGAATGAATGAATGAATGAATAAATGAATGAATGAATGAATGAATGAATGAATGATGAATAATTGAATGAATGAATGCACTCTTCCGGACGCGGCGTCTAAAAAAATACACATGAATGAATGAATGAATGAATGCACTCTTCTGGACGCCTGTAGACCCCTGCACGACCACCCGGGCTGTCGAGATGAAACCTGGACTCATCTGTGACCTGTATACTGTCCCAGTCCTGGTTTCTGAACCTCAGATGCTGTCCATGCCAAGCTCGGCGTGCCTAACAGTGACGTGAAAGCAGAATTGGGCGTATCGCTGGACCTCGGGGTCGGATATTGTGCTCCCCAAACCAGTTGCGTACGGTTCGGCCAAGTCATGAGTTTTGCCCTGTTGTAAGTAACGTCTCCATAGATATGATATTGTGTTTCGATGAACATTAAAATGTCTCGTAAAATTAGTTTTGCACCACTCCTGCATACCCACGGAACACAGACGTTGAATAACATTTTGATATGTGTGTGTGTGTGTGTGTGTGTGTGTGTGTGTGTGTGTGTGTGTGTGTGTGTGTGTGTGTGTGTGTGTGTGGTGTGTATGTGGTGTGTGTGCGTGTGTTATGCATGTTCTGCTTCGCCACCTTGGTTTTTCCCTCTCCCCAGGGCATGCTCTGTCTACCAAAACCGAGGGAAAGTGATTTTCCATCCTTATAAACCGAAAAAAGAAACTTGAAACAACATTTATCAACATTTTTTATGTTTCGAACATACTTTCCATTAACCTTAGGAAACGCGCGTAAAATATCTTTTCCTGGCGTACGGATCTTGAAAAGGACATTCTTAAAACCAGTGTGGCTTATCAACACCTCTGTAGCCTCGTGGTACACTCACTGGGCTACAGATATGAAGTTTGCGAGTTCGATCCTCGGGAATATAAAGAAATCATTTGTCATTTGATTTTACATTCCATTACATGTTACAATCTGAACGGAAGTTCATTAATAAAATACCCAGGACATTATATAAAATCCCAGGGATAATATAGCAAATATGACTTGAATATCCTATAAAATCCCAGGGACATTACAACGTCCCTGTTTATGAGATTTAACCCGACTGGAAAGTAAAACGTAAAGTAATAGGTTTTAATGCCTATAGAAAGAAGTCTCTTACTTAATAGCGATCCCAATGAATTAGTTTATAAAATGGATCTATAACTGTAGTACTTAAAAAACCCACAAAATCTACACTATAAATCATTGTAACACATGAAACCAGTAAATCACAGGCGCAAAAACATTATACTAACAGATCACAACCGACAATTGAATGCTTCGAATGCTTCTACAATTGTTCACATAAACGCCGTGACTGAGTAAATAAAGCACTTGCTCGCGTGGCACTAGCCAAGCAATAACGCAGCGGAACATGAATGATTCTGCTTCTCACGCTACACTCACGCGGTGATGCAGAGACAAGTCTTCTGTGTGGTGAGAGGACATTTTCATCATTGGATCTGTTGGCGATCTATAGCCAGTTTTAATATTGTGTTGTAAAATGCTAATGTATTTGTACATGCTGTCTAACTAGTTTTACCTAAATCTGTAATATTCTAGTTATTATACTGTCCTTCGTTGACAGGGTTTTATACAGTTTAAATATACATTATTATTGTCGCAATTTTGTCTCGTCACGATATGGCTGAAATATTGCCGTTGTGACGTTAAACTTTAACTTACTCACTCATCACTGGGTCAAGAAACGCGTCGTACATAACAGGAATATCACAAGTTTCTCTCGTTCCTGTGAATCTCGACCAGATAATGTTCAATTCTGTTCCATTAAGAAATGAATTTGAGAAAATTCAAATTTGTGTTCACCTGAGAAGAGAATGTGAGAATGTTAAAATCCGTTCACCAGTCACGGTATGTGGGGAAGTCTAAGCTTTCCCTTCAGCTTTTCAGGCATTGGAAGACGGTCAACTGGAGACGACACAGTCATGCACAAGTGACGTCGAATATCAAAATCACAAATGGTCTCAAGATTGCGCGGATTTGGGGTAACTGCTTTCAATTCTTTGATCTTTTGCATTTTTTGAATCTCCATTTTTAATATCTATCACATCTTCATTTAAAAGCTTGTAGCCAGTGTTGATCAATAGGTGAACCATATGAAACCTTTGTTGAAACAAAGCAATTTGAAAACACGTGTAACCATGTGTATTTAAACTGGTATAAGCCACTAAAAGGAACGCTCCGTCCTTCACGAGTGGAATACACACGAAACACACAATGCAGCAAAGATATAAACTATAACAAATTCTTCATGAGTTGTGCTTCAAAATATCATATTTTCTTAAATATAAGAAACTTTGTAAATGAAGATGCACAATTGTCGTAATCACGTGAGATAAAGTATATACACGTGCTTCGTTACGCTCATAGTTTTTACTAGGGCAACTAACGACAAATATCTATGGTGACACAGAAATAACATCGTTTTGGGAAACTAAGCAGCATAGAATTCCTCTATGGAGATCACCCACTTCCGTGTAAGTATTCAAAACGTCCATACAGTAATCTGTCAGATGCAAACAAACAAGATTTTTCTACACATGGTGAGTGAGTATTGTTTTACGCCGCATTAAGCAAAATTCCAGCAATATATATTTCTGGGACACCAGAAATGGGCTTCACACATTGTACCCATGTCGGGAATCGAACCCGGGTGTTCGGCGTGGCGAGCGAACGCTTTAACCACTAAACCCGACCACCCTTCTACACATGGGTTCCATACATTTAATAAACCACAATGTCCAAGACAGTGTCATAACTCATGACCCTTACAGAAAGCAATGCAGATATATGCTACAATACCTCACAACCCTTTACTGTCAGAAACCCAAATTACTTTTATTTGAGCAATTTGAATACGAGTGAGTGAATATTATTGACGAGTCGGCAATATTCTAGCCATATAACGAGTGCCTGTAAATAATCGAGTGTGGACCATTTACTGAACGTTTGTGCAACTACCCGCACCATCTGGACATGATGACTCACGGCGGATCGTAAACCAGTGATTGACAGCATGTTGAACGTCCCACGCCATCAGGGTAACATAACCCACACTGAGCCAAGTCACAGCGCCTGACAAGCCTGAACACCCAATTTACAGCAAGCGTGAGGCATGCCTTTTTCTGACCCGAAATGCCCAGGCATATGTCACAGTGATATCACCACCAATATGTGGCCCTTCTCACTCATTTTATTGTTATTAATGAATAAGAAAAGATAATATCGTCGATGATATCGCCGGGATCATTCAACGGTCTGTGCTTTTAGCAAATAGGTCTTATGATTATGGAAAGTGTTTGAATCATTACAATTTACACTGTGTATATAGAAACGCATTTTACCCAAGAGCCATAACGTCAAGTATGGATAGGTGGACTCCGCTGAGCTGAGCTATGTAAACTGGAGTCACGACTTGAACGATGGCAGCTCCATCCATGTTGATTGTGGCACCAATAGGCAGCACAAACCGACTGATGGTCCTGTCTATCTTAAGGTTCTTCTCACAACATTTAATGGTATCTGGAAGTGTTGCAGCGCTGGAAAACATACCTTGATGCATAAATAACATTCACTGTAAATAGAAAGAAATTTAAAGGTATGTTAAAATTTCATTTTCACTGTGGTTTCAGAGGAGATGTTTATAATGTTCCGACATTTCTTTGAGGGATTGACGGGAAGATAACATAATTTATGGTTTGAAGAATCAATAGAATATCTAACACCACTACCCAATACGTAGTGGCTTAAATACGGTTTGAGAGGAGCTGTAGAGATTATCACGCTTATGTCTCTCAGATGATGGTTAGGCCCCAAATTGTTTATACAAGTAGTTACAAACGAAATAACAAATCATCAAACAGACAACGGCCAAGGTAGACATATTATATTTCGATTCTATTAGTGCATGTATTATTGTATATATAATTGTATATTATTGTATATATATATATATATATATATATATATATATATATATATATATATATATATATATATCTTAATGTTATTAACAAAATGGACACTGCCGCTAGAACTGCACTAAAAGCCACTGGCAGTTATTTCTCCAATATAGGGACTGATCACCTGATTTTATTAATTACATAAAGACCCTTTGAATATAAATATACTAAATATATCAATATATCGAACCTGGGCCTTCCGCGTCAGGTAAAAAACACAAGGTTACCCCTCGCCTACTGACTAGAGCTACGTACAGCACTAGCGTTATTTGAAAAAATGTGGTGGCGTGTTTGATCTCACTTCCAACCACAGAAGAATTATAAATGTATGGCTTGTGTGCAGAAAGATGAACTAAAGCCTGATTTTCATAAACTGAATTTCACCCATAACCGTCTATCTCGCTGTGTTTTTTAATTGGTAATACCACAAACACCTTTAGCCGACACTTCTTAATTATTATCGCAAGGTTGTTCGAGGGATAGAAACATTCACGTTGGAATTTAATTTTTAAATTGAATAATAATGTATAATAATTGCAGATGCCAAATCCAAAACACGTAAGTTGCTCCATGAAGCTATAACAGGGACAAGTGAAGTTAAAAGTGATGGATTTATGGAATAAATCAAATTTAGAAATTCTTCTTCTTTCAATTAATTTGTAAACATGACTCTTTTAAAAATTTAAAATGAATATTTTATTCGACCGTGGTTGTTCAACGCGTGAAAAGTAAAGGGACGCAACTCCTGTTAAAATCTCACCAATCCGGACCTAAACCGTACTAACATTTCGGTTCTACACAAGTCCGGTCCAGACACATTCCACTGTACCTGTGATCATGCTTGCAACAACCATCGGCAGTATGAGCATCTTCAGCATCCTCATGAATGTATCCCCCGGGAGACTGATGAGTTGGACGGTGTCCGTGGAGAGATGAAGCTGTCGACACAGCAACCCGATGGTCACTCCCATCACTGCAGAGATGACAGTGAGGATCAGCATCAGGTTGGTCTTTATACAGTTCTTTAACGCCATCTTGAAAAATACCATATTTATCATTTAATTTTTTGGTAACAATAATTATGAGAATTTTGTTATGTGTGTGTTTGTCACTTTAAGTAATCAAATTTGTTTTCCTCAAACGCCGTGCCAAAGAAAAATTCAGTGATGTATATTTCGCAAGATTTAAAGAACCATTGCAGTTATTTATTTAAAAAAATACTGTCTGCATTTTTGGGGTAAGACTTCCTATGTGTAAATAACATTTACATTTCTTTCTTGTTTTCAGTTTCCGAAAAAAACCAAAAAACCATCCACCTACCTACACCTGCCTCAAGAGAAACAATATTGGTACAGGACTTTTTGTCAGGGAACAGACATTTCAAGACATCCATGTTTTTCTTCTGAAAGAAGGAGACGAACATATTTCTCTTCATCGAAAAATATTTTTTAGGGATCTTGCATGTCGAACGAAATTTTCTTTTTTTATAAACTTTTTTCCCCATTGTTTTTGGGAACGAGTTATAGTTTAACCTCGCAATCAACAATATTCGAGTCCCCTAGAATATCAAATGGTCGGTCCCTTAATGGTTCTGGTATGTTGGTGGGTTCGAATCCCGGTTCGCCCCGATTATGTTTCTAGGTTTGTCAGCACCATACCCGTGCTCGTGGGTTTCACCGAACTGGTCAACGTCTGAGACCTGCATCACTTCGGGCTTTTCTCCTACATTAAGCTGACACGCCGTGATATAACTGGAATAATGTCAAAAGCGGCGTAAAACCCAACTCACTCACTCTGGTATGTTGGAAGTGTGATGCCACTCTGTGTTTACACTTTGCACATATTGTAGCTCATTATGAGGACACACATAGCAAGTGTTGTATGGTAGGTAACAGGGCGACCCCTAGGTGATAATGGTATTGTATTGGAGTAGATCCTGCCCAAATTTGCTGGAGAATGAATAAGTTGGTCATGAATAGGAAACAAAAGTCGTTCCCATTTCATTCCAGTTGTTTGTCCGATATGAAATATGTATTCTCTGTCCCTAGCTAAAGCTACGGACGGATAATAATTATTCCACTCAGGTCACTCAGTTAGTATGAAATAGGAAGCTCCTCGTAGCCTGCTGTTAAAATGCTTGGTTGGTTTACTATTAAAGGCGTCAACACTTCTATTTGTTCAACTGGTCTTATTGCAGGTGTAAGGTAGTAACAGAACAAGGTTTACGCCAATTTCACTTTAATGACCTTATCTGTCCCTAGATAAAGCTACGGACGGATAATAATTATTCCACTCAGGTCACTCAGTTAGTATGAAATAGGAAGCTCCTCGTAGCCTGCTGTTAAAATGCTTGGTTGGTTTACTATCAAAGGCGTCAACACTTCTATTTGTTCAACTAGTCTTATTGCAGGTGTAAGGTAGTAACAGAACAAGGTTTACGCCAATTTCACTTTAATGACCGAAGTGTGCAGTCCATATATTTAATTGGCAGGGAGGGTATTGTACTCATGCCGGAAGTAAGGAGAAGGTTAATATTATTCCACTCAGGACATAATGTTGATATAAAATAGGAAGCTCGTTGAATATCCTATAAATATACGCCTAGTGTCGGGACTCATGTATGACGTATTAGACACTAACAACATCTGTTAATTATGAGTTGTCACGCAGGACATAACCTGTGAGAATCCGCTGGGGTTAGTTTTGCCAGCTATTTCCAACTATGTGTGTGCTGTGGGGACCCTGTGCCTTTTGCTATTTGTGCAGATTTAGTTTTCTCTTGTACTTAGTCTCAGAAGGCAGTGGATTTCGTTTCCGGAGCACAGCTCAAAAACAGTTCCATATCTTTCAACACAACTTGGCATATATATCAAACAGATCCTGAAGTGGTGCCTTTTGCTATCTGCATATTTTTGGCATTTTATTTTGTTCGATTTCCATGGAAATGATTTGGACTTAGTCTCAAAAGGGAGGGTTAGGTGTCGTTTCCGGAGCATGAAAACTGCGAAAGAGCTTCATCCAAACCTGGTACATTTATTATCCAAGTGCTGAAGTTGTGCCTTTTGCTATTTAGATTTTTTGCAACATTTATTTTCCCCCTGTTTCCATGGAAACGAGTAAGACTCAGCTGAACGGAGGTAGGTTCCGAAGCGGAATTTATTCAACATTTTTCATCCAAACTTGGTACATGTATTAATCGATGGCTGAAGTGGTGCCTGCTGCTTTTTAGGATTAAACAAACTTCCTGTTTCCATGGCAAGAGGTTTGACTTTGACGCTGTAATAGGTACTCTTTCGTGAGACTTGGCTCACACAGAGACCAGTGTGTCGAATGGTACCTTTTGCTACTTTAGAATTTATATATGTGTTCCATTTCTATGGCAACAAGTTTGACTTTGACGCTGTTCATAATAGTGTGTTTGTCCGCACAATATCCCTAAAAAATAATAGGTACCCTTTCTTAAAACTTTGCACACACAAAGACCAGGCTGTTAACTGGTGCCTTTTTGTATTTTTTTAGAATGTATACATGTTCTGTTTCCATAACAACAAGTTTGATTTTGACTCTGTTCATAGTGGTGTGTACCTAATATAGAAATACAAAGTTCCGAATGCCAATTCCATAGTATTAAATTATGTAAATAATTTGAGATTCATAACGTTTTATGCGGCGGTTTACTGGTCTGCATGGTTTATTGTTTTGAATGTCCAGTAACTACTCTTGTATACGGAAAGACAGATTAGATAGAAATTCTCTCATCAAGTTGGACTTAAAGTAATAGATGATGATGTTCGAATTTGTGGGGACCGATGGGATTTGTCATTTTCTGATAGAGATTTACATCCTTTACAGTCCGTATATATACAGCTTGTAATTGTATATTCCATACTTCATTTCAATTCAAAATACGTCAAAATGTGTACTATATTTACTTACCTTAATTTGTATTCAGTGAAGATGAGGTCCCGAGTGGAATAACAGCAATATAAACCTTCTGTTCAGTCTGTAATATTAATTATCCCAATGTAATATCCCACTCACATGTATCTCAACGTGTGATGATACATTTAAAAGGCACATAATCCTGATCCGAAACGAATCATGTTAATATGTCACGGCTGAGAGCAAATAGTCGTGGAGAAGAGTAGGAGACTAGTTAAACCCGAGTATATGTAGTTTTATCTGGCGAATAAATGCTACATAAAAAGTGAGAGAACGCCATTTTGAACAGCATTTTAGTTACATTAGCATAAATGAGATGAGTGAAACAATTGTAGAGAAAGTTCCCGATCCAATGTGAATACACCACCATGAGTTTGTTTTGTTGGTCATGGTCGTATTTTCTTATTTTGGTGCTGTTATACAATGACATTGAAGAACGAATGATTCTGATTGGTTAAAACGAGGTCTCAAATAAATAAAATATTACATTGTCATTATAACGGTCAACATGTTTCTCTCAAGTTTGTTAGCTGCCCCTAGTTCAACAAGATCTTAACGCCACGGCTGTCGTTCCCATTTTCTGGGACTCAGATAGCATCAGCAGCTATGCCTGAGAAATAGAATGAAACCAAGCAATGCATATTGCTGTATCAAACAAAATTCACAGCACTTTATGCTGGGCATGTAGACAACTAAAGTCAAGTATGTGACATCTTTATATATTATGATGATCTATTCTGATCTTGTTTTACAAAGTTCTGTTCTGTTGAATCAACATTAAATTATAAATTACTATTTATATGGTTTTTTTAACTGCTGTAAAACACAAATAAAATACGGCTCGAAAATAATACATCTGAACAGATGCCGACTTTAATGTGCACCAAATAAATGCGATCAACCATTGCTATTTTTTTTTAAATTACTAAACGATGATCATCGCTGAACTATATCTACTCACAACATTGTATTTCCTGCTTACAAGCAAGAGATGGGTTATGTATAACTGATATACAGTGTATTGTTTTGATATCAGTTTACCTGAATGAAACAAGTTATCCTTTTAAAAAGTGTTCATTGTATTACGTTTAGTTACAATTAGTTTCTCTATCTTTGAGAGGTGTTTTGTTAACGTAAACAAGTTTACCTTTCATCTAAACGCACCGTTTCCCTTTGATCATCCCCGAAGCATAAGTAAAGGCTTTGTGACAACTAGTTATGTTTTCTCTTAGTTTTTCAAACATTCTGATGGTATATTATTTTCAAAAGGTTAAACTAATGCAATGGCGGTTCAATTAATTTTATCTTGGATAAGAAAAACAGTACGTTACTTATATCTACTCAAATTGAGAGAGTTTGATGATGTTTGTTAAAGTACCATTATAAGTATAAGGGTTAGTTTGATTTAAACCGAAGGAGAGTGCCATTTTGGTATCTGTAAAAAATTTGAATTCTTAAAATGAAATGAGAGTGACTTAATCAGGACATGTTTAATCGCCTGTCACATTCTGAGACTTAGTCATGTTTCTTAATGTAGATAATCTATGCAATTTGTTCATTTGTCAAGAGCTAAACATGTTTAGGGGAAATATATCTCCTTTCGCTAAAGTTAACCGGTCTATATTTTGTAAGATTAATCTATAAAAAAATCGCAATTAGCGATTATCTCCTTTAGCTATCAGGCGTAGTATAGAGCTTCATCACACACTGACCTTGCAATGCTGTGCATCGTATCTTATTCAAGCTGTATCACTGAGAGTGGGTGATTATATCCCTTATCCGAATAGCTCTATTGCGCACTAGCTTTGCAGTGTATCGAATGTTATTCAAGCAGCCAGCAAGAAAGGTTCTAGGAGGAATTCAGGTTAAGCATGTAACGCGCACTCAATCTTTTGCCCTTCACACTGCTATTGCAACTTATTGTTCAACACGATTAAATACCAAGCTTCTAAATGACTGTTCAATAAACAGCACATGTGAAACAATGGGTTTGATATGAGAAATTTGTAATTAGTTGTCTTCATAATCACATGTATGGAGCTTGCTGTGCATAGCTGAGCACAGTATTGTTTCAAATAGTTCACTGTAAATA